GCACATGACTCACTATCTATGATCATCCTGCAAAATGCACCAGAAGTGTGACACTTTCCTGCACTACACAACACATTCCTGCACACATGCTTAGCACACTCTTCCCATGCTCAGTTGCCTCATGTCACACAGCATCCTGGAGCCTTCATTCATCATCTAACTAGTCCCCTAGTAAGTCCCTTCTTGTTTATTCTCATTATCAGACTATTTCTAGGCATCGTATGATATCTTATTTTGTCATGGACCCTTACTTTACATCATTTACATACATAGAGCGCTCCCTATTCACTTCTGAGCCCTGGGAGTGTGCCTAGGCACAGCTTACCTGTTGCCTAGGAAAGTTTTCATCTAGAATAAGCAACCACCATCATGTCACTTAGCATCTAGTAGTCAGAATCTATCATCTTCAGCCAGCATGCATTAGTCGTCACCCTAGCCCTCAGCAGCAAGTCTATCATCATCAGTCTCCATTCAGCAGCCTTAGTTCACATCCTCACAACTTCTACCAGTCTTTATACATCCATGCACCACATGCGCCTTATTCCCACACCTTGTGCCACTTTGTGCTCTGTATTCCCCTGTGTGCTTTTAGCACACTTCACTAGAATTGATCTGGCATCACTTCATGGTTATTTGCTTTCCTTGCTTCCCCTAAGGATTGAACATATCACCTGGCACACTTCAACCAACATCTAGAGAGTTAGTAGCCTTTCTCTCACCCTAGTGTGAGAGCCCTCTTTCTTTCTTTTGCTCTGCAAGCCAGCAGAGTAGTTGAACCTTCACTGTGTATACTGATGGATCCTGTACCAACAACAGCAAGCAGAACATGGCTTGCAGTGGAGGAATCTTGATTGGAGAGAATCACCCACTAAACAAAGCAATTAGTATTCCAGGTATAAACCACTCAAACCAAATAAGTGAACTCACAGCAGTACTGGTAGCACTACAGTCAGTCAGCCCAATGACCCTGCTGAAAATCATTACAGATCCAAAATATGTAATAAATGGTCTAACTACTCACCTAAAAGATTAGGAAGATGTGGGATGGATAGGCACTGACAATGCAAATCTATTCCAAGCCACCACATACTACCTGTGACAATGCCCAGCACCCACCACATTTCAATGGACTAAAGGTCATGATGGTCACCTTGGCAATGAACAAGCAGACCAGCTGGCACTTACTGGAGTACTCCAAACAACCACAGACACCATCAACACCTATGTGTTGAGGAACATCGACATCCAGGGTGCCAAACTAACAAAGATTACTCAAAAACTAGCGTATAAAGCAATCATGAGTAAGACACACCTCAAATATAAGAGAATGACACTATCCCTACTTGACATCACTAGATTTGCTGTCAAATTGGTATCATCCTTCCTGGAATGGATGCTGTGATCTGGCAAAACTGCAGAAACAAAGACATCTCTAAAAAAATACGAATGTTCATCTACAAAACACTTAGTGCTGCCTATTGAATAGGCAAATTTTGGGCATTGATCCCTACATATGAACATAGAGCAATGTGCCAACACTGTCTGGGCAAAACAGAGTCCATGGAGCATATCCTAGCACAATGCGATGACCCTGCAAGAAAGATCATTTGGGACCTAGCTAAGCAACTATGGCTGACAAAACACAGACCTTGGCCAATACCTCACATAGGCTTAATTCTTGGATGTGGATCAATCTCCATCCTGAGCACACCACAAAATGATAACACACCTCATCAGCAAGACACCTCATCGAAGAAAGGTGCATTGCACCTCCTGAAAATATTACTATCTGAATTGGCCTACCTAATCTGGACCTTAAGATGTGAGAGGGTAATATGAGAAACAACTCACACTGAAGAACACATAATGAAATGATGGGTGAATACCATTGAACATTAACTACAGCTAGACCAAGCAATAGCATACAAGACCAGAAGAGACACTAAAATGACAATAAGAGTTAGGAACACATGGTCTGATACCATCAATGACTCATCACAACATCAACACCCCCAAGACAATTGGGTAACCAACCCTGAGGTTTTAGTAGGTATCAAACTACCCAAGCCCTCACAGACCATGAGAACCAGGTAGTATTAGAGTCCCACACTACTTCACAGATGTGTAGTGTTGCCACAAGGCAAAGTGAACTGAAATGAAGCATCACTTTGTTATGACCTTGAAAATCAAGGTAGAACAAACCAAAGTACATTGAAGTCAGACCAAGTGATGAGCCAATTGGATTCTTGCTAGATTGTACCTTGTAGTTCAATAGATATGAAGTAGCTATGTACTAGTATCAATACACAACACATGTAGATATGCTACCTGTGTTGGCTTTGCATTTCTTCATTGCAGTGCCAGTGGATCTACCAGTACCAGTACCAGCCTTCTGTTTCCTAGTAGTATTTGGTGCTGGATTCTGAGTAGTTGGCATGGTCAGGTGGTTAATGGTTGCTGCTGTGATGTTGTTGAAAGGTTGTAGACCTGGGTGTGCAACTTGGAGACCATAGTTAACTGCTGCAGGGCCAGGGTATAAGTTTTGATGACTTGGGTGAGGATGTGTGAAGGCATGCAACTGCAACAGGGCATTTGTGACAGGCAATGGGACATACTGTAAGTTTTTAAGAGTAGTATCTGGTGCACTGTTTGCAAGTCCATAGGGCTGATGAGAATAGAATGCAGCAGTGGTCTGTTGTGGCACCATAGTACTAGTACTGGGGCTTGGGGCACTGTTCCAACTCATTTTCAATGTGAATTCATGAGCAATCAATACTTATATGGTGGCACACCTGAAATCAGTTGCCAGTCTGAGGAGGCAGCAACATTCAATGGTAGTGGTAAGGAATCAAATTGGACAGCATTTGTTATGATCAAGCTAAGTCTGCAACAAGCAAACAAAGTGAGTGAGTAATGTAGAACTTGGATTGGGGCTCACACCAAGCCTGCTGCAACCAGCAAGTGTTTAATGGTTCAAGTTCACAGCAATCAATCTAGCTGTGAGGGCTACAATTGATTATCAATGATTACAATGGTGGAGTCATTAACCATTCTCTTTTAAAGGCTAAGGATGTTAGCAATGATGAGCTCCAATGAAGGTACTTTAAGAAAGAGGAGCGCTTGCTTAGGGCTCAAAGGGTAAGACAGTATGAACCAAGTAGATTCAAGTTAGGGAATACAAGTGCTACCCAAGGGGTATATATACTGTTGGAAGGGATAAGGGCAGGTCTGCTGTATTAGTGGTAAGGGTAGAGGGTGAATGAGTCACAATGAGTCAGGATACCAAAGTAAGTAGAAAGTACCAGTTGACTGGTAAGGGTAAAGGGGACATGAGTCATAGTGAGTCATGACAAGTCAGAATACCATAGTAAGTAAGATGTACCAGTTGGGCAATAAGGGCATAGGGTCAGTGAGTCATTAGACAAACTGAAAATAAGATACAACTGACAGAATGGTCGGTGGAATGATCAAGAGAAAGAGATAGAACAATCAAGAAAAGGAAAAAGGGGCAATCACCTGAAGAGGAGGGGGGTCCAGTGAGGACATAAGGGAGGAAAATGAATAGGGGCCAAACAAGCAGATGTTATTGTAACAGCATTAGAGGTGCAGCCCACTAGCACAACATGAAGCTGAGTTCTGTTAGTGAAAACATGCAGTACCACACAGGATTGTGACAACTTGAAGACTTCTGAACACATTTGCAGCTTCATACATTTGAGCACACACAAGTACTACTGTGAGGTATCACACTGTCACATCATATCTAAACGATCACTGACAAATCCAATGTAGATAAAGTACCTCATTGATTTTTCTGAATGAGGTGGATTGAACTGCCTCAAATTCGAACCCAAGCGAACTTACCTCGAAATCACCTCACTTCAACAGCAACACTACAGATGTGAAGTGTGCATAAGAGCACTTTTCCTCAGACAATACTTACTAGTAAGTATTGCTATAAGCATTTACATAGGGCCAGATGGTGTCAGTTGCTGTGTAATAAACTCGCTTCTCCAAAAAAAAAAAAGGAAGCAGCTCGTGACTAATACGTAGAGTGTATTTGTCAGCATCAAGAGATGTCCAGAACTGGCCAAGGTTGCCTTCAATGTAGTGCTCAGAAGTTCAGAATGAAGGCAGCAATTGACAGTACCCGGGCACTCAACATTACGCCGGACCCGTTACTTAATACCGTGACGTGTTCTCGAAGTTTTTACCACCTTTCTCACTACATACGTCCTCCTAGCTAGGCACATTTATCAAGTGATAACATTTCGAGCTTCCTACTAATCCCTCGGCGCTTGATATGCTCTTCCTCCCAACGCCAACTCGACACGCCCGTCTCAGGGCATCAGAGTATCACGATGAACTAGTACCTCTGAAGGTCATATCGCATTTTGCCCATATACAACACCAGCTGATCTGATTTGTTATCGACGCAAGTACTTATTTCGATGTGTCTTTATCCTTCTCGGCTCTGCTAAATACTTTTTTTTACCCCTCCCAGTGCAGGACAAACTTGTGACTTGGACAAGGGTACGTCATCAGTACTTCTAACTTATATTGGGATACGGCCACGTATATTATCACGCGTTTATCTGAGCTACAGCGTCATCGCCTGCAAGGATCTTCGGAACGAATGTTTGTTTCTAGAGCTCCTTGCAGTTGGCAACGTGGCGTCGCCGCTGTCCAAACTCGCACTTTAAACATTTACTCTTCCTTATGCAATGCACCTGGTATCCACTGCTACTTATGCTTATTCCTTGGGGCAGTGCCTGATATCAGACGTTCACCAGAGTTGAAGTGATCATTATAGTTGGTGTCGCCGCACTTCGAGCAGATCAGAGATGCATTTCACTCTATGTTCGTACCTTGGTTAGATGACACAATGCACATACTGATCACATATCCTTGACAGTTCTACACCATGTTTTTCACCCTTCCCGGTGCAGTAGACATGCACCACCATTGCCACATATGCGTCACTTGGGACTCGTAGATCTATGCGATCCCCCGATATTGGGCACAACCTGAATAGTAATTCCTTTGGGCTGCATCCGATATCGGGCGTTCATCGGGGTCGCAGTGCCACCACCTGTAACTGTCACTGCACTTCGACCAGATCACAGAGATACTCTTCACTCTAGGTTCGTGCCTTAGTCGAATAACACAATACACGCACTAACCGCGTATCCTTCGTAGTTCTGCGTTCCTAATCTTTCACCTCTTCTGGCGCGGGAGAAAAATACCACTGGTATGACCAAAATAAGCATAATCAGTCTACGAAGGACTTGTTACAGACCTACGCGGTACTCCCGATATTGAATCTTCCCAATGCTACTGCCTTTGGCAGTCTTATATCGGGCATTCATCGGAATCTTAGCATCACTGCCTCCAATAATCTCCAGGAACTCATTCAAGGGATCCTCGCTGTTGGCGGCGCTGCGGTTCGAGCAGATCGCAGAGACATTCTTCCAAGCCTCGCTCTCTCGGTTCGTACCTTGGCTTATTTAAATGATCGTTCGGGCACTGTTGATGTTCTCCCAGAATATTTCAATATTCCTTTCGATAGTGTCTGGAATCGGAGTCGCAGCGTCATCACCTACCGGATGCTGCGTTTTGAACAGCTTGCAGAGTTGCTCTTTACTAGCGCTCTACAGGTCTGAACCCTAGCTCGGTCGTTCGGACGCTGTTAAGGAACCCTATGCAAGACATGGTTAACTTAGTACCTGGATATGATAGTTGTGGTAGGCTGCTACCTGCGATAGTTCTTATACTGGTACTAAGCACAACCCTAAAAACATGTTATCCCTTCTCTCCTTGCCTGATGAAGCAAGGGTAAGTAGGACCCCAGTTGTTGCATTATTGATACGGTTCGTGCACTCTTTCCTAGTTCTGCTCTCAACCATAAGTTGACTTCCATTCACAGTAGATCTACCATTAATGACAGGACCGGGTGACGCCTGCTAACGTTCGTCTTCGCTTGTCTACTGCTACTCGACTCCAGATTGCTCATTCATCCCTGCAGCATGATAACCATTAGCGAATACAGCCAGTCAGAATTCGCGCTCAAGGATCCAGCAGTCATGACACAACTTGAGGCCTCGTTTTTCTGTGGTCGCCGCTTCGTCGTGATAGAACGCAGCGATGCCATTGAAGAACGGGTTCTCTTTTGTGGATACAATACTATGCACAATGTATTTCGATAGCTCGATACTTCTGAGGCCTAACTTGTGCAACTTGCTCTAGTATTGAAGGTCGTCATGCGCGCAGTCTTCGATATGTACAGGTCGTGTCAGACACGGCACGCTGGAGAAGTTTTATGTTCGCATGAAGCCTAGTTAGATTTCAACTACGTCACCCTTCAATAATAATTCCCTTTTTGGGACTGAGGCGACCATACTCGCGTACCATCCCTCCTTTGAATCTCCACACTTTGATCTGCACCACCGAGGTAAGTATTTCCGCTGTGCACGCTGACGTCCTTTCACGATAATTTACCCTCTAGACCGTCTATATAACTCAATAAGACCTCAAATCATGTGCAACAGAGATCAAGACACCATCACCATTTCAGCTTGCTCGTGCGATTCGGGCGGCGACATCTCAAAAGACCCAATGGAAGCTGGTGCCTACGCACCTTACGGAAGGACCGAAAGTCAGCCACTAGATCTTCCTGACGAGTGGAAGCTGCCATCCGAGCCCGTCGCTCGGTTTTGTTTCACCCAATTTTACTTAATCACCCTCGGAAAGCCTGATCTCGAGGAATTGTGGCAGGATGTGAGCCAATGGAACGGCGTGAATAAGCGTATTGTACGCTCGGATGATCCGGTTGCTCGTCAATTCATTGTGAGTTCACTGTTAACCCCTATTCTATCTAGCAAGAATGAGCCTCCGCTTTTTGCATAGACGATCCTCATCGTCCTCGTGTATGGAGCATGCATGTTGATAATACAACATGGTATCACAATAGCGGACCGCACATGTATGTCTCCATTTCCCGCATGTAAATTATTGAATCATCATATACGTATCTTTTCTGCATGCCTTGATACAGGGCTTCGCATGTATTCTGGTGACGGGAACAATGCAGTGGAGCCACCCTCCCACTTGAGACTAACTCCCATCCTCACCCAGAAAACTGCTAGGTGAATTAAATGTCAGGAATATCTCTCTTGAGTTTGTCCATGCCTTTGTCTGACTTCTGTGATGGGAAGCGCGAGTTGGAGTCTGAAGTTCGCAAAACGAGGAGCTCTGAGGTTATTAAGGAGGGTATGAAGACCCGACTACTCACTCCACAGCAACAGTGTGTCGCAGCATGAAAACCAATGTCTGCATCGCTCGGATAGAGATGACAGCAGGCATGGAGGGGCTTTTGTATGAGGTAATGTCAGATGGGAGACAGCTATTGAACTCGGATGATTTGATTTCTCACCCAGTCAGTGCAGTAATGTCGCCTGACCGAGCAATGATCTTCTGTAAGAGCCCGAGTGCATTTGCTTCATCTTGTCGTAGATTACGAGATGGACACCGAAAATACGAAACGAATATGCAATGTCTTCTTGCAACGTCGTGACCCGCGTAGACGCCAATTGGAGTTTCTCTCGTGCGTTTCTGCCATGCCCGTGGCCTTACACGACTTGTATTGGTAGAGTTGGTAGTGACATACAACAAGCAACGGTATGTTACATAATTGAAGGCTTACGAACAAGTGATATAATTGACGATCATCAACGAGCTCTAGGTATTATTGCAGGTATGATTACATCTACGAGTGAGGTGACGTTAGTGATCTCAAAAACGCCAAGGTGGAGCAGCTATGCTCACCAGCCATTGCCAGAATGCTTCCATCTTGTTCTTTGGTGGAAGTTCGTCGTATGTATCCGCCACAATTTCAGCTAGATCGCTCTTGAAGTCCATATCCTCTGCAGCAACAGGCTTGGTGCCATAGTAGAAGCGAGCGCCAACATACAGGATTGGCCAGGCAATAAGAGGGAAGTAGTTGGTGACTGAAAGTTGTAATACTCCAATTTCCGTTGAGGAAGACGCTCCATCCGCTGAACTAGAGAATAAAGGAATAGTCAGTCTAAACAGTATTAGCGGATATGAAAAGTTGACATACGAAACAGATGGTGATCGTTGAAACGACTCCCCACCACGCTGCGTATGGCTGGAGATTTGTGTAGTAAGGGAGCGTCTTGCGGTCGATGCCTTGGACCTGCATGCCCTTATAGAAGCGGACATACGTCACCGAAATACCAAACCACGTCAAAAGGCCAGCTACGGCTGTCATGTTGGAAAACCAGATAAATACTGAGCCTGCACTTGTGGACACAGCCATGAAGGCAAGAAGGGAGAAAGAGGCGCAGAAGAGGACGGCAACGTAAGGCAACCCGTTGCGTGTGGTTTTAAGGAAGAACTTCGGAGCATTTCTTGAGGCTGCAAGACCATCTACAAGTACGTTAATTTCGATGAGTTGGCTGCCAGATAAGTATACGTACAAATCGCACGAGACGCAGTGTATAAGTCACTAGATGATGCGGACCATGCCGAGGTCAACAGACAAGCATTGACAATCTAGTTTGAGTAGCAATGAGAAATTTCGAGGTAAAAAAGGAAAGACATGTGCGGCTTACTGAAGGGAGATATTTAATCCCGGCCATTTCGACAGCGATAACGAATGGAGACCGGGCGGTGTTACTGCTCAATTTGAGTAATGGGTTGTTGGATGGTACAAGCAGACCAATGACGAGTGTGCCACCGATGTAAAAAACCAATATACGGATGTATACTCGACGGATGGCTTTGGGCAAGTTACGGCGAGGATTCTTTGCTTCTCCAGCAGCAATCTAGGTGAGATTTGTGAGCAATGAATTGATAGGCCTAGAATACAACATACAGCAACAATCTCGGTTCCGATGAACGAGAAAGCAGCCTGCGTCAAAACAGCGCACCAGCCAAGGAATCGTCCTTTGGCACCTTCGATGCCATTATACTGAACGAATGGTCCGGGATTTTTCCAGTAGCGGAATCCAATACGGTCATGGTTTGGGCCACCTCCCAAATCGATGACTATACCGAGAATGATAAGAACGGTTATTGTGATGACCTTGATGGATCTATAGTAATCTCAGGATACGAGATCGAGATATAGTACTCGGAACACACGCGAAGATGAATTCCGCCTCGCCGTAAGCGCCAGCACCGAGCATATTAATGGTGAGAACGACGACAAGACACATGACAACCCATACCGAGTTATTGACAGTATGATTCCAATAGTTTATCAATAATGCAGCAGCAGAAATCTCGGCTGGGACGATAAACAATGTCAGCGGGCGCGCTAAGAAAATACATTAAACTCAAGTACTAGGTGCTAAAAAGTAAGAGGTCAGTAATTGCGAGAAATGAATGAGGAAGAATGGGATGTACAAGTAATCATCCAGCTATAGCAATAATTCCAACCCATGGCAAAAGAGAATGCAGGGTCAACGAAGCGCTCGGCCAGTTTGATATGACCACCAGGTATAGGCAGGAAAGCAACCTACGGAAACGAAGATCAGGTATGTGATCTGCGTCTGGGACGTGCAGCATACCATTTCTCCCAAAGTGATCATGACACAATAGACGATGGTGCCCATGACCATGTAGCCGAGCAACAGACCGATGGGGCCCCCATACATCAGAGAGTCTGCGGTTCCAACAAAAAGACCAGTGCCGATGACACCACCAATACTTGACAGAAGTGAGAATTCACTAAAAGAAAGAAGAAAAGTCAACACACCTGATCATGGCGATGTGACGATTCTTGAGTTTACGTTGTAGGGGGGGCTGATTAGACTCTCCATCGTGGTCTGAGACGTCAGAGAATTCGCCATTGCTAGCGTCTATTTTTTCGGCACCCATTGTAGCAAGCGCTCGCTCGCTCGAGGTAGGAGGAAAGAGATAAAACTTGAACCCAACCACGACTCATAGATATATGAGCATTTGGGGGCCGTGGCAGTGACTTCCTTAAGTTAGAAAAACGTTGATCATTTCGAAGTTTCGCCACGTCTGACAAGTGATATGCCCGATTGACGGAGCGGAATTTGGCAGGTCAGGTATCGCATAGTTACAACGGTGGCTTCATCACTCCTCCTCCCATGAATCTGCTCAGGTAGGCCTGAGAATTCTGCTGGAAGGGTATACCGTATACATAATGGCATCTACCATTCCATACAGCTTCTACGATCTTGTACAGCTGGCATCACATCTGATTGGAGTGACACGATCAGCCATTTTCAGGTACAACATGGTTTCCTGGTACTGTTTACACAATGAGCCTATAGCATTTCAACATAGAGAGAGCCTACCCGTCGGATTCCTTGATTACACGTATGTTATCGCCGCCGCCGGGTAGTGCTGCCGAAGTCCGGTTCAGTCTGGTTCTCTGGACAATTTTCCGAAACGCCAAACCGAACCGCAGGTTCAGTGTTTGGTTGAACCCTGGACTGAACATCGCTGAACGTGTTCGGGAGGTCAGCTTTGCATTCGAATAAGGTTCGACCATCAAGCTATAGGTTTGGTATCCAGTAAAAACTCGTATCCGCTCTGACGGGTATAGTTTTTTGGCGGGTACCACAAACAGGAATTAATAGAAACACGAACGAACACCCACAAATGTCAACATCAACATATGCGAACGAGTGTGAACATTGACATCAAATACCTGTAAGTAATGTAGATGCATGCGCCCACCAATAGGACCAACATTGCCAAGAATAAGTGGCAGCCAGCACGGGCAAGCATAAACATAGTTGCAGACACGAGTGAAAAGAAGCGCAGATGGGCGCAGACAAGTGGGGGTATGTGCTGACGTGCACAGATAAGTATATATATCGACGTGGCGGACGTTGATGTAAGCGCCGGGATATTCATTTGCTGAGAGAAAATTACACATACATGTACAAACGAGTGCGCAAGGACAAGCGCAGGTTGAACATACAGGGATGCTCTTAATTCTAAAATGTCGTTGTCGTTTGCAAGGCGTGAGGCAAGTTGCAAACGATAACGACATTTATGGGACCCTCCAAAAATGGTAAGCCCAAATCATCCGTGTACGGAGTGACGCCTCTTTTCTTAGCTGGACGTCCACCACCTCAGGCAGGTAAGAAATCATCAAGGCTATGAAATCGAGCCATTGCCTAAAATTGGAAGCGCAGCGTCATCACATGCGAAGGGATCTTCACAGTTGACGGTGCTGCGTTTCAAGAAGGGTTGCTCTTCAAAGTCCACTCTCTCCGCTTGTGCTGTCAAGGTCAAGTCAATTGCTTCAAACTCTACGGTAAGTATATGGTCAAGTCAGTACCTGGATATATTGCATTTTGGCACATCTGGTAAGACAGTGCCACATTTCGCTAATCACTGGCACTAAGCCACCCTAGAAACACGCTGTCGATTTTCTCATTTCTCACTTTGGTAGCGCGATGATAGGTGTTTGTTGCGTACTTGATATGGTCCGTGCACTCCTCCCCAGTTTTGTTCCACAAGCTGACCTTTTTTCATTGCAGGCACCCAAAGCACGAGGCTCGATACAAAAATAGTACTGCTCGGCGATTTGAACAAATGGATTTTCATTCAACAGCTCCATCCACATCTCGATGTCTTTTCTTAAAGATGGACAACGGGACCGGGTGACTCCAACCAACGTTTGTCTTATTCACAGCTCCTCGACGCCAGACCACTCACACTTGTCCCTGAAACTCAAGCACGATAATCACCAGCGAATACAGATATTCAGCATACCACTTCAGGGATCTAGCAGCAACCAGTGTTGAAACTTGTCCATGTTCCTCTCGGACAGGCTACCTACATGTGTTTTTTCTTCTACAATTCTGTTGCGTGGACGCTATGCAAAACGTGATGGACATAATGAACCCCACCGTCATCTTCCCTCGGGACGAACAGTTCTTTCAACCTCATTTCCTTCTGATGTTGTCCTGGCATCGACGTTTGAGCGGGAGTCGGAAGAGAATGATTTCAATCAATATATTATTTGCCACTACATGCCATACACAACGGATATTTTAGGCGTCTCTGCAGATTTATGATGATGTTATACCGGAAGGTGTGATGAACATTCAGGATCTACCATAGCGCACCGTCAATATATAAGACAAGTTAAGAGTGGGATAGCAAGTCCTGTTCGTCCCCGATCGCCCTGACAACTCTCTCGGCCAACGGACGATCCTGAGGTACGGTTGACCAACATTCTTCAATGAAATACCAGTACTTGTCAGAGAACACAGGATAACGTGATCGCAAAGGCTTGACACCACTGCCTATGCGTTGAATGACCGCAGCTTCACTTAGATAATAGTAGGGAGGTCTGCCGGTCAGGACCTAGAACTAATTATATCAGTGAGGAGGATAAAAAATTCTGAGACGTACCTGTAGCATGATACCGCCAAAGGAATAGACATCGCTGCACTTGCTTGGTCGTATTGGCAATTCATCATCCGGCTCTCCAAGTAGCTCTAGAGCCATCCACCGAAAGTTCCGTGGAGAGTCGAGGTCCAGGAAGCCAGAGAGACGCTCAAGACTTCAGAGTACACAAGGGACAGACCGAAGTCAGCGAGGCAAGCTGTGCCATCGCCATGAATAAGTATATTCGGCTGGACGTCGCAATGTCAATATCTGAATCAACGTGGAATCGTCAAGGAGTGACCAACTTACACCAGTCAAGTCACCATGAATGACGTTGTTCATATGAACTATCAAAGAAGAATTATGGATTTGGCTGGAAAAATTGACAAAGTCTAGTACGAACAGTAGTACAGGCCTTCAGTAATATCTCGGAGCTATAATTGCCGTTGGTCAGTAATTTACTATATATATCACAAGACTTACGATCTGGAATCGTCTGACCATGGTGAGATGACCATCTTCCAGATCCAAATAGGTTGTCAGATTACCGTTCTCTGCCCAAGGGCTGACTATTGCCATGAACGAGCCAAAGCTGTATGTGTAGCCATACACGGACAGAATGTTGTGATGGTTCTGAGTTCACGGTGTATCCTCTGTAAAACACTTGGTGTAATTACATAAACAAACGGACTTCCATCAATGTACCCACTTTGGTCATTTTTTCCATTGCTTCCCCAAGTTGATCAGAGGCGTACACTAGCAATGATTTCACTGCAACCTACCAAATTGTCAATTTTGCACAAGCAGAAACAATATTGCACGAACCGCGATCAGTCCCCAATCCACTTGATAAGAACATTTCCATATCTCTCCAAATCCGCCATGGGTAACAGGATAGTCACCAGTCTTGGTGATAGATTTTGTGAGGTCTTGGAGCATTGCAGGGGGAACTGATGAACGGGACTGCAAGTGACTAACTATAGTCATGACGGTACATAGTAAAGATACTCACATCTGACGCAAACATCAGCAAAACCCTAACCCTATGTGCAGTGCTGCACAATGCTGCACAGCAATCACAGTGTCACAGCGAGGTCCCCCCATGTACAGTGCTGTACAGTGCTGCACACTACACAATTTCTCAATAAAACATCATTATTAGCACACCATCTTGTTATATACATGTTTATGACTACATTACACTCATTTTTACATAGAATCAATACTTGTGTGGTGCTGCAGAGCCTTTACAACAAAATCTATGTGACCTGTGACAAGCTGTGTGGCTGTGGCGCTGTACCCAAATCAGGGTTTTGCTGATGAATGGCAGCTGTAGAGCACTACATCCTTGTTGCTTGGGTTGCATAGCTTTGCTTTGCTTCTTCAGTTCTGAGAGTGCACCCAAGAGAGCCATGCTTTCTGGAATGTCTTTCACCATCAAGTGAAGAGCAGAACCAGCAAGTAGGGAGTGGGGTGATGTGATATCACATACTTGAGGGAGGCTGCAGTTCAAGGGGTTGGAAACGTAGTTGTGAATGGACAAGTAAAAGATATTCATGGGAAGAGTGCTGTCTGTAGGGATATCCATGACAGACTGTAGTTGTATCAGTGTTGTCTGCACATCTCTTCCCAAACCAGGGCCAAGAAGTGTTGAGAGTTGTGAGATGGGAAGAGGGTCTGCGAGGGTGGCAACAAGGGACAAGTGCAAGTATGCCTGTTCGGGGTCAGCACATGTGGAGAGGATGTAATCATATAACTTGTACACCTCTGTTCCTGTCAGCAGCTTGCTTGTCAGCTCAAGCATCAGCTTTAACCAATCATGAGAAACCTTGTCTTCACCATCAATGATAAATTTCATCATTGTATGCACCACAATGAAACATCTGCCCGCTAGTTTCACAAGGTCAACCTCTGATGGCTGCAGGAAATCAGGATGGCGCCATTCCAACTCCTTGAAAGAATGCTGCAAGAAAGTACAAATGTCGTTATCAACATCTGCACTGTCCAAGGAGATGATGCCACCCTCCCCAGAAATTCTCACAGGTATCTCACACACCAATGGGCACACCTCTTCATTCTGAAAGGCTTTACAGATATGAAATTCTGAATGACTTGTGAGCAGAATGTGGGTCACAGGAATATCTGGGTCACAAAGAGCCTGTGCAAGGGAAAGGATGAGATCGACAAGCTCAGGGTTGGATGTGCATTCATCAAGGGCATCAACAACAAATGACAAAGGCAGACATCTGTGCAATCTGAGTCAAAGTTTCCAGAGGGGTTGGAGAAAGAGAGCCTCCATCTGGTTGCAGAGAGGTGTGTTTGGGTTTAGGAGAGCAGGATTGTTGCAGATGGCTCTGTTCACATCCTTCCTGATGCTAGGGAAATTGCTGGCAAGCTGGTAGACAAGTGTCATGAAAAAATATGCAGCCATGCAACGTTTGGTGTGCTTGTGTGAGAAAAAGAACGTCCCCACTAGCCACTTTTCGACATTCATCTCTTCTGTCACTTTTAGACTTCTCATCCTCTCACCTACTGTGAACACAACAGCAGACTTTCCAATGCCTGCCATGCCATGTAGCCAAATGAGCTGATTCTTATCTGTATTGTTCAGGAATCATGGATGTATTTGAGGAGATCTACCTGGGTTCCTTGCAGACATTTTGGGTGGGGCTGATGTTTGTGGGAGTTATATTGAGCACCCTTGACAGCGACCTCGGATAGCTTTGCCCAAGTTCCTTGAAGGACTGTCAAAGAGGTCAGGAAGTCTGCAAGAGGTAAGAGATGGAATTACTGACATTGATTGTCACTCATTGATGAAGGTTGTGATGTGTATGATGGAATGGACCAGCTGAAAGTACTACTACGTAGTAGCTAGGTTCGAGGGTGCAGTCAGAAATGATCTGGGCAATAATTATCTGGAGGGATGACATAAGAAGATTTGAATCAAAGCTTGTAAGCTGTTACAAGACTCAAGTTGTAGAACAATCCAGAGTGCAAAGCATGATGAAGATGGGATAGACAGGGATGTTTCAATCTAATTTGTTATGGAAAGCTTGCCGGATGGTCGTGGAATGCAGTTGAAGGGCAAGTAGGTGCCGGCCGTCCAGTACTGCAGTGCTCATGCTGGAAGACACGAGGCTGCTGTGCGGCCACAGTACCAGCGTACAGTGACCACAGTACAGTCACACAGAACCACATCGGTAGTGCCTAGAGGTCAACTAGAAACCGAGAGCTCGAGAGATGTGCGCTATTGTGCGATCCCCTAGATTTCTGTAGATTGTAACAATGATTGGTTGCAGTAGTTACTACGTACTAGTGGTACTTATCGATAGACCAGAATCTTTTAGCCACTTTTGTTTATTATCGGAGCGCCAAACAGAGGCTAAGCCAATTTGCACTCCCTCTCAACATCTGCAAGGACTTCGGCCCATTTCCCCCCATTCCAAGAACTGATCCTGGCCCACTCATCATCCTCCTTCAGCACTCGTTTGTATGCAAGCAACCAACAAGCAACAATGATGTCTGCATATGAAAAGGTGTTGCCCATGATCCACTTCCCGTCAGTCTTCTGGTACCACTCGTACACGGTATTGTACCCCTTCTCTGTTAGTTTCCGGTCCGCATCACAGTTCACATCCCAGGGTAACGGGAAGTCCACCAAACGAGCTCCAATGAAGAACTTGGCGCTGGCGGGACTCAATATTTCTATGGTGCGTGGGAACATAGGCTTAAAGCCAGGTAAAATAAGGCTCATATAGGCAGAGTCGAACGCGCGTATCAGGGCTTCTGAGTTGTTTGGGAAGATGGGCTTCTCGGGATATGTCTTTTCGAGGTAGGAGGCGATTTCGAGGGAGTCGGTGATGAGGGCACCGGTGTTGGGGTCGCTGAGCACGGGGACGGTGTAGACGTCTGAGCCATCTTGGCGTTTGTTCGGCTTTGCACCGATAGCCTTCATAGCGATCGGGATGTCTGAGTATTCGACCCAGAGGGTCACGAATGGAAGATCCTTGTAGCTCAAGACGAACCTGGGGCGCAGCAGACTTTGGTCAGATACCAAAGCTTGGCATGCAGAACATGAAACACTAACCTCGGCTTTGCGGGGTTGGCTGACCAGTTATTGCCTGGTAGCTCGGAGAGGATATCATACAGGACAAGCGGCAGCATGATGAAGTACCGAGACGTGGAGTTTGAGGCGCTGCGGCCAACCTTGAAACTCTTTTTCAAGGCTGAACTTCATTCGTCAGCACCGAATCCATCTGAGCTTGATTAGCGCACGTCGATGTCCTCGAACACCGGTATAGCGCTGGTATTGATCCTTGGTGCATACTAGTCCACATCGGGTAGAGGGCGTTGTCATTGAATCTGTGAAACCATCATGAAGAAGGCTCACATGCGGTCTCAAACGCCCAGACACGACCAGTGATAGTGCTGGATCAACCCCTAACAACCCATGACACACAAGGAAGGCAGCCATTCCTTGGCCTGAACGTTGAACTCGCGCTCTGTGGCGGTAGTGGTTCAAGTTTACTCGCAATACCTGTGACAGCCATTTACATAATTATGAAACTATATTTGTCACAGATACAAGTACGGCTCGCTGCTTTTTCTACAACACTCTCGAGCACAATCTGGCTTTTCTGTGCGCACCGTTTATTTATTAACTTTGCATATTTCATTTAAACTTACTTGAAACACACTATGTCTCTTTGCCTCAGTACCAGTGAGACTTGTATGTTCACTTCAACCTTGGCGTGCCACCTCGCTGATGCAGCCGACCCCGACCTCACCCACTTCTTCGACAGGCTCGGAGTCTGACTCGTGGACCGCTTCAGTCAGCCATCTTTCTCAGTGTTTAATGTAGAATATCATCCCGGCGTCTATCATGTCGAACAGCTATCGACCGGATCCATCGAAATACATGCACAGGTGGCAGTATATACTCCCCCTCTGAGCCGAATTCCCCATATCTTTATCTCTGTCATCACCCTACAACTCATTCTACCCATTCTCGATCTCATCGTTGCATCATCATTTCGGGCAGTTCAGAGGGATCAATCCGACTTGAAGGTGGGTCACTTCCGTATCCGTTTCGTGATCCTCACACTCTACCTACAGTCATCAGCGGGAAGAATCTCCTGAGCGCATACCCACAGGCATTTACTATCCATCAATATTGACTCGAAGAGACGCTAGAGATCACCCATCAAAGTCATCTCATCCGTTGTATCTGTAGTGTGGGGTCATACCGTGACTCTATAAAGTTCATGCTGACTTAACGACGAGATTCGAGAACTGATATTAGGTTTCTAGGTCATCACATGCCTCACCTGGATTATCAGTGGGGATCAGGGTGCCCTATCAGGTTGACCGAATGGTAGGCAGTGGAGAAGTTATCGGGAAACTTCAAACGTTGTGGGATGAGCTACTCAATCATGGAGATGAGTTTTTTGGTGAGTGATTTGCTCCTCATTCATGCACATAAACTAATGTTTCGTAGTTTTGTCCTTTCCACCCGTTCGCGGTGTCCACCCTTCCCTCACCTTGAAGGTCGCCATTGTACATGCTTGTGCATCACTGCTGAACACTCATAAGAGGTTTTGGCTAAACGCAATGGTGGATTGGCACACAACTGTTGGTTGAGAACGTCGGCGACAGCTGGCGCGCATGTATACCATATTCTGTCCAGATAGCGAGCGGATCTGTGCTCCTTCGTTGCTGCACTCAAAGAATGTTGAACTTCCGGTTCGTCCCCTTAACTTAATGCCTTCGTCCAGTATTTTGATTCACATGCATGAGCAGTTTATCAATAGGCCACACCGACACTCGTCTCAATTACCAATATCTATCAATGATATATGCACTACACTAATGGGCCGAACAGTGTCTCTCAGCACATAGTACTTCGTTGGGCTACTGTAGTCACAATGACGAACAATCGTTCGAAGTTCGAACTCGATTATCACCACTCCAGGTGATACTTGTTATCCGGCCAGTCGAACCCGACCCATCTAAGTATCAATCTTTTGAATATCGTGGTAACCGTCAAACTCTCTAGGAAAATACAAAACACCGTGGTCAGTTAACTGCAGTTGCATGTATCGGATGCTGACTGTAACATAGGAATTGGATTATCCTCGGCATGTGTTTTGACGATTGCAGGGTCCTACGATTGCAATACGTGGCAGAGTAGTGGTAACCTGCTAGAATCCGAACGAATCAAAACTGATACAGTGTAGGCGTTACAATGAGCCTTGGCAAGCACTACAATTGCAATACGTGGTAGAGTACCGGTAATCAGTAAGAATCCAAGCGAATTAAACTGATACAGTGTAGGCGTCAGGATAGGCCGAGTAGGCACCATGGGAAAACATTTCGAGGTACGATCATTTGTAAAGGTGTATTTGAATTCGACGGTACAGCTATTGATGAATTCTGATGGTTTCTCACCGAACGCCATGTAAGAAATCATCAAGGCTATGCGTTGCACCTTGCACAGCGCCAATGGAGTACAAACGAACATAATTGTGGGTCACGAACATAGGTGGTCACCAATCGCAAGGCGTTTCGATCTCCGTTTTTGTCCTCTTTTCTGTGCTATATTGATCCAAAAGCAACCATTGGATCAAGATGTTCACAGATGTTCTGAATGTGTGGGAAGCTCGATCATATGTGTGTCAATAGTCATACTTAAGTGGGGTTTCCAGCGGTTCTGGTTCTTTCTGACTTGCAGGCGAGTCTAACAAGGAGATAACAGGTTGATCTTTGTTTCCGAGATGTCTTATGTTTCAGAGGTTGCAGATCTGCAGATATCCAAGGTATGCAAAGATCGCACTTTGATAATCTCGGCGTTCACCTGATGTTTGATTCAGTACGCCAATAGTAAGTGCTTGTTGATCGTCCGTGAAGCAGACAGCGACACTGACAGTGTTGTATCCTCAGTTGGCGGTCTTGCAATTCTCGTGAGTATCGAGCACACTCGTTATGTTACCAGCTCAATTGATGGCTCTTTTCGTCGTCTCAGGTATTTGATTACTGCATCACGTTTCAAGACGAGGTCAAGAACCCGATTTGTCCATGACTGTGATTTTGATCACTCCATACAGGTACATTGGACTTGGTCCAGGCCATGGGGTTTAATTCGTGTCATCTTCACCATATCTCGATATCTCCCTTTCGTAGGCTCTGGAATGACTGCATACGGTGAGTTACCCACTCGTGATCCTTATCTTTGCGTATAGTTGACACTATCTTAGCTGCACTGCGTGTCAGTGGATCGGTAAGCATACAGAGGAAGCTTCTAATGATAAGCTGATCGTCTGTATGGCACGAAGTGCCCCCCTAGTTTGGCGGAAAATAGTAAGTCATCTCGCCCAGTGGTCAGTTTTGGGTCAGCCTAACAATATGATCTTCAGTTATTCATATTTTAAGTATCATTGCTGCGGAAGGTGCGAGTTACATACATCACCGTCCTTACCAAGAACATGGTGGATCATGCCTCTTCGACAGGCCTGCTGGTTATCCGGACCTGGGCATTCTGGAAGAAGAGCAAAAAAGTACTGATTGGCTTAGTGATTTATAGCACGGTGCGTGTTCTAAGGGCTGGAGTAAGGGTATAGATCTTTAACTTTGCAATAGGCGACAGTAATCGGCGCTGTTGCTATGAACCTCCTTCCCAATCATCAGCTGATTTCATCAGGTGAATTCATTCGTATTTACACACGTGTTATTTTAATATGACTATCAGATGTATCTATGATACCCGGGCCATGCGGCTTTGAGTCGTCGAGGAATGCTGCACTGGTATATGCTATCTTGGCACTTTTCGAATGTGGTCAGTGATCATGCGGGGCGTACCATCAGACACCTGACATTCAAGTAAAACCTGGCAGTGATACTGTTCCTTACTGCATACAAGTGGTTCTACGACTACCGGGACTCAGAAATTCAGAGCTCGATCGTAACCATCCTCTACGGCGGTAGCATGCTTTACATACTGTGCATCATCGGTGCGTAGAAATATTTGGCTCCAAAGTTAACATTATTGTTGATTCGTTTTTGCAAAGCCATCACAGTGACCAATGTGATCATCGACGCAGCATTTCCGGTGCGTATACATGTCTGTCAAACTACAGTGACTTATCTTCTGTTGTTTGGCTCCAGGTTGGCTTTACAAATATGTTTGATACGTATGTCGCCGGTTGAACTGCCATTGGCTGTTAACTACGAACTCACTGCGTCTAGACTGCAACTTGTCATTCACAGCGTCCTAGCTTCGCGAATTCTATTTCACCTTCGAAGTAGTGACAGTCGTGCACATGAGACGGACATGCCATTATTGGTTTCAGCTGCCCATCATGGACAACCTTCGCAAATGCAGACGAACGAGATAAAAAGTGAAACTGGTGAAGTTTGAGGTGGGCTTGGTGGTTTGTGCTCATAATTGGACACGCTTGTGTTGATCTTTCGTTGTAACTACCTATATGAATATGTTTATGATCATGGTGACGTATGGGATCTTACTGCAGGATCCAACCCATTAAGCTGCTCGAGCCGTCTTTCGAAGTAGCTACGGCTTTTCTGATGCGGTATTTGCAACTGAACTACTTACAGGTTGACTGTAGTTCGAATTAGGCTACCTTTAGAATATGCTCACATGAAAACGAAGTTGCACATCTAAAGTTCATATCCTTTTCATCAGAAATTTTTCATACTATACATCATCGGCAAAATCATGCGTTCTAGAGAACTCGGCCTAAGATCATTGCCAGTGACTGCCCAGTTGTGTGATTAGACTATCAATGATCAAACAGATCTGTCATGACGCCGTAAAACCAAAGGAATCGATTGCTTACTTTCTAGGGCCGCGAATATACAGGAGGAACAATTGTGTTATTTTCCGAGTATTGGGTTAACCACGAAAGCCACTTAGTAGTTGCTAAACGCGAAAATCTGCCGAGCGCGGGACTCCGAGGGAGGTTTCCAATCCTCAGGAGGTTCTGGGAGCTGCATCTCGACACTACCTGACTCCGTGTTGGACATGGTCGGAGGTTGCTGTTGTTATGCTTTAGTATTTGTCTAGACGGAGAACATTCGTGAGAGACGGCCGGCGTCTAAGCAAAGGGCAAGCTCTACATAACATTAATTTCTGCCCCACAAATTTGGGCGCAAGAGTGCCAAAAATGTATGACGCGGTATGAGGCGAGAAGCAATGTGGCCGTCAAATGTACTGCAGTACCCTGCGACATACTTTGAGTGACTCTTTGAAGGCACCATGAACTTGAAGTATTGAATCAGTCGGTCTTGTATTGTGCTATTAGCATACATCTTCTGTCGAACAATCCAAGCAGTGTAAATCGTTCAATGATATAGCACTGAGCGAGAACCGACGTTGAACATCCTGTGTAAGAAATCAGCATCGACAACCTGCCAAAATAACAACTTACTCTAGAACATTGACATTAGTAGCGTTGAGTCCCAAAATGAACTTCCCCACACTTATTGCAATGCGAGTGATCGCTTCAAACTGGAGATTTCAAGTTTGAAGCGATCGCTCGCGGAAAATTCGAAATGGAGTTGCACAGACATATTGAAGGGTGCGATGACGCGATCCAAGTCTTTTTCCCATCCGACGATCTGATTGCGATCAGTTGTGACAGAGAAGAGCCCCTGCCAAAATCTTTGCACCATCTTTGAGGCTGCTCCGCTAATCATGCGATTAACTGATCTGTTTGGTGTCATCAGTTTCTGGCATCGGTGAAATCAAAGTGGCTCAGTACTCACGTGTTAAGCTCAGACAATGCATCCCCGAAGATCTTTGCAGATCGGCACCGGTAGCATCCTTAGTTGCTCTTTGAAAAACTTCCATGATAGTTTCGCATGTCCTGACTATGGCCAGGAAATCGGACTTGTTCTTAATCACTCGCTTCACAGACCGAGGATTTCTTCACAAAAATATCGAGAATCATGTCGAAGCACCTGTGCAATCGTCAAGATGTTGGCAACTGTTTCGAGGATGCTTTTCACTAGGTCGATAGTATGAGGTCTCTTGTAACGCTGATGACCGCTATAGCCTGAGTAACGCCTAGCAGATGGTTCACCTTGTCATCCTGTGACTTAGGAGCGGGTTGTCTTGAGCACTTTTATGATACTAGATCAGCAATACGATGATGAAACCTAGATACGTGGTTTCTCACCTTTGATTCGATTTGTTGGACCCTCCCACGTTCAATTTTTGGATGGCATTTCCTGGCTTTGTATGGTGGATCAAATTGCAATGGGTTTCAGCCACTCTAGGAGCGTCAGAGTCTGCATTAACATGACTAGGCTACTGGGGCGTCTACCAGAGTGAATTCATTTCAATTTTCAACCAACTCGAGGCACAATCGTCACATCATGTGATGCCACTGGACCGCATGTCACACCGCGTTGTCACGGCCTAGATCTTGAACATGGCAGTGGTGAGTCTGAAGACTCTAAATTAATATTGAGTCACCACTGACTCACTGGTACTAGCACGCCTTTTTGTTGATGCACTCGTTCAAGCTGTGCGCCGACACGATTAATCGAAGCCCGGTTGAGTACCGTCGCCTGTAGATCCCCGACTCGGAGTTCCTCTGACTCCCGCCCTACTCTCTCCCCTCTCGCAGCTCGTACGCTAAAGAAGACCTTGCTGTCCTCGTGGATTACGCTGCTGCATCGGCCGTTGCTACATTCACCTATTAGCCGGTATATAATAAAAGCTAGTGTTTCTCCCCCTGTAGCCCTCCAACTTATAACAGAAAGTCCTTCCCGCCCTGCTTGCCTAGGTAAAAGGTGCCGCCAAACTCCAGAGTGTTGCACTCCGGATACCATATCCTGGCGACAACACACTCAGCTTACCTTGCTACCAACTGCCCTGTCTATGTGATGGATCAGAATAGTCAAGCGGGCAATCTACAGGTAGCTCTGTAACGCTATTAGATCTCTTTAACCTCACCCACACGCAATCAATGTCGGCGATCCTTTTTCACACGACGCGTACCAAGGGCTACCCATGTCCAAGACTTCGATTTAATGTTCGCAGTCGATCGTCTTCTATAACGATGACTTCGGCATCCAACCAGCAGATGATGTGGAGGTTATGAAGTCCAAATTTCGGCGAGGCTGGCTGTGTTCTTAATTTATAATATTATCTCTAAGTCTTGTTTACACACGCGCCATACTTAGCTCATGATTTTCCTCGACTTACACACTAGAATTACTAGCGCTATCATCGATGAACGCAGGGCGAGTATGGATGCATTCTTGTAGAAAAGTGTTGCCCTACTCCTCAACGAACTAAACAACATTTCAGAGATACACCAACCCGAAGTAGGAGTATACTGCACTCGCACTCCTTAAATAATACCAATATATCGACTTGCGCTGGCGAGGCGCGAATAACGCAGCATCAGGGTTGAAGCTTGAAGTCTGCAAAAGAAAATATTAAGCCGGCCCCCCTTGAACACGAACCGACATTTACGGTTGGTGCCGTCAAGGTAACTTAGAGGCTTCTGACCAGATGCACTGTGGATGGGGTATGCACTCAGCTAACGCTATTTGTGACCAATTTGGTCTCTTAGTGACCGCACTCGTGAGTGATAACCCCAAGGCAAGTCGCAAAACAACCCGTCCAGAAGGTGTACACCGCCCGGAGAGATAGACATGCAGCAGTTTAGAGCAAAGGATGAGCGAAGGAAATGTGTTTGAGGAGCCGAAGGTGTATTGATAAGTTGCTGATTTGTAGAGGCCCGGGATGACTACCAGGTTGTTACAAACTAAACATCGTGAAACGCTTCAGATCCAGCTACAGCAACCTACGTGCATAGTGGCGACCATAAAGTGAGCGCTGAAAAAAAACTGTGTTTGCCCTCAGAGCGCATCTAATTTAAGACAGACTTATGAGATGGCGCTTAAGAGGTCAGGCATAATAGACATTCTGTTTCACGGTCGTGATGCCATTCTCTGATGACTGGGGTCGTTGTTGCAGACTCCTATTTGACTCTTATTTAATCCAGGCGTCTATGTGGAACAGAAGGGACAAAGGAAAGCAGGCAAAGACACCATCCTTCGCTCACAACAATGAGCATTATCGCGTTCGACACATTGCACGAGTCTCGCGACAAGGAACCAATATTGATGGTGTACTGAAAGATACAACGAAAGAGAAACAAGTGGAAGGTAAATAAAAGCAAAGGTGAAGTAGTGGTCCAAATGCTGCAACACTAACTGTATCAGTGGCCGTTGGTGTGTGGTGGAGATACACAGCAGAGAAACAGCACGATTTGAGCCCGCCATGTGATGGGTAGTGGTTGTGCGGCTGCTGTACCCAGAGCGGGAAGTGTCGCGGATGTCAAAGCACTGGCAGGTTGAGTGTGCGACGACGATGCTTTGGCTTGGCTGTGCGATTGAGTTTGTTGTTCATACGCTCGTTTTGCCTTCTTGAATTGTGGCCCCCGAGCAACAACCAAAGCCTGAACAGACATAATTAAACCACAGCAATTGTAAATGCACCGAGGAGACATACCTGCTTGTCCCGCACTGCAGCCACTTCGACAACAGGAGGACGGCCTGGGCGTTGCGTGAGACTGAGTTCCTCATTGGTGTAGGTTCGAGAGCGGAAGACTGGGGACAACCAGCTTATGAGTGCATCTGGACGTGAACTCGAAGGCGTTGTGGGTTGAGCTTCAGCTTGTTCATCAGTGCCGAGTCGAGGTCGGGGGAAAAGCGAGGAAAGACGAGCCAGAAGCACACGTGGATCTACCCTCGAAGGCGTGGAGGGTTGTTGAAGTTCGTTTGGTACAATATTTTCAGGTGGAGAGCGGTGAATGAGTGATGATAGGCGAGCGAGGAGTGCGTGTGGACTGGAGCCCCGAAAGCCTTGAGGGTTGCGGAAGTTCAGTTGTTTCACCACCATGAGGTCGAAAGCGGTGGAGGAGTAATGAAAAGTGTGCGAGGAGTGCATTTACAGAGGAATGAGGGTGTGCACCACCCACTGGGGGGGACTGAGAGGACAAAGGTCTAGATGAGAACTAAACAAGAAAAATACTGATCACGCACATCAGCATCGACTTCCATGCCGGCAAAAAACGTTGGTGAGAGCTCATCAACACCATTGAACTCGCCGGGACATCGTGTAGCATCAGCCTGGGATGTTACTGTTATAATGAATGAGAAGGATTGGAAACACAACACGCACTTCCAAAAATGACTTGTCATCGAGCGAAGAGCGGGGTGTGTGGTGTATTCCTGAATCATCAATGGGAAGTAGGAGGCCTTCAGGGCTAGCTTTTGTGAGGATGGCGTGAACGTCCCAGGTGTACACGTTATTGTTTCCGCAAGCAGTGACTAGCACCTTTCCATCAGGGGAAAGGGCTACGGAGCGCAAATCCTTTTCGTGCTGGAGGGGTGGTCCGACTAGTACTGGGAGGTTGGCATGGAGGTTCCATAGACGCGCCGTTTTATCCAATGATACACTTGCAAGGAGGTTGTTCTGAGATAAGGAGATGGCGGAGACTTGGCGCGTGTGACCTTCCAGGATGGCGATCTCCTGCCAAGTGGCAGTGTCAAATATCCTAATCGGGCCATATGAGCCGGAGATAATAAGTTTCTTCCCGTCCGACGTCCAGGCCAAGCTGCGAACTATATCATAATCATGGTGTTGGAGTGTTTCGAGAAGCTCGCCCGTTTTCGCATCCCAGATTTTTACAGCGTCCTCTTCGTCTCCGCCCGTCGCCAGTTTTGATGAGTTAGGTGAGTACATCATCGCATTCACGCAGCCATGCCCAGTTTTGATTGTCAGGATAGTTTTCCCCCTCTTGACATCCCAGACTCTTGCTGTCCCATCCCAGGATCCACTCACTACTCGCTTACCATCTGCACTCCAACACATTGCGCACACAACGTCGCTGTGTCCTATCCATTTGGCAATGACCTTCTCGTCTCGACACTCCACAACCTCACTTTCTCATCATCGCCTCCGCTTGCAATCGTCTTTCCATCTGGAGACAATGCCATGGACCACACTGCGTCATTCCCGTCCCGCCAGTCCTCGCCTATCTGTGCGCCGCTCTCCAGGTCCCATAGTCGGAGTGAGCCATCCACTGAACATGTAATGATGTGTTGTTCGCCAGGCACGTGCACAACACCGCGGACTTCACTGGTATGACCTCGCATCGTCTGGCGTTGCGTGATCGCTGGCATCTTACTGGTGGATGAAGACATCGTCCGCGCTTAGAGGCTCAACTGCAGCAGATCATGTATACAAGAGAAGTCTGCCAGGATCTTGGAATTGGACCAGGTTATTCGGCAACGATAATGATTGCTGGTGAGTCTAGGGGCCTATCCCCTTTCAATTTGATGCTCATTAGAACTAGATAAGCTATTGTTTATGAAACAATGTGCTTACAGGATTCGAACCTCATACAAGATAGCGTATACAGGTTCTGTGAAAATCGAGGGCGCGCAAGATATATCAAAAGTCGCTAGTAGCAAGTCGTCAGCCTCGACCGGCAGAAGAGCCTAGAGTATCACTCACGGGAAGCACCGTTCGGACGAGCCTAGTGCACAATCACCAGCGATTAATGAGTGTCTGGTTGGGAGTTGAGGGCAATCGTTCGTTCATGCTGTTTTCAATGTGTATTCCATGCATTATCCTCGTGTTCAGAATTCACAGCTCCATTGCTGTGGAGACGAAGCGCTCAGATCTGCGACCGGTGCTATATGCTGTGCACCTTCCTATACGTAAGGACTACGTTGATACTTTTGACAAATGTGCGACAGCGTCTTGCGCTCCCTCTCCACTCCGCACGTGTTTTCCAATTCACATTCAAATCCAATCCCGTCAACTTTTCACGGTGTATACAGGCAGTGCAGCATGTCAACAGTTTTAGAACCCAGGATGGAGTTGTCGTTCACCAAAGATGTCATGATGAGTGTCAATACTTTGCAAATACAGATACACTTCCTCACCACCTCAGGATGAAGTCACTTTACCTCGTGCGCAAGTAGACAGTCCGCTGTATAACATGAATAGAGGGATAACGCATCCAGTTATCTAACCCTGAAACACGACAGAACGGGGACCTCATGGTCAGAGACAGAAGAACTTGGCGTTATGACTTGGGGAAATTGCGAGGCGAAATGCCAAAGTATTACGGGGAGAGGTTCTGGCCTTTGTACAGCTGGCGATAGCTCGATCCCCTCTAGCAATATCTGGGAAGGTGGTCAAGGGTAATTTCATTGACACACGACATGACAACTCTTCAAAGCTTCATATATGAGATCACTTCACAGATTCATCAGGCCCCATTGGCTAACCAGTATGTTTGCCATGCAGATCATTTTCACCCACCACACGAGGCGGCGAGTGAGTCAAGGGTTAGACGTCAGACGTCGGAGGCACGCATTCAACTCGTTTCGTGCGCCAAGGCTGGTGCAACGGGGACCTACATGAACGTCTCCAGGCGACAAACTGTGAACATACTATCCAAAAAGCCGAAGGTAGGCAGCTTCGTATTGAAGTGCTACCCCTTTATATTTGATCTGCCTAACATAGCATGACCCAAATACCAAGCAACCCTATTCTAACATCGAGGCACAGGTTGACAATATAAACCAACTGCTGGGCGTTACTATAACAGCCATCGACATTACAAAGACCTCCTACTCATCGATCTGGTGAAAGGTATCCTCAGGACGGTCGCAAACATCTTTATCACTGCGCAGGTGCCCCCATCAACATCTTTCTGTGGCTTGACCAATCACAATTTTTATCGATACCTCGGTTACAGACCCATCGTCATGTCTCTACAGCTGATAAGCCACTCGCCTCCACCACTATAGACTTTCTCCGGCTCGATGAGGAATGATGCATTCAGTATCTCTAAGGACTATCGACAAGGTATCATGAGGTCTTCTTGAGCCCGATCAGAGGACAGAACGTGAAATCATCTTATTTCGCCTCCCTCGTCTGCTCAATGTTCGACTTTGGCACATAAAACAATAACAGCGTCAAAGCTTGCCACTACTGATCAACATCAGATCAACTCAAACTGGTGGACGAGTATCGACTCTCACCTCACCTCCGAGAGTGCGAATCCGCAAGACAGGTCTAGCATGTTGCGGTATCGATGCGGTAGTATGCAGTAATCTTCTAACATTGGTGAATCCCAATACACTCTGCTCCACACCAGACGGGACACCCTGAACCTGCGCCATCAGCTGAATTTAGAGAAAGTTAAGGGTAACTACCTCGATATTCGGAGTCGATGAAGCACGTGGCTGAGGCTGTGGGGACATGATTACCTCGTTGTAAGTTAGCATGCAACGCCAAATAAAGGCCTATGGAAATTGTTACGTGCAATGTATGGATGAAAATGTCTGTCAGAAATCTCCGTTCTTCTACATCCAGCTATAATACCTATTTCCAGTGCCCTGATGTCCATCGTGATATCGACGGAAACCATGTCCTTGACTTGTACGATGATATTGTTATTCGAAGCAATCCTCTTGTGCTCCTCGCCCGCCGCTGTGCTAGAAAAGTGCGTCACAAAGCTACCCTAGACAATCAAATAATATATGTCGTCAAAATGAGGAGAACTAGATATCGAGTATGTCGAATTGGAAGATTGGCATGTGGGGAGGAACGAGGCAGGTCAATGTGGGGCATTATGGTCCTGCTATATTGTGCTTGCATGAGGGAATGTCGAAGGAAGAGGGATAAGGCGCATGAGAGAATGGGTGACGTGGACAGGAAGCCAAGTTGATAAACGAACCTCGAAGTTAGATCGCACGCAGATCGATCTGTAAAACTGTTATATCTTGTCATTCCAAACACCAGAGTCACTAGCGCTACCATCAGTGAATGCAGGGCGAATGCGAACACATCCTTCTAGAAAATATTGCTCTTCTTCTCAATGAACCAAACGACGCCCCAGAAATACACCGAACCGAAGTAAGAATATACTGACCTTGCACTCCTTACACTGATACCAATATATCGTCTTGTGCTGGCAACGCGCGAATAACGCAGGCATCAGTGTTGAAGTCTGCAAAACAGAACATTAAGCTAACTTCTTTTGAACACGAGCCGACACTTACAGTTGGTGCCGTCAAGGTAAGGCTTCTGACCAGATTGCATTGCGGATGGTGTATGGACCCAGCAAACACTGCTCCTGATCAACTTAGACTTAGAAAATGCTTGGTGATCGCGGCGTGAGTGATAACCTAAAGGCCAGTCGCTTAAGCAGACCCGTCCAGAACCTGAAGGTGTACAGCCCAGAGATAAAACGCGTGGGATAGCCTGAGAGCAAAGGATGTGGGAGGGAAACGTGTTCGGCGTGATGAAGGTGTTTAGATAAGTTGCGGATTTGTAGAGGCCCTTGATGACCACCAGTCATACACACTAATCATTGTAAAACGTGTCAGAGCTAGCGACCTTGAGAGTTTAACAACCTACCTGTATAATGACGACCGCAGCACTGAACATTTGAAGTAGTGAGCCCTGAAGAAAACCAGCGTCAGCCTCCGGAATGCATCTGAAGATCTGTTCAACTTACGAGATGGCGCTCAACAAGCCCTTGATCACGAGGTCCGGTATAACAGAGACATTCTGTTTGACAGTCGTGATACCATTGTCTGATGACTGGGGTCGTTGTAGCAAACTCATGGTTAATCTAGGCCTCTATGTGGAAAAGAAGGGGAAAAGAGACAAAGGAAAACACGCGAAGCACACCATCCGTCGCTCACAACAAATAGCATTATCGCGTTCGACAATTGCACAAGTCTCGCGACAAGGAAACAAGATCGATAGATGTAACGAAAGAGATACAAGTGCAAAATCAATAAAAGCAAAGCTGAAATAGTGGTCCAAATGCACTGTATTAGTGGCCGTTGGCGTGTGGTGGAGATGCGCAGCAAAGAAACAGCACGATCCGAGTCCACCATGGAATGGGTGACTGTGTGGCTGCTGTGGTAGTACTAGTATCTGGAGCAGGAGGGATCGTGGATGTCGAAGCATCGGCAGGCTGAGTGTGCGATGACGACGCCTGGGCTTGGCCGTGCGATTGAATTTGCTGCTCATATGCTCGTTTTGCCTTTTTGTATTGTGGCCCCCGAGCGACCACCAAAGCCTGAACAGAAATAATTAAACCACGGTGATTGTAAACGCACCAAGGAGAGACGTACTTGCTTGTCTCGCACTGCAGCAACTTCGACTACAGGAGGACAGCTTGGGCGTTGAGTGAATTTGATTTCTTCGTTAATGTGAGGTTGAGAGCGGAAGAGTGAGGACAGTTGGCTGATGAGTGCATCTGGACTGTGAACCCGAAGACATTGTGGGATGGGGTTCGGCTTCTTCGTCGGTGCTGAGTCGATATCGGGGAAAAAGTGAAGAAAGGCGAGCTAGGAGCACATGTGGGTCCAACCGCGAAGGCATGGAGGGTTGCTGAAGTTCGTCTGGTGCATCATTTTCAGGTGGAGAGCGGCGCTTGAATAACGACAGGCGAGCGAGGAGTGCATGTGGATGAAATGAAAGCCTTGAAGGTTGCGGAAGTTCGGTCGCTTCATCATTGTTGTGTCGAAAGCGGCGGAGGGGCGAGGAAAGGCGAGTGAGGAGTGCAATTATAGAGGAATGAGGGTGTGCACTACCCATCGGAGAGGACTGAGATCACAGAGGTCTAAATAAGAGCTATATAATAGAAATACTGATTACGCACATCGAAATCGGCTTCCATGCCATCGAAAAATGTTGGTGAAAGGTCGTCGAGACCGCCCCACTGGCCAGGACATCGTGTAGCATCAGCCTGGAATATTATTGTTATAATGAATATTGAGAAGGATTGCGAAAAAGGCACGTACTTCCAAAAATGACTTGTCACTGAGCGATGAATCATCTTGAGGTGCCTTCTGTTCGAGTCTGTCTTTTGGCGCCTAATAGCAGCCATTGTCAGTGAGAGAAAGTGGGTGATATGTCGACACTCACAATATTGGTACCAATGGGAAGTAGGTCTTCAAAACCAGCTTCTTTAAGGATGGCGTGAACGTCCCATGCATACGCGATTTTGTTTTCGCAACCAGTGACTAACACCTTTCCATCAGGGGAAAGGGCTGCGGAACGCAAAACTCTTTGGTGCTGGAGAGGCAGTCCGACTTGGAGGTTGGTGTCGAGATTCCATAGACACGCTGTTTTATCGATTGATGTACTTGCAAGGAGGCGGTTGTTCAGAGACAAGGAGATGGCCGTGACACGGTCCGTGTGGCCTCAAAGAACGGCGATCTGCTGCTAAGTGGCAGTGTCGAATATCCTAATCGAGTCATTTGAACCGGAGATAAGCTTCTGTCCGTCCGACGTCCATGCCAAGCTGAAAACTCTTCTATTGTGTTCGAGTGTGTTGAGGAGCTCGCCCGTCTCTGCATCCCAGATTTTTACAGTATGCTCATATTCTCCACCCGTCGCAAGCTTTGATGAGTCGGGTGAGTACATCACAGCGTTCACCCAGCCATGGCCTGTTTCGATTGTCAGGATGTTTTTGCCGCTGTCGACATCCCAGACTCTTGCTGTACCGTCCCAGGATCCACTCGCTACTCGCTCACCATCTACACTCCAGCACAATGCGCACACAACATCGGTGTGTCCTGTCCAATTGGCAATGACCTTCCGAGTCTCGACATCCCACAACCTCAGATTGTAATCGTCGCCTCCGCTTCCGCTGGCACTTATCTTTCCATTTGGAGACAGTGCCATGGACCACATTTCATTATCCCCATCTCGCCAGTCCTCGCCTATCTGTGCGCCGCTCTTTAGGTTCCATAGTCGGAGTGAGCCGTCCAATGAACATGTGATGATGCGTTTTCCGTCAGGCAAGTGCACAACACCATATACCCAGTTGGCATGACCTCGCATTGTCTGGCGTGGCGTGATCGCTAGCATCTTACTGTCCGGGGAAACCATGGTCGGGGCTCGAGGTCTCAACTATGGCGGGTCGTGGACTGCATATAAGGGAAGTCTGCCAGGATCTTTGAAGCAAACTGGATTATCCGACAGTGGCAATGATTGCTGGTGAGTTCGGGGGCCTATCTCCTTTCAATTTGATGCATGTCAGCACTACACAAGCCATGGCTTACGAGACAACGTACTTACAGAATTCAATCCTCACCTACAAGACGGCGCATGCAGGTGCTGCGAAATTCGAGAATGCGCAAGAGATCCTTATGGGTCTCAGAAGTCCCTGGTAGCAGATCGTCAGCCTAGAGTATCACCCACGGGAAGCGCTGTTCAGACGAGCCTAGTGCGCAATCACTAGTGATCAATGAGTGTCTGGTTGGGAATTGAGGGTAGTCGTTCGTTCATGCTGTTTTAAGGTTTGTCATATGCGTGTTTGCTTCACAGCTTCATTGCTGTGTAGACGAAGCACTCAGGTCTGCGACCAGTGCTACGTGCTGTGTATCTTCCCATACGTAAGGACTACATTGATGGCTATAACAATCATTAGCGTCACGCGCCCCCTCTTTCCTCCACACGTTTCTTCTAGCCTATTTTTGAACTCAATGTCATTAACATGTCAAAATGTATACAGGCTGTGCGGATGCTAACCGTATTAGTACCTATGATGGAATTGTCGTTCACCAAGGATGCGTGGTGAGTGATAATACCCCGCAAATACATTTATTCGCCGCCTCAGGACAAAGTCACTTTCCTTCATGCGAAAGTCGACAGTCTGCTGTATTACATGAATAGATGGACAACACATCCAGTTATCCAACCCTGAAACACGACAGAACGGGAGATCCTTCTCAACCACCACACAAGGCGAAGAATGACTCGAGGGTCAGTTGCCGGAGGCGCGCGTCAAACTTGTTTCGTGGGCTGGACCTACTACAAGGACGTCCCCAGGTGACAAACTGTGAACATGCTATTCAAAAGGCAGCTTCATATCTAAGTGCAACTCCCTGTATGTAATTTGGTTTGCCTAACATCGGATAACACCAAGGGGATGCAGGTCGTCGATAATGTAAACCACCTGCTGGGCATAACCATAATGACCATCCACATTACGAAGGACCTCGTACTCATCAATCTGGTGAAAGGTATTCTCGGACTGGTTGCAAACATCCCCATCAATGACTGCGCAGGCGCGCCGGTGCGACCTCCCGAAAGGTTCGCGAAGGCATCCTCAGATCCACACAACCAGTGATCGAGAATTATTCTGATTCCTCGGCGATAGTCAAAAAATGCGAGACTATCAGGGAAGTCCTTAAAAGAGCAACCAAGGATGATGATCTCCGAGGATATTTGGGGCATGCTTTATCCCAGCTCAACTAATGAGCTGAACCAATATAATTGTCGTTTATAACACCGCGCAGAACAGTAAATCACATCGATAGCGAAGTAATGAACGAGGTTTGTGGCAGAGGTTATTCTATGTCACGATTAATTGCAACTGAATTGCTGGGTGGAATAAAGACTTAGACTGCATGATCTTCCTCTTCAATGTACGTCTCTAGAATCAACCTGAACTTCTGCTATTGGGTGGTGTCTTAAGCCTGAAGCGATAGTTGGCACAGCGCTCAGGCTCGTAGAGAAGCTGGCTTTGGGACTCGAGAGCATGAACCTGAATGTCCCAATATCTCAAAGTAAGCTGTCATTTCGCCGAGTGATCTGTGTTCTCTGATTGCAGTCAAGTATTACCCACCAGTATCTCCACCACGTCCTTCCATGTCTCATATGACCGATAGAATCTCGTTGCAGCGTTGACGAGCCTCACTGTGAATCATGAACATATAGTGCTGATCGGTCCGGGAGGCATGATCAAGTTCTCTATCCCAAAAGAAACGGTTGCCACGGAGGAATTTGCTGATGGGCGCTTCTTTGTGACCTACAATGGTTTGATCCTCCGACCATCACCTTTGAAGCTTTTACGACTCCTTTTGCGGGTAGCTTTGGCATCAGATCTGACGATAAGTCACAAATTCGTTCATGCAGGGATGCTCTTATGCGGTGACATGAACCATCGTCACCCCATTAAGAATGAGAACGACGTATATCATCGCCAGAGTCAATTTCCTAGTCTGAACATTTGTCCTACTTCGTAGCAGCAAAAAATCTCACACCTTCACCATCAGCAACGCCGATGATCTGCGCCTGGTTAGACTGTGTAAGGACGGTGATAGCCCGCCGCAATAATGGTATAGGAATGCCAGAGAGAGGTGACGGAACGGGAGGGTCTGAAATCTCATAAAACGTGAGGATCGTGTTGAGCTGACCAGTTGCTGTTGCCTAAACCCGTAGGACAAGACACCCTGAGTTTACTTTCAGTAGAAACTTGACTGCGTACCCATGAATGTAGGACATCAGCCCATTCTTCTGGAAGACGCCAATAAAGTAAAACTGCCGAGTCTGCTTGGACGGCTCATACATTGCGACGTTCTTCATGACCATCGCAGCCGTTAAAGACGAGAGATACGGTGGTGTAATTCGACCTACAACACCAATGACACGTCAAGGCTTCGCAAAATACGAATTGAAAGCAAACGCACGGTTTATCCTCTCATTGCGGAGAATCTCATCCCAACCGCCACCAGGAACCTCCGCGTCCTCGACCCGAAGAGCAAACAGTTGTCTATGCCGTGCATATGTCAAGATGAGGCGGATCCATTGCTCGGTGAGGTGAGCTTGGGTGTTTGGGTTTGGTTGCTCACTGGCTAGCAAGTGGAATTAGTTAGTGTTTAAGTTAGGAATCCGAATGCGTACGTGAAAAAGGGAGGTGCTGCGTGGATCGATGGCAACAGAAATCCTTGATGAGTAAGTGAGTTTGTCGGTTATAACAGTGCACAGTGGGTGAAGGTATTACCTGAGGGTGTAGTGTGGGCGGTAAGAGCCATCAAAACGAGCCGTCATCGCCACAAGCTAAGTTGCTTAATACTATACAACTTTGCAAATCTCGCTCGGACAGCCTATGATCAGTAAGTACGCAGCCTTTGAATCTCTGCTCACTCCGTGCATGTTAGTCGATCCTGTTTTTTTTGCTCATTAATGAGCCGCAGCTTTCAGGCTCCAATCTTTCTACAATGACTTCTACTGGATAACTTCCAAGCTGACTCGACCTCCCTGTCAAGTCAGCCTCTTGGTGAGTTTCGTAGATCGTATTGCCTCATCTGATCTTCAACCATGGGTAGCATTCTACGCAGAAGCTTTGTATCGTATCATTTAGGAACGACTGTCTTCTATTTGGTCTGCTTACGGGACTTGGGACTACGTATTGCTAACATTGGTCCCATATTATTAGCTCAAGCTCTCAGGCCGAACCAGGAACTGCCACGTCAGTTGTTCTAGTGAGCTGTGGAACAAGTGCGGACCCGGGACGACGCATTTAGGACAAGTTACGACTCATGACTTGCGACTCACACAGCGACTGCGGAAGCGCTACCCACGGTCAGCCTGCGACTATAAGAACCCACCCTCTGGTGATTCACTTCCCTTCCCATACAATCACGAACACTTCATAAACTTTTCTTAACAGTAATCATGAGCAACCCTTCACGAGGCAGAGGCGGTACCCAAGGTGGCTACCCTGGTGGCCCTCGAGGGAGTGCTGGTGGATTCAGTGGAGGAAGAGGCTCTGGTACGAGGGGCGGATATGGCGGTGGTTCCAGAGGGGGAGTACCAGGAGATTTGATCTTCCGGGGCCCTGCATCTGTAGACCAACGTCTCGCTACCTTGGATCAGTTAGTCTCTTCCTTCAACAAACTCACCTTCAACCCTAAGCGCCCTCACCGGCCTGGTTTTGGTACCCTTGGCCGTTCAATCACATTGCGTGCCAATTTCTTTCCTGTCAAGCTTTCCAAAGGACCCTATTTATGATTACCATCTCGAGATTACGCCGTCCACAGATATTAAGCGCATTCGTGCACGTCTTTTTGAGCTTCTGGAACAAAGTGATCAAGAAGGCTGGCAACAGTTTGTGCCGTTCATCGCTCACGACAGCAGCCAGAGGCTTGTATCGAAGATGAGGTTGCCTCAGCCCCTTGACGTGCAAGTCCAGTATTACGAGGATGGAGAAGCCGGTCCCAATACCAGATTCAAGACGTATACATTCGCAATTATCCACACAGCTGACTTGGATGTCACACAGCTCACCAAGTAAGTTGTGGAAAGCCTCATTTGTTCTCCCGTTAATTCATGGTGTGTAGGTATCTCAGCGGCAATATCGAGTCGCGAGACTACGACGTCCAGCCACTGGTATCTGCTGTGAACCTCGTACTTCAAACACATGCAGCGCGAACCGGTGTTCGTGTGGGCAAGAATCGCTACTTCTTCCCCTCGCAAGAGCGTTTTGAGCTTGCGCTTGGCATAGACGCCGCGAAAGGCTTCTTCACGTCCGCCAGACCTGCATATAATGAGCTCATGGTAAACGTCGGTGTCTGTATGACTGCCTTCTACAAGCCGGGCAACCTTGCCGAGGCCATCATGGCGTTCCAGCGGTCGTCCTGACGGCGCCATGCTGCAGCGGTTTACCCAGAAGCTCAAGGTGACCACTGGACATCTAGGGTACAAGCAAAAGAAACCGATCAAGAAGATCATGCCAACGAGTGCTAGGCGGACTTTTTTCCATTGCGAAGAATATCATGGCAAGATATCCGTTGAAGAGTATTTCAAGAAAAGTCCGTCTCCTTTATCACATTCTTTGTTCACTCGTTAATTTTTTAGCAGAGCATCCCCACATTACGCTGAGGCATGCAGACGACCTTCCAGTCATTGACATCTCAGGTCCGAATTCGAAATTCTCCATATACGTACCAGCCGAACTATGCGAAATCGAACCCGGGCAACCGTTCCGAGGACGTCTCAATGAGAAAGAAACTTCGAACATGATTCGGTTCGCCTGCAATCCGCCAAAAGTCAATGCAGATGCCATCATTGAACGCGGTCTCCCCACTCTTGGGTTTACTCCCGAGACGCTGAGCAGTCCTCTGAGCAGCTTCGGCATCGCAGTGGATAACAACATGGCGGTCGTCCCTGGACGTGAACTTCCACCGCCCCGTCTTAGCTATGGAGCAGGAGGGAGGCCGCTTAACGTCAGCAATGGCAGTTGGAACATTGTTGACGTCAAGTTTCATAACGGCGGGGCCATCAAGAGCTGGTGGGTGTTTGTCGTTAGAGAGAAAGATGGACGAAGTGTGTTCAGCGGGGCCGACGACCCGATTCTGACTGATCTTTGGAGGAGCTTTGGCGACAAATGCCTCAATAGCGGTATCTCACTGAAATCACAACCTGTCAAGCTTGCCCAGTCACTCATCCCTCGCGCCGATGATCCTAACAGGCAGCAGGCGCTAGACTCGATTCGTCAGAAGATTAAAGAGAACATTTCCCAGAGAGGAAAACCATCATTCATCCTCGTCCTCCTCTCTCGCCGGGATAACTACATATATCCGGGCATCAAACGGATTTGCGACGTCGAGGTTGGCGTCCACACCATACATATGCTTACAGATAAGGTGGTAGGAAAGGACGCCAATAAACAAGATCAATACTTCTCGAATGTCGCTCTCAAGTTGAACACGAAACTCGGAGGTATCAATCATGTGTTAGATCCGGACAGCTTGAAATGGTTGACGAAGGCTAAAACGATGGTTGTGGGCATGGACGTTACGCACCCCGGCCCTGGCAGTATTGAAGGCACACCATCGATTGCCGCTGTTGTTGCGAGCGTTGATAGTTCTTTCGTCCAATTCCCAGCAAGTCTCAGGTGTCAGGAAACCAAGAAAGAGGTAGGCTATGTCTCGATGTTATCGCCGTAACTCTCATCCTTCTTTGTAGATGATCACGGATCTGACTTCTATGATGATTGACCGGCTCATATTCTACGCGGAGAAGAACCAAACCCTACCGGATCGAGTCTTTGTTTACAGGGACGGTGTGTCTGAAGTGAGATAGGTTTTCTTACGATCTCGAAGCCGCTTGCTAATATCAACCCGACAGGGTCAATTCAATACAGTGTTAGAGGAAGAGCTTCCTAAAATCCTGGAGGCATTTAAGAGGGTCCCGCAGAGGAAGCCGTATCGTCCTTTGTTGACGATTATCATTTGTGGAAAGCGACACCATGCTAAGTTTTGGCCGACTGACTCTCAGTTCGCGGACCGGAACGGTAATACTCGTCCAGGAACCGTTGTCGACAGAGGCATCACTGCAGTGTACGGCCGTTCTCTTTGACCACAAGTTGATTGTTCTTATATTTGATACCCTAGGTTCGACTTCGATTTCTACCTTCAAGCTCACGCTGGCTTGCAAGGCCACGTGAAGGCAACACACTACACTGTGGTATATGACGAGAACCGCCTCGGCGCAGATGAACTTCAGCAGGGTACGCACACTGCAAGTTACCTGTACGCCCGTGCCACCAAGGCGGTCAGTCTCGTCCCGGCCGCGTACTATGCCGACCTGGCATGTGAGAGAGGGAGGTGCTACTTGAACGACTTCTTGAGTGCTGATGACAAGGTGTCAAGCTCTGTCGTATCAGGGAAAGGAAGGGGAAGGGGGAAAGGGAAGGCAGACAAGGAGGAAGAGAGGTTACGGGTGTTTGAAGAGGCGAAGAAAGCATGGGGAGAAGGCGTGCACCCCGACTTGCGGGCGAGCATGTTTTATATCTGACCGTTGAATATTGATGGCGGGCTATTGCGAGTTGTACCAGTACCGTACTTGTATTGGACCTTGTTGTATTTGTCATGTGATCTTATACTCGCTGCAATTGATTTTTTTTTTTAAATCGAATTTATTGTCCTTCGGTGTACATGTCGAAGACCCTATGTAACTCCTTTTTATAGCTCTTGCATCAAAGTCTTTGTCGTTAACACTGGATTCGAAATTATCGGGCTAGTCGCTGTCCAGAACTGCTTAAAATGATATAATGATCAGAACACCGTACCAACCTCCGACGCCTGCGTTGTCTCAGACCCTTTGGCCAACTCTGCTTGCAAAATTATTCGTGCCCATGTTGCAACTCAAACCTCTCAGACTCATTGCACCGCCGTGACGTACTCCACCCGACCGATGCACAGGGCTCTACGCATTTGTGAAATCCTTCTGGAGATATTCGCGTATGTTCCACACAAGCTGTCAGATCACCTCACAATCGTTCAGAAATGGACGGCACATAATTCGCCTAGACCTTAAGGTTCTCAACCCGGAACCCATATAAAAGTAGTTTCTTCATTTCAATGATCAATACTTCGCCAAAGTCCCAGAAGGTGACTCTCACAGACCAATCCTATCAGCGTCGAGGCCTTTTCAAGCATGAGCAGGTACGTCGTTGATAGCAATGATGGAGCAAAGGTGCGATGCTTCATTTGCATTGTTTGAACTAATCTGACCATCTCCTTTAGGTTGGTCTCCACGACGAAGGCGTTGTTGGCAACGCGAGATACTGATGACCCATTCTTACTGGAAACAAAACATCAGCTTGATCAAATGCTCTGCGCTGATATGCATCCACTTGAAAGCAATACACACTGGCGTTTGCGTGTGTATTCATAGAAACGCTCTGATACGAACAGGATGAAATATTTGGTTTGTGATCGAGCGATTTTGGCACCAGTGTGGCGGCTGGAGGCCTTAAGCCAGATTGGGCCCCAAAAACTTCAAGCTACGCATCCACACACGTAGCATTGTAATTCATGCTATACTCTAGAGGTGCTGTACGAAATCAGAACATAACTACTTAAGCGCACAACAGGAGTTACAGTACCGCGCCCACAACGACATACCGTGACGTCCAGCGCCCTCTGCCCCAACCAAAACAAACAGCTTGCACTTACTAAGTGGCATGAACGGGAGTATACATCGTTGGTCCTTGATCGATCTGGTCTGTTGCACCGCTTGAAGTCAAATCAATCACAGAAGTACTGGCGATTATCATACGGATTTGAAACTTCTACATACCAAAACCAACCATCCAGCAAAATCCTACCGTTTGTCGCGTGTCGAGTTCTAGCTTGAACCTTCGCGTCCGACAGAGCATTTTGCCATAAATTTTTAGGAGAACTTATCGGATAGGAGTCAACAATGTGCCTCGCGCGCTAGGATACACTATTAGGACACGCTAGCAGGAAAACTTGGTTACAATTGAGGGTTGCTCAATTCTCAAAGTTCGAGTTCGCCTGGGAACCGAGCACCGCTAATGATTTACATACCACATCAAGTGTTGGTGCTGCGCACCGTACTAAGGTTTAGTACGAGTCCCGTTTAGGACAGGTTCAAGTTGGCGGTGCTCGATTCCCAGGTGAACTCGAACTTTTAGAATTGAGCAGCTCTCCTAGAGAGCCTCTCCATTATTTGTGATCTGCTGGTTATGACAGTTGGAAAACGAACTCATCCAACATGCTTACCCAGATCCCTCAACCATCATCCTAGGAGCGGTTTTGAAGACCCATATTTCACCGGAGTTGGCGTGGACTGAGACTTTCATGTTCAAAGCGCTCAGCGCCCATCATTCCAAGTCCCCGAGATAGTCACCTGTCTGACTTATCTTCTCAAGGGGTTTGCATTCACTTATGAATTGCAAGACTAGCTATTGATAGCGCGTCTCCATGTTGCTGTGTGCCGCCCAAAAATGATATTCATGTGTATCTGCAACGTGCACTGGCGCGAGACGCTTTAAATACCTACCATTCATGCATGCCCTTCATCTTCAACCCTCGTCATGTCTGATATCGTCTCATACGATACCCTCAAGGACTCTCAAAGGCCGGAAGCTCACAAGAAGCCCATCCCTACTCGATGGCAACCCCCCTCATCCCTTTTCCCGCGTTTGATCTTCCACACGATGTGCTTTTGCTTGACGTTTCACTCGAATCTGGATTTCATGTGGGAGATCTTCCGAGAGCCTAATGGTTGGGAAAACTTCCATACTCAATACCTTACTCAAATTAATCAGTTGAGTACTGTGGTAAGTCGGTTGCTGTTTAGCGCTTAAATCTTCTTAATCGTTCTTTATAGCAAGGATTGGTCCTTACGACTGTCGCAGTCTTTATCTCCACTCCGCCCCCTCTGCAGCAGATTGACTACGCTGCTGATGGACCGTATACACTCCTATCGGAGTCATTGGTGTTCTCGTTGTTTGGTCTTTTGCTTCAACTCTTCACCTCTGTCGTGGGGCAGAGTTATCAAAAGCAGAAAACTTTCAAAGTGAGTAATGTATAGAACTACACAAACTGGTACTGACCCCGAACAGGCTTTAAAGCGAAATCGCTGGCGGTTCCTATGCCATATCATTGTTCTCTCCATTCCGGTCTATATCTTCGGCATATCTCTACTGCTGCTCATCTTCGGTGCGTTTCTTGTTCTCCGCTAGACAATATTATGCCTGATCAGCACATCTTGAATAGCCATCTCTGTGACAGGCTTCCTGTCCTCTTCAACTTCAGCTCGGATTTTTACTGGAGCAACATTCGCGGTGCTTTTTACGTGTCTGTTTGTTTCTATCCTACCGTCGCCGTTCTTTTCGGGACCCCGTGATATGTTACCTAAGATGTTGCGGAGCACAACAGACTCTGTTGATGACGACGATGACGACGACGACGGGTTGGACAAGGAACGTAGTGAGAAGGGGGCGGGGGGCCCTGTATGAGGTTTATTTCAAGATGTCTTCTCTGATGTACCCGTCCTAATGTTCCGTAAGTTTCTTTCTACAAGCTGATGTATCATATTCGAGAGCGGACTACGAGCTCATGATATTTATTGATATGCAGATACGCATTCCTAGATCTTTCAGGTACAATAGATATCTTGTGCCATCTGAAGACCAGACCGTTACGACTATTCACCTGAGTGGCACCATTAAACTTCTGGCCGCACCAAAACAAGCTTAAGTACGGTATAAGCGGGAGTATGTACCACCGGTCCTTGATCTGTTGCACAACTTGCAGTCACATCACTCATAGAAGTACTGGAGGCAGATACGATCATCACATTGATGAAACTTCTATCAAAACTATCTAGTGTCTCCTAACAAAATCCTACCGTTTGCCGCATGTCGAGTTCTAGCCTAAACCTTCGCGTCCAACGGAACATTTTGCCGTAAATTTCCAGGAGAACTTGCAGGATGGGGTCAACCCTGTGCCTTGCGCGCTGGGATAGACTACGACTCGCTAGCGATTGGACGATGTAGACAGGACAATTTGGTCACAACTGGGCGTCAATCGAGGAAGCGGTACCCTGACGAAGCCTGGACATGCTTTACGTAAATTAATTTGCCCTCCATTATTTGCGGTCTGCCGGTCATGACCTGAGCTGGAAAACGAACCCTTCCAACATGACTTACCCGGATCCCTCAACCATCATCCTGGGAGTGGTCTTGAAGACCCCTATTTCATCGGAGTTGGCATGGACCGAGACTTCTATGTTCAAAGCGGCCGCAAAGCGCTCAGCGCCAATCATCCCGAGTCCCTGAGATAGTCACCTGTTTGACTTGTCTTCTCAAGGGGTTTACTAACTTATAAATCACAAGATTGCCGATTGATAGCGCGTCTCCATGCTACTGCGCGCCGCACAAACAAATGATATACATGCGTATCTGCAACGTGCACCGGCGCCAGACGCTTTAAATACACACCATTCACTCATCCCCTTCATCCCCAGCCCTCGTCATGTCTGATATCAGTCTCATACGACATCCTCAAGGACTCTCAAAGGCTGGAAGTTCCCAAGAAGCGCATCCCCACTCAATGGCGACCTCCCTCATCCCTTTCCCGCGTGTGATCTTCCACGTTATGTGCTTTTGCTTAACGTTTCACTCGAATCTGGATTTCATGTGGGAGATCTTCCGAGAGCCTAATGGTTGGGAAAACTTTCACACTCTATACCTCACTCAAATTAATCAGTTGAGTACCGTTGTGAGTCGTTTTCTTTTCAGCGCTTAAACTTTCTTTATCGTTCTTGATAGCAAGGATTGCTCCTTACGACCTGTCGCAGTCTTTATCTCCACACCGCCCCCTCTGCATCAGATCAACTACGCTGCCGATGGACCGTATACACTCCTATCGGAGTCATTGGTGTTCTCGTTGTTCGGTCTTTTGCTTCAACTCTTCACCTCCGTCGTGGGGCAGAGTTATCAAAAGCAGAAAACTTTCAAAGTGAGTAATGTATAGAACCCCCCAAACTGGTACTGACCCCGAACAGGCTTTAAAGCGAAATCGCTGGCTGTTCCTATGCCATATCATCGTTCTCTCAATTCCGGTTTATCTCTTCGGCATATCTCTGCTGCTACTCATCTTCGGTGCGTTTTTTTCTTCCGCTAGACCGTATTATGCCTGATCAGCACATCTTGAATAGCCATTTCTGTGACAGGCTTCCTGTCCTCTTCGACTTCAGCTCAGATTTTTACCGGAGCAACGTTCTCGGTGCTTTTTACGTGTCTGTTTGTTTCTATCCTACCGTCGCCGTTCTTTTCGCGACTCCATAAGATATTGCATAAGATGTTGCGGAGGACAACAGACTCTGTCGATGATGACGACGATGACGACGACTATGAGTTAGACAAGGAACGTAGTGAGAGGGAGACGGGGAGCCCTGTATGAGGTTTATTTCAAGATGTCTTCTCTGATATACCCGCCCTAATGTTCCGTAAGTTTTTTTCTACAAACTAATGTATCATATTTGAGTACGAGCCCGTGATATTTATTGATACGAAGGAACGCATTCCTAGATCATTCAGGTACAAGAGATACCTTGTGTCATCTAAAGATCAGACTGCTACAACAACTGCTTGTAGTTGTGAAACGTCCCAGCACAAGTTTATACAAGCTTACGGATTAGTCGGTGGAGAGGCAGTGACTGCGACTTCCTTTTCATCAATGGTCAGCGCTTCAGCCAAAAGATCGATGTGCTCGTACGAGCCCCGCTTGTCATTCAACGTTCAATATTCAACGGTGATCATCAACCTTTCTGTATGACAACTGAACACACTGGATCAGCGAATTATGATGTCGTTCAGCGACCATTCCCTATAAGAATGAAAACAGGATTCTCCTGATAGTGATCGTGACATCAATCATGATGCACCCCTGAAAAATTGTTCTTCGAGTGGGCCGACTTACCTTTCGAGAAGGTCAAATGAGGGCATTGTGCGTTCTATGATAGATCGATCATTATGAAAATCACACGAACGTTATACAAACCACAATGACAAGCAACGTTGACGATGTCGTAAGTGTAGCAAACGTATGTTGGAGGCTCTGTGAGATGCGGAAATCGAAACCGCCGGAATATTTGTTTCAGAGCGAGCTGTATGATATCCAGTACTGGTTTGGGCTGTAAGCTGTTGCAACCCTAATGAGATAGAACAAACTTTCCAGAAAGCACAGCAATTGCTCAGCAGGTAGGCTCAGGGCCAATTGCGATGACGCAAAACGGGGGGGTTAATTTTCGACCGACACTGACGTATCATGAGAGTGCTGTATTATAACAATAGTGAGCTCTTGATATATGACTACTAGGGAGATGCTTCGATGAAACTTCTTTCATGCAATGGACTCGAAGAACGTCAGAAGAATGGATGCGTCAGTCAGCGGACCCTAGTTATCACAAACAAATGAGAAATGAAGCTGAGAAACCCAGTGCCCTACTGGAATTCGTGTGGAGATCAGGCTGGACAAAACAGGCTATGCTCCGAAAGCACTGCTCAATGTGAGAACAGAAGATCCGGAGGCCAGGGAGAATCGACAGTATGAATGAATGATGGCATGCAGCCGGGTACGCCTAATTCAAGTGTTGGGGTGGCCGATGGAGAACGTGTGATGCGCATCGTCATCACAAGATGCGGGACAATCGGAGGGCCACCAAGGACCGGTCTCACGGTCTGTGGTAGACCTTCGGAAGTACTGCGGCGGTATTGCACAGCGTCTTTGGTAAAGTTATAATCAACTCAACTCACGTTTTGTTCACATCCAACACAGTTCCGACAACATCCACAATAATGTCCACTCATCCCTCTCCAGACCCATTTAAACGTAGGCTCCTCCTCTTTCTTCTTGACTCTTATATAGAAACCTGACATTCGTTGACAGCCATGACCATGTCGCCATCTTCTAGTGTGCAACACTCACCCCCTGTTGATCTCAGACGTATGACGTCCAATTCGACACTGCTTAACCCCCAAAAAGATTCAACTAGGGAGCACAGACTCTCAACTCATCTTTCTCAGCACTTGAATACAAGGATGGGCTCTCGCTCACCCTCTTCAATTCCTTCATCGCCAACATCTGCGTAAGCCACTCCACTTTCATCAAATACTCACACTTACATTTATTGCTACCACAGCCACTCATCGTCATCCGCAATTTTCGAGCGTGATATTGAGCCCATGCACCCACCATCTCCCCCTTCTCACCCGAATCCCCATCGCATCGCACGCGCAAAAGGCACCGAGCAACTCGAGCACAGTGTACCTTCTGTGCTCGACAGTGCCGCTTCGATTCTCACAGCCTCTTCTCCCATGGAGGAAGATCACATTTCCGTCGTTAGTCCTTCGCGAGATCGTGATCGTCTCACTACTAGCGGTTTTGCTAGCCCAATCGGTAGCTTGAGAAGCAGGAGCCCAAGTCCAACAGGAAGGACGAGCTTGTTACTGAGCATCCCGACTCAGCAGGGGCCCATCACCCCCCTAAATATTTCTGCGTCGGGTGTGGGAGCGGGCAGTCCACAGCGGCTGAGCATCCAGACCAGCCCACTCGCTTTCCCCTCAAAACAGGGTACGAGTAGCAAGGCCTCTTCCCCACCTTCTATCAACACGCCTGCATCTGTATATTACTCGACGCTTTCATCAGTTGAACCGTCACCTACGACCACAACTATGGAGCATCCCCCTACCGTACTCCCTCCTAATGCCATCTCAACACTCTCACCTTCATCAACCTACACATCTTCACCTTATTCGCGTCCCATCACTATCTCCCACCCCCCGTCCCCGACGCACGGCCCCACTAAGCGTCTCTCGTTTATGAGTTACGCTGATCTGCTCGCATCGACACCCGCATCAATGGTTCCGCTGTCATCATTCACCAGTTGTGCAACTCCCGACCCGCCGCCTCACATTCCAGGTGTCGAAGGGTACGCGCTCAACCAGCACGATGCTGCCAGTCTAAGCGGTCGTGATCGCGACAGCATCGCCTTGCTCGATGACGTCGGTGGCGAGTGGGAGCGCGAGGGTCTCGGACGAGGCCTCGAAGAAAGATTGGAGGCCTTGATGATCGTCCCTAGCAGAGCATAAATCTGGAGGCACTGAAGTCAAACAGTCCCGCCTTTTTTTGACTTGCTCGCTGCGAACCCAACATGAAACTAATGATATCTTACGATTTCACGCTGTATTAATCCGTCCTTCGTTCCATGCATATCTTTCGCTATTCCTATTCCTATTCCCGCCCTCGATACCGGCTACCTACTTCCTCATTTTCCACAACGTTGGGTCAATAAAAATATCTATGTAAGATCGTCTTATTTCGTTACTTATGATATGATCAATTTCTTGGATACTGTGACTAAGGGATACTTTATTCTTTTTTGTGCAGATGTTTAGTGTCGGGTATTCGTATGTTGATACGATGCAATGGTTCAGATAATTGTTGTCAAGTTACTTGATATTTCGTTACACGAGTGCCCAATAAGCCAAGGAATGCATTTATTATGTACGATGTGGAGCAGCAACCGAATCTGAGTTATTTTTTTCGTAGAACAAACGACATCACTGAATGCCCAATTGGAGGAGTAATTGATAGCTACTAGAACACCTGCCAGTACCCTTGCAGAACCTCTGAACCCAGCACTAATATTCAAGACTCGTCCGCTTTTTGAGGCCCTTTACTAGTACCACTCGTGACGCGAACAACGCTGATGCATAGGTTCGATAAATGGTGGTAGAATGGTGAACCCAGAATCGACACCAAATGACAAGCGCCAAGGAAAGCAAATGTTATGCTTATATAAAGCTGGACAGTTTTGGAGTGAGATGTGAACCCCGTGAGCACGATGGCTGATGATAAACTGTGTAAGTCGCGATCACGCATTATTACGAGGTGAACAGCCCACCTATGAGCAAAAGCACCACTGATATAGCAAAGATAATGATTGGCACTGCCAAACCCAGGAGGTGCCAGAATATTCTCCAGCGCCTCTCAATTATGATCTGTGATGAGGTCAGCCCTGACTTGCCACATGACAATGGACAATACGTACTTCTGCGGTGCTACGTCTTTGAAAAAGGAATCCAGAGGCAGATACCTTCAGCTGGAACAATAGCCCAAACAACGAAAAGACAAGCGACTCCGCCAAACAGGCGTAAGATGCATGAGACGTGTAGTCGACCTCTGTCACAAGTGGTGGATTTGAGGAGATAAAAACCGCCGCAGTGGTAAGCACAAGTCCTTGCTACGCAAGAACACATTAATGCGACCAATTTGAATGAATGATGCCCATCATCGACTTACCACGATGCTTATTTGATTGAGCTGGGTCAGATATTGATGATGCAGCTCTTCCCAGTTTTTTCCTTCTTTCAAGAGGGCGTGCAACCATTGCAGATCGCTGCGCCAGGTGAATATGAAGCAGCACATTTTGAAGATATACCGCGGAATAAAGGATTCTGGAGCATTCCACTTGGGTGGAAATTTGTTGAAGAAGCTCTCATCTGGGGCAGCAGTACGTAGCCGTGATGGCTGTGAGTGTCCACTGGCAACTTGAATATCCTGACTTGGGCTGAACATAAGTAGCAGTAGGAGGGTAACTGACTTATCTGAGTCAGAAACAATCGCGAGGATATATAAGCCATGTAAAGGGTTTATGCTGCCTCGTGTTGGCTGCACCTGAGTTCTGATGGCGCAACGCTACTTCATTTCAGTCTTGCAGCACCGAAACTTCGAATGCACGTGTAACTTACCTCTGTCACATTGTAAGTACTAGCCTTAGTTCGATTCGGGAACGTAATCGATACGCACCGTACGAGTAAGGTTTGATTCTCGGCCCTGAACGCTACATAAAAAGTCAGAGTGGGATCCCTATCGTCAATTGAGGGGTTGCTGAAGTGCCGACTGGGAGCGCCAGGGCTATTTTCCTAGACAAGAATTTCGGAAGTTACGCGCCAAACTGAACAGAACACGTGAATCTGATCGAGATCATAATGAATGTATACGAGTGAAGGGATGGAAGAAATATACGGCGCAAAGGCACGCTAATGGCATGTACATTCGGGTGCAGTGATAAAATTCTCAAGGGCAGAAAATAAGCGCGCATCTCGTAAAAGAGGCTGAATGAAACGATAGAACCCTTTTGTCTTGTGTTCTCAACATTTGTCACGGCGAATACCCCACCATGCAGCTGCCCCAAAATTTTGAAGTGAGGGCAAAAGCACGACGGACAGTAGGTTAGCATCGACGGTCGCATACGAGTTAGGAGTGATTGTGACATGCACCCAGTGATCATAATGCCTGAAACAATAAAGCTATCATTGCCATCATTGTTGAAGCGAACAATCAAAATCGCACCTGCCACGGGCCAGCCTAAAGAGGCATTAAAGAGAACAGCTAGCATCCAGCGTTTCCCTTTAAGTTCCTGTGTCTCAGGTCCATTTACTATGAATGTGTATTTTCAGGGGGGTTACTCGCAGAGACAAACAACTGCAGGAATAGCCCGAAGACGAGCAACTCAGGCAAACATGCGCATAGAATGTCCGCGGGATAACTCAAGATAGGCAACAGGGCCTGTAAAATAGTGTTAAAGCTCTGTTGTATATATACACACACCATCATACCCAACACGTACGTGCACCACATTGCCAAGCACACAGTTGGCGTACATTAGTGCACAAAACCCCTTCGTTTGGGATCAGGATCTCACCCATCGCTGAGGAAAAGGATATTTAACACGATGAATCGCTGTAAAAATGAAGCATGTTCACAAAATATGCCGATGTAGCTATGTGTCACTGAGACGGCGAGAGGCCACAGGTCACTGTGCGAAATAATTAGAAAGTTCTGTCGAACACTGTACTGTAATATTTGAGACAAGCACTCACAGCAGCTCGTGTAGCGAAACACGCCGCATGCAGCATGGCGCAAGGTTGTGCAAGGTTGGAAACAGTGGCAGCCTGACGATGCAAATTGTCCACATGGTGGGTGGTGTATCCTATATGCCAGGAACGTTAGTCTGATCTAGTTACAATGTCATTGGCGAGTTAGGATTCAGAACCTGCAGCGAATTTTGCAGCCATCGGTTCGCAAACATCCTGCAGAGCCCATTTCGAAGCCGAATAAGCAAGGAGTTCCTGTAGGAATGATTTGTTGGGGGTGGAAGCCAAGTGGAAACGATGAAGATAGCAAGGACGCACCGTGACTGGTGTATGACGAGTGATTGGTATCGATATAATACAAATACCTTGGGAGATTGTCCCACGTAAGTGCCGTCAGGGTATGAATGAAACGCGTCAGAAATCTGCATACGTCAAAGTGTATACTACAACATCTCCAACATCCTAATAACTGTGATATTATCAACAGAAGCCACGTCCTTGCCCCGTGCGATGTCACTGTGATCCGACGCGATTATCTCTCCCCATAACGCTGTTGCGCTACCAGCAGAATTGTGCCAAAAGGCTGTCCAAGGCGAACGATCGTCATGGACTCTCGTAAGTCCAAACCAACGGGCTTGTGATTTTGAAAAACTTGATCTTTCGTTGGACGTGATTAAAGGATGTCTGTGAGAGGAAGGACAATGTCAGTCGGGCTGCGGTCGAATTTGGCCGTGCGTATAGAACCATCAGGAGCGATGACGACCTTTCCACTGCTGGGTGATCCAGAAGGCGCATTTACATCGAATGGGTTTGTTGCGGGAGCCCAAGCCCCTTGTCGAAACGAACGGGAAGGGAAAATTATGGATGCAAAATCTGGTGCTAGCGTAGACAAATATGGGCTATGGAAAGCCTGCCAAAGAAGTACGAATCGTTGTCAAGCAGGCAAACAACCACACACCAGTGACGTGAATTACTCACCGCTCGAAACAAGCTTGTAATATCCCATCGGTAGCGGAGCCTCCACGAAGACATAGCGCTTAACGATTGTCCGGGTATCATGGTGGAGAGGTGTCTGGTTGCCTCGTCGACTTGCAAACTAGCGGACGCATATTATTTCGAGTACGCACACGAAGACTATGGAGAATCAAGCTGCGAGGAAATGGCAGTGATGTGAAATAGCTGTGACACGTGACTACCCTTGTTGCAAATACATTTGCAGGATGTCATTTTGTCCGGATGCATTGCGCTTGGGAGTGCATCAACAAAAAGACCAAAACCGTGCATACCATGTAACATTCTGTAACAACCAGTACAAGGCAAGTACAAGGTGTGCAATTGCTGCCATTCCTACAAACACGTGACAGACTTTGTGTTAGGCTTGCAAGTAACGATGCACGGCCGAGCATGCAGCGAGGTGTTATACATACTTTTACCGGCCTTGTTATATTTGTATCACTCGGTAGACCCTTGTTTGGGTGATGGTCAATACATGCTACTACAACTGTTGGGACATTTTGTGCTTCCCGGTGGTCCCTTGTATGGGTAATGAATTTATTGCATTATCATTTGATCACAATAATGGGCACATCAAATTGCACTACAGTGGCCACTAGAGTACACTCGGCTATAGGCTACAACCAACAAGCACAGAAACTAAAGTGTGAATGTAAGTCGAGATCTATAAAGTAGGATGCGACGGGTGGGAATCGTCTCGCCAGCTCGCGTGGCTTTCGCATAGATACGCTTAGATACGCTTAGATGCGCTTAGGAACGCTTAAGAACGCTTAGCTCGCTTAAACCTCATTTTGGGAATCTCGCGTGGCTTTCCCGCGTGGCCCGGTCACGGGTTTTCGAGCTCCGACTTGATACTGTTGCCCGTTCGAGTGCAGCACATGTCAATAAATAATTGATGAAAAATTGAATGAGAGAACAGGGGAATGGGGGAACGGACCAAAAGTGCTCGCTCCGCTCACACCTTTGGCCCTTTCCCCCATTCCCCTGTTCTCTCATTCAATTTTTCATCAATTATTTATTGCACATGCTAGGATGCAGCCAAGGCCAGGAAGCCAAAAAGGAGCGCGAAGCGCTCCGTTTGCTTCCTGTGCCGAAGGCACAACGGGTGTGAAGCTAGTACATATATACGATGGGCAAGTACTGAACATAAAAGGGTGACAAAGCGTTGGTGCGTGAGAGGTGAAGTGGCAGACTGGAGGACGAACAACAGAATAAGACGGCAATGTGAGAAGACGTGAGAGAATGCAAGATGGGTGCAACATTGTGCAAAAAGGCGGAGTACGGTTTCGGATGATGCGGGAAGATATATAACGCTACTCAAAGTTAGAAAACAAGGAGAAATGAGAAAACTTACACAAAAGGTAGCAGCGTGCGCACGAAGCATGATATATAAAAAGGAAGAGACGGAAGAAAATATGCACCATGGATGGCGTGAGGTGGAGTCGAGTGCAGGAAATGCAAGCGGGTAAATGTATGCAGAAGGCAGGAAAACAAACTTGGTAAGAGAAAGAGGAAAACTCACTAAAACGACTCAAGAGGGTGTGAGAGGTCACAGTAAGCTGAGTAGGGGTGGCAGAATGCAAGAGGCAGTAACTGCAGGGTGTAGGCGGTCACAGTAGGGTATGGTAGGCAGCGCAACATTGGTGGGTGGAGAGAGTACTTAAGATGCAAGTAGTAGGAGTTTCTCAGTATTACTATCAATATTAAGAGGAAAAGAAAGCATGGGACTTGCAAAGGCGGCAGCAGGCAGAGGAACACCTTTAGCTAGGACATACCTTCAGAAGGGTTGATTGAAGAGGTGTGGTACTTATGTGACGAACTTGAAAGAGCCGGACGGATCTTCGGAACTTGACTTGGCGAAAATTCTAAAATTCATGTACGTACCTGCAGTCGGCCGAGTTCGTGGTCCGGGGTCCTAATATCCTTGGCGAGAGGCGAACCACGCACCTCCACACTCGCACTGACAATCTATACGCACCAGCTAGTATAGGCTATACTGGCATTTAGTGCACTGCCAGTGAGGTTTATATATCCACTTGTACATACATACATCTACCATCTCCTACATACCTCTGCACTCCTGTTGATCACTGTGCAAACTTCGCACATGCCGTGTACAAGTTTACATTTGGTACCTATCGGCCACCAATTTGCATATATGCTACGATCTCATGCATAGCCTTGCACTTCTGTTCAGCTACTTTACAAGCTTGGCACACTTCGTGTACAAGCTTTACATATCACACACATCTGTTAGTACTTGGATACTGCTGCAATCTCATGCATTTCTTTTACCTTTCTGTTCGGAGTTTGTAAACCGTACAAGGTAGTAACTGGCCTTACACGCCAGATGCTCTTTTGTTGATGTGCGTTCCAGGTTGCTTGATTTCATTTTTGATGGTCTGGTGTGAGTAGTGCTCGCAGCACATCTATCCTATCCTATCTTTCGATACTTCCTTAAGCTTCAACTTTGATATCATTGTCTCCTCTGGCGCCCTTCATCTTTATATATATTGGATTTCGATGTACTTGTATGTCTTTGCGGCCCCGATTTTTCTATCTACTTCATCTGATCAGTTCTTTTGATATCTTTCTTTTCCGTTTGACGTATTTCTTTCTTTGAAGTGCCTTTTTTTGCTCGACGTTCGGGGCCCCGTAGGTTGCTTATTTTTCTCAATCTTCTCTTGCTGTCGCCCTTTTCAAAACTGACCTGGTTTTGGTACTTTGTTTGTGAGTTTTTTTCTGTTCGCCCTGTTCGCATCCATCCCACATTCTGACCACCCTCCTATCTCCTCTGCCTATCTCGTTCCCGTTCATCCCTTCGCTCCTGACCTGTCTTTTTAGTTTTCCAATCGTCGAAGGTATGTCTTGCATGTCTCTCACCATGTATCTGCTGATGATCCACATTTCATTCTTTATTTCTTAGGACGCCTACAAACTCGCTCGTTCGTCATTGTGCGCGATAATGCACGCTCCTTCGTTCTCCGCTTTAGGCGACCGCTGTCACTCTCGCTCGTGCCATAGAACACGCTGTTCACACACCCTATTTTTCCGTTTCTGATCTCATCAATATCGGTCTTTGCGTCTCCTTGGGACAGTTTTTCACAGATGGAGGAAATTCTTCCTACAACGAACGGCAGATTTCTCGCCGAGTCTCCCTCTCCCAACCGGCTATTCGCCCGTCAAGCTCGTCGATGAGCTTGATCTTCTATTCACCAGTGCATCTATCCCATTCCGTCATTACTTGTGAACCACAAACTGGATCATTACACATTCATTTACTTCGCATCCAAGCGTGTATCATCACCGCCTTTTAGTCATCGCTTTCGTTCCTACTGCCTCCGTTCCTGTCTAAACCATTTGATCGTTCTTTCTTTGTACAACAACCCCATCCTCTTTTGTACAACCGCCCCTTTCTTTTCTTTTTTGTACCTCCTACTTTCTTTGTACGACTGCCCTTGTCGCTACACACGTCGATCGTGTTTTATGACAGGGAATTGGATACGACGCATGTATGCACTTTTGGTCGCATCTGTACTAATCAGCGTGTACATGAATTAGAAGAAGGGTTTTTCTCGTAAGTAGAGCGGATTTCAAACAAGGTCAAAAAACTTTGCTAATCTTGAAAGAAATGTCTGTTATAATACAAGGGCAACTTGCCAATTGGGCGCTGTTCAAGGCCGTGTTAGAACAATGAATTGATTGAATAGTTCGATCTTCGGCGTTCAAACATTTCGCGTGAGTCACTGCTTTGTGATTTTATTAACAGTTTCCACTTTGGTCTTATCGATGTATCCCTAGATGCACATTCCCTTTCTACGTGAATTCATGCTGAAACTCTTTGATCAATCAGATATCCCTCAAATTTCACTTCGGCAATGTAAGTGCTGGATTACCAAGCACGAATACGATCGTTGTACTACGTCCACCAAGTTCCCCCGCTCGCTCACACCCATCCTCTAATAGTATGACTCTGTCACTATAACATACGGGGTACACAGCTCTAAAGTTTTAATAGAAGGAGACCTAAATGACTCGGAAAGTAGCCTGATTGCCTAGTACCATGTTAGGGTTTCGGGCTGTAACATTATTGATCATGACATCAAGCAAGCAATGATCTAGCCTAGTACTGATGCATCTGATGCAACATTTCAGTATTCAGTCGTCGAGGGGCCTCCTTCAATCGAAATTCCATCATCTTTGCTGGTTCAATTTCCCGTAGGTTGTGTTACTTTTTTTCCACCAAGACTGAAGTTGCATTTATAGGTTCTATATTATTTTTGACTGTGCCCGCGATGAGATTGACAGCGCTTTCAGTCATTGCAATCCTCGGCATATCAAGCAGTTTCGGATTATAGTGCATGGAGCCTCTCGTACTTGGCAGGTACTACCTGGTTAATATCGCCGCAAGGCTGTGTAGTATCGGTTTGGGGGCTTAAAATAACCAGGGCAATTTCAATTTACTAATTAATACTTACTATCGACTTAGTGCCTATCAAACATCGTACTTAAGTAATGCTCGCAGATGTATCGCTCCATTCAGAACTTGGCCCCGGGCAGGTACTACAAGGCGCATAGATAATATCCTAACATGTCTTCCTTACTATCGGTCTCAGACATAACGAAGTTGCAGACGGTCAAGGTGAGTAAATGGAGCTTGCATCTGATAAACTCGAGATCAACAGTATGTCCGATTTAGTACGTCAATTGTGAGTGTCCGCGGATCGTCCGAAAACTGAACGGCAGCATTGACTGTTGTTTTCAGTGGGCAGTCTTGCAATCCTCGTGAGTATCAAACGCATTTCTTGTATTTCTACCTCAAATCCCTTTCGACGTTACAGGTATTTGATTATTGCATCACGTTTTCCGAAGAGGTCGAGGAAATATCTGTCTGTTCGCAAGTGTTGTTCTGACCACTCCTCACAGGTGCGATGGACCTGGTTCAAGCCATGGGATATACCCCGTATCATGTTCATCATTTCCCGATATTTGCCTTTCGCAGGTGCCGGAATGACTGCATATGGCGAGTGACCCATTCTGATTCTTCTTATTTTGTGTGTTGCTGATGGGCATATCTTAGACGCAATACGTGTCAGTAATCAGGTAAGCTTGGAGGGTGAATAATTTTCACGCTAAGCTGATTGCATGGGGGAAGTGTGCCTCTACTGTGGAAGGATATAGTGAGTCTACCTGCCAAACGGTTCATTTTTCAAAATTCATGCAAGTTAAACCATGTGAATTTCAGTCATTCACGTCATATGTATCGTTGCTGCGGAATGTGCGCGTTCTACATGCATGTTAAGAGCCCAGTGGAACTCACTTGCTTGGTAGCCTTGCTGGTTATTCGAACCTGGGCATTCTGGCGAAAGAGTAAAAGGTTGCTGATCGGGTTATTGGTTTATATCGTGGTGCGTGTTTTGCAGAGCGGAAATGACAGCGTAGATTTTTATTATTGCATAGTTGTCAGTTGCCGGCGCTATTGCTGCAGACCTCATTCCTACAATGCTGATTCCAGGAGGTGAGTTCATTAGTGTTCACGAACGAAAATCGTTCTAATATGACTGTTAGAGGAGCCTCCCCTAGGAACCTGTTACTTCGAGAGCACACGCAATGCTGCGATCGTATACATGTTCTTGGCGGTGTTCGACAGCGGTTAGTGATTATCCAAAACTATCCATTGGCCTTCTTACCCACAACAACATGGCAGTGATGCTGATCCTTACTGTATATAAGTGGTTTCACGACTACAAAGACTTTCAGAGCGAAATTATAGTAACCCTATACCACGATGGCATATTTTACATGTTGTGCATCCTCGGTGCGTGGAAATAGTCGGCTCTCGAGATGACATCGAGTAACGCGTTTAAGGAAGCCGTCACACTCGCCAATGTTATCTGTGAAGGTGCACTTCCAGTACGCATCTGGTCTATCAAATCCTACGACTCGCTAACTTTCTGTTTTCTGCAGAGCGCCTATAGCAATCTGTTTGACACGTACGTCACTGGCTGCATTCTAACTGCTAGTTGATCTTGAATCCACTGCACTAGGCTACAGGTGGTCAGTCACAGCGTCCTGGCATCACGAATTCTATTCCGCCTTCGACAAAGCAACGAAAGTGTCCACGAACCGTCCATGTCAGTAACGACGTTAGACACTCAGATAAACTATTTACGACCTTCGTCAATGTTGATGAGTGGGACGGGTACTACCAGTGAAGTTTGAAGGAATGTAGGTGTATGCAGAACCAAAATGAGAAGCTTCCACTCTTATCTAATGTACAACTCAATTGTGATATTGTAGGCCAATGATACTGCGAGACCTGAGGGGCTGAACGAAATGGTGATTCTTTCCCTTGTTTCCTCCGAGCCTAGTTGTGGTGTCAATTCTTCTCATGGGACATCAGGATAACTCTGCATCACGTGCCTGAGCTCTACTTCCGGTAACCTCGTCTTGAAGTCAACAGCGTATGGCCTGTCATTTGACATCACCCCGGTCATGAAACCCAAGTCATCCAGCAGCTTTTCAGGATCCGGAATGAGCCGCAAAGGCCAAAGAATAAGGGGCGAGTAATAGTTATGGATGCCGATCTGTACTTGTGATCAGGTTAGATGTGGGACGGACGGACGAACCGAACTTTCGAGTTCCCTGGTTCCCTCACTGCGGTCACCGGTGGCGGTATTGACATTGATATTACGTAAGAGTTCTACAGCACAATCCTAATCTACAGGTCTCGCTTCAACTTGAAACTCCCTTGTCTTTAACTACCCGCCACGCACGTATTTTTGTCATTGCCAGAATGTTCGTACTTGCACTCGATGAGTCTGTGCATTCAAGCAACCAACGTCACGTAGGGACGAGTCAGCCACGGTTGATTTCTTTGCCGTGCTGGGGAACGAACTTTACCTCATTTCAGTATCTGCAAACAGTAGAATTGCGGATATCTTCGAATACCTCAAGTCCCGATATCCCGAAACTCATCCAGTCCTGAAGAGGATCTCGTACAAGCGATGCAAGTTCTACAAATTCCAGAACCCTGTAATAATTTCCGACGACGACTTGGATGACACCGATGCCGTCCAACAATGTCTGGATGAGCATAATTGGACAGAAGTGTCGCCGAATAAATCTTTGAAAGCACTGGGATCAGAACTAAGAAACGATCATGTCTACTTGGTGATCAAACCTCCGCAACTTGAAGGTACGCCGTTGCTGTATCTGCTGACAATTGACATTCTCATCCTCTGCTCCAGATGATACAGATCCGGCCATTGAGAATGTGCGTAAGCAAGACGAAGAGCTTTTTCGTCACTTGCAGGTCACCGTATCAAAGCTGCAGTCATGGACAACGCAAGACATTGGATATTACTTGGACGGTGGTACCTGGCTTATTAATAGCCAAGAACGACCAGATTCAATCGCTGAGATAGAGGATCGACTGGATCGAGCGCGTATATATGCTGTACCAAACACCGACCCGCCGTCTCATGCGGACCCCATCCGAGGCTGTTATCAGCCTCAAACCCGTCAACCACTCTGATCGCATCCAGTAGACTGAACCCCCTCCCAGATGCGACGAGGGACCTGGAAAATGCCTCCAGTTACCAGGCACTTTTTGATAACATATTTAGGCCCACTTTGTTCGCGCCCATTGAGGACAGCTCCGTCAATGTGAAGGACACCCGAGAGTTCGCAGCCTTCTTCAGTGTCCTCCGGTCTTATCACCAAGACTCCACTTTTCTTGAGAACGGCTCCTCCTCCCAGAAGGCTAGCATTTTCACTGTGCATTTTATATCACCACCCTTTTTTTCTTGTCATAGTGAACATTTTAAATATAAGGAGTAAGTGGGATCAACTCGTTACAGTCCAACTAGCCATCGTGGATTTTTCAGGCAGACTCCTTGGGGATTTCCCATTTTCCTGAATACTCGGGATAATCACAACTCCTGGTGCAAGTTCTGCCCAACCAACGATTGCATGGTTTTGTCTACTTCGTTTTTGTGCCCTTTCATGATCTGTGAAGTGGTTTCACAGAAGAACGAGTCTGATCGATGCCGCATGCTAGTTCAAGGCATCGCTCTTGCGTGCGTAGGACAATACTTCATGTCAAGCGGAGAGAAATTCTTCGTTGTGGCAATTTATCTCCGTGCGAATTTGACTGTTGAAAGATATATCATTGCCCAGCCTGGTGAGGATAGAAAGGTCTGTCGCTCTGTCTGTCGTCGCTTTTTGTTTCTTATGCAGAGGCCAGGTATTCATTGCCCAGAAAGACTTTGACCTTAGAAAGGCCGAAGAGGCAGTCGCATTCCTTCGTGAGATGTACAACCTCGCGGAGGAGCTCGACGATCTAGCAGGCAAACTTGATCCAAAGAACGAGAAACGCCTTAGCAACATCAAGGATGCCGCTCTCAAGGTGATTTCTCTCACGTCACAGGCTCAGCACAACAAAACACCTAGAACGACACTGGCCTCAGTCCCCGAAGAACATCGTGAAGCCAGTGGCACTCAGGATGATCTCGGCGTCTTTGATGCTGATGACATTCAATATATTTTGAAAGAGGTGGATTACAACATCTCGTTCATTGTGTTTGGGGTGTGTACCACCGCAATTTGTAATATGATAGCACCGACAATACATCTTACAGCATCCGTTCCTAGCCTTGGCGTCAAATATCAAGGATGATTCTCAACAAGGATATCTGAAATTCGTGAAAGAGGGGCAAAGGGAGATCAAGATCTTGCGATACTTGAATCTCCTTCAAACTACACCATCTCGCCAGTCCAAATCTGGCCGGTGCAAGGGGGTAACGTCATATCAATGCCTATGGCTGGCAGCCACCTTACAAGCCTATACAACCCCAGCGCGCACCTATGGCCTGTTGCAAAGCAGCTGTTCGAAGCTGTTGACTTCATGCATCAGCATGGCGTGGCGCACCTGGATCTGAAGCCTCCAAATATCCTCCTTCCCACTGACGGCGGCCGCCTGTCTATCATCGACTTCAACAGATCCGTGCGCGTCAAAGGCACTGAACACATGTTCCGCGGCGTCGTTGGAACCACCGGATATCTTGCGCCTGAAGTTGCGGCTGGTCAAGGCCTCTATAGCGCAATCCGTGCAGATTTGTGGTCCTGTGGAAAGGCATTGGAGGAGCTGTGTTCCCTTTGTAGATCATCCAGGGATCGCAACGCGCTACTCGAAATAGCTCGAGAGCTCATGAGTGAAGACCCGAAACAGCGACCGGTGATGTCAGGTGTCTTGAAGAGGCTGGCGTGTTACAAGGTCGATGCCAATACAGGACCAGGTTACTTCAGGTAACGTGCTCCATTCTTGGCGTGTATGCCGCACTGTATGCGAGCCTATCTGTTTAATTGTTCTGGGCAGTTTTTCCTCTGTCGTACCACCGGAAGTGCACGCTTGAGCTTGACCCGCTTGTATACTACGTTTACCCCCAATTCTAGGCAGGAGCAGAAGATAATTCGACGAACAGCTCGATGGCCCAAGTATCCTGCATACCAGTTATATCCTTGTGTAGAAATAGGAATGTCGATCATACCGCAATAGCAGCCCGATGTACCTATACCTTTCCTCTGTCAGATGTTCTTAGAACATCATGTCAACCTGCTGCTCGAAACTTTCTGGGAGCAGGCCCATCTGAGTCTTCCTCCTCCTCGTAGACAATGGATTTCTACTCCACCGCTCGAGCGCCCACCGTCAATGAGCGCTTGGCAGTCTCCTGTTTGCACGCACCGTGCGCTTATCTCCCCGTCCGCACTCTACTCTTTCTAACGCGCGTCCAGACTTCGATTGCAAAATTTCCCCTCCTGTTCTATCATGACTTCTGCCTGCTCTTTCACGGCATTGTTGGTATCCAAAACGCTATTCCTTACGCTTTGGAGCCAAATTTAAACATGCCTTCCCATCGATTGAACCTCAAAGTAAATGTTGTATGCGTCATTCGACGAAACATGTCGGTCGAAAACGGATTGGTCCGAAATGCACGAGTGCGCATCACTGCTCTTCATCGAAAATTTATTGAGGTCCAAATTCCTCATACCGGAGAGACACATTGCCTACCTTGCATCACCTCTTTCAGTCCAGCGCGTTCTAGCTGGACCGTCAATTGCAAACAATCATTTCCGAGTCTGACCTGCTTGCGCCACGATATTCAACGGATGTCAAGGACCAATACACCACAAGACTGTGCTTGACCTTCGCACCGATTCATTCGCTCACAGACAGCTACGCATTGCATTTTCCAGAGTGCGATGTCGGCGAAATATTTGAATATTATTTGCAAGAGAGGAAGAGAAAAAAGATAACAGCAGACGTAGTGTACAGACATCTCTTAATGCCCGAGTTCGAAGGTAAACGGGTTTCTTGTTCGTACTGATGATACAAGGTCCGAGAATCCTAAACTATCACAATCGAATACCAATGTTGACATGAACGGCTTTAACGTTCGTATAGCTAAACCGAGTATCATTAGTGCGGCGTCATTTTGAAGGATATCAGCTTACTTTTCCAAAGCATACTCGCTCAGTTCACGACCAATTCCCGACTGCTTGAAGCCTCCAAATGGCATTGATATTTCAGTCTGGTTGGCGCAGTTTATCTGCCAGGCGTTATTACACAAAAACGCGCATGATGAGACAACGAAGCAACGAACCCATGCAGTGCCTGCTTCGAGAGCGTGTGCAACGCGGATTGCTCTGTCGATATCCTTGGTGAACACCGATGCGGCAAGTCCGTATGATGTATCATTAGCCTGTTCAACAACCTCTGGAAAGTTGTTAGGGATACGGTGATCGTGCAACAAGAACAATCTTACCGTCTTCGGTCTTGAATTTCATGACGCACGCAACAGGGCCAAATATCTCCTCTTTGACGATCTTCATGTTGGGCTGGCACTCCGTGAAAATTGTTGGCTCGATGAAGTATCCCTCTTGGCCAATCTGCTTGCCACCCAGGTGTACCGTAGCACCATCGTTCTTGCCGGAGGTTATGTATGCCATGATACGCTTTACGGGCGTCAAAGTATGTTTTACAATGAAATCGAATAAACAAACCTCGAACTGAGTCTTGGACACCTGTGGCCCTTGGTACGTGTCGGGTGAAAAAGGATCGCCAACCTTGATCGCGCGTGCCTCCTCTGTGAACTGATCCAAGAACTTGTCGTATATGCCCTCTTGAACAAAGATACGGGAACCTGCAGAACAATTCTGGCCGTGGTTAAAGCTACAACGACGATGAGAACTAGCATAGGTAATGTGAAGGGGACAACATACTAGATACCGTGAATCGCCCACTTGACTGCTTGCTCCAGGTCGGCGTCATCAAAAATGACATTCGGGCTCTTTCCGCCAAGTTCGAGGGTGACAGGTTTCAAGTTGCTCTTCGCAGCAGCCTCCATAATTTTCCGCCCCGTCAGAGTGCTGCCAGTGAATGCGACTTTCTCGATAAGAGGGTGCTCGGAGATTGCCTGTCCTGCTGTTGGACCATATCCGTTCACGATGTTGATGACTCCTGGAGGGAAGCCCGCCTCCTCGATCAGGGTACAGAAGAGCAGAGCAGAAAGCGGGGTAAGTTCAGAAGGCTTCAGGACGATAGTATTGCCGGTAGCCAGCGCAGGAGCGATCTTGAGAGAAAGAGAGAACACTAGATAACGTAAACTGTAGTCCCGCACGCCCTTTGAATCCACTCACTCGGAACATTCCATGGAATAATTTGACCCTAGGCATGAAGTGAGATCTCATTCAAATAGCACTGAGAAAGAACCCCTTACCACAACACCGATGGGTTCATGTCTGGTATAAGCTAGTTTGTTCTCGTTTGTCTAGGGCGGAATGAGTTTCACTGATGTGAAAGAGCGGAAAACGGACCTCGATAGTCTTCCCGTTGATTTTGTCAGCCCAGCCAGCATAGTATTCCATGACTGCAATAGCTCCTTTGTTGTCTCGACCGTACGCGGTATTGTAAGCCTTTCCTGCAAGGTAGTATGAGCTGCTTCGTTAACTCAAGAGTGGCGGCGGTGCAGGAGTACGTACCATTAGCAAGAGCATCGAGAGCAGCGAACTCCGCAATATGCTCCTCCATTAAAACGGCGAGCTTCGACATGAGCTTTCCACGCTGAGCTCCAGGAACTTTCAAGCCCCATGACGTCTTGTAGGCTTTCTTTGCTGCCTTCGCGGCAATGTCTATATCGGCTTTCGTCCCGGCTGCGATGGAAGTGACCACCTTGCCCGTCGCTGCAAGAATAAGTTATGAATCATTTGTGACGAAAGAATTCGTACCAGGATTGACAACACTGTACGAATGAGACCGACATTCGGGTGTACAAGGAAGACACTCACTCAATTGTGCCACCCTCAACAGGGTCGACGAACTGTCCGTTTATGTAGAGGCCTAGAGGGATCGTAACAGTCCCCTTATATGCAGGGGTATCGAAAGTCTTGATGAATGTGGATGGCATTACGAGGGAGTTGTGAAGAAGTGCAAACGATAACGGTCAACCTGAGCACAGTCTACGCTGGGCTACTTATAGCCTTAGGAGTGATCACGCTGGAAAACGGGCACATGAACAACTAGAAATGACAATTCTCATGAGAAGAAAGGACTATACATACCGTTTCCCCGTCACGGTGCTCCGATATTCACTTTTGTTGATATGGCGAACCTTCGAGCTAAATTGGCAGCGCGGATAAGCTCATGGCTTATGTTGCCAACGATTTATCGATAAAATGATCATGTTATGCATTCAAAGTGCTATGAATGTGAGTCACTGCGACATGCGTGTACTACTAGGGATTACCAGTATGTGGGGTTTTCGGAGTCGGACTTCAACGCCATGGTTTGCTGATTCATCTTCAAGTTAGCTCTTGCTAAACGCTTTGGCCAACCTCAAGCAGTAACAGCTCTATCTTATCTCGATATGTAGAATCTGGACCATGAGACGAAGTCATCGGCTAAACACTCATTGCAAGTCGCAACTATATTCACCGCTCGTCTGCCCTTCATTGAACTGCATTGCACCACCATCCAGCGAGCTTCCCGCAGCACTGGACTCACTAAACACATCCATCCGGTCGATCTCGAGCAGTTCTTCCGCCTTGCGATCTTTTCTCGTTATAGATTAAACATACTTGCTGGACATCCTGACCCAAAGCCGCTGTAACACACCGCAAATCACTGCCTAGGTGTTGATCTTTCGATTAACGTCTCCGTTTGTCATCCTTGGAGACGATTATTACCCATATGATTTCCAAGCGACGCGCTAAACCCGAGTTCTTCCATGTCGTCTCGCAATAAGTGTCGTATATCTTTCTTTTTCATGATTCGATCCTGATCAAAATGCCTGGTGATCCTCGATGGCATGAAGGTAGTCCCAGGTTACTGTCCGGGGTGCTGAATATGACTCCCATGAACGTCGGACAATCGGGCGTCACGGTCACTGTAACCGAAAGGGTGAGGATTCTAAAAGTGAGGGAGGAGGTCGCCACCGAAAAGCTCCAGGAAATTATCATTCCCGCCAAACCATTTTCCAGGAGCCGTCTTTTTCTCGCAAAACATGAAACGCTGCACGACCAGATATTTTTTATGCGACCCCTGCCTACAATTTGTCAATAGTGGTCTAAAGGACATGAGGCTGCGTGAGGATCCTGCCCTTCTAGTCCCCATGTCTCCTTACGACCAGATGGAAGTGCTCTTTTCTTGACCTCTTCAGGATTGCTTCAATTCAGACTTCACAAAGTGACTTTCGTTCAGACATAGAGATGATGCGTATCGTAAAGGTATTCCTGACTTTTGCAAACGAAGTAAGGTAACAAAAACGTTCATAAGTACACGACATTACTTAATGCTCACATAGCATCCACAGCCAATCTGATGCAGATAGTATGAACCGCCTCCGTTGCCCCAGGCGATGTATGGTCATCCAGTGTTGTCAAAGATCGAGCGTTTATCATCCAGGCGCATGAGACTAGACATCGTAGCATGCTGCTTCAGCATGCAGACCCTCCAAGCGTTGGGTTCTATAAGGTCAACGATCATCTGCCCACTATTAATGACGCTGATCCAGAATATCAGATAGATCAGCAAAGAAGCTAAGGTAGATGACCACTCTAGAGAATGGATTGGTTACGGTGTCGCAGCAGATACACGACATCCCTCACTTCACTCAGCTTCCCCGATGGTCATAGATTACACATTATTATCCTGACACTACATCAGTTACAACAGTATGATTCGGGTAGTTATCTTGACCGAAGACAAGAACTATGCCACATATTCAGATGCATCTGTGGTTCCATCCACACGCTGGATGTATTCTTTATCCAAGAGCTCGTCGATCACCTGAAAGCCAGATCAGCCAAATATTGCAGCGACGAAACAATAGTTCTGACATTCTTGATATCAGGAATTTTAGGGGCGAATCGTTGTGAAAGTTGAGAACCACTTCCTGAATCAAGGGTTGGATCCTCAATGTCTTGCATGCCTTCATTATTCGAACACTGGTAGCCTGATGTGCGTGTTTACGGTCTGTCTTGACAGTCCGAGGCAGCTCTGAGCTCTCAGCCTCCACCTCAGCCTTAATCGACCGGTTCAAGGAAATACGAGTTTTTGCCGTAGGGCCTGCGTCAGGAGTCAGGAATCAGGACTCGCAACGGTGAGAAGGCCCGTAATATGCCAGGTGTAGGAATGCAAATTTTCACGCAACTATCGAGGTTACATTGATATTATTTAAGGACTAAGGACCTGCATCAAGCTGTCGAAGGCATAATTCTTTAGACTCGTAGAAGGAACGACACCGCTGAATGCCAAATTGGAGGAGTAATCACTAGAACACCTACTAGTACCCTCACGGAACCTCTGAATCCAGTACCAATATTCAAGGTTCGCCCGCTCTTTGAGGTCTTTTACCACTCGCGCCGTGAACAACGCGGAAGCATAGGTTCGATAAATGGTGGTAGAACGGTGAACCCAGAATCGCCACCAAATGACAGGTGGCAAGGAAAGCAAATGTTATGCTCAGATAAAGTTGGACAGTCTCAGAGTGAGATGAGAACCCCGTGAGCACGATGGCTGATGATGAATCATGAATTGCGAACACGCATTACGAGGTGAACTGCTCACCTATGAGCAAAAGCACCACTGATATGGTAAATGTAATGATTGGCACTGCCAAACCCAGGAGGTGCCAGAATATTCTCCAGCGCCTTTCAATTATGATCTGTGGTGAGGTTAACTCTGATCTGCCACCTTGACAATGGACAATGCGTACTTCTGCAGCACTACGTTTTTGAAAAAGGATTCCAGAGGCAGATACCTTCAGCTGGAGCAATAGCCCAAACAACGAGAAGACAAGCGACTCCGCCAAACAGGCGTAAGATACATGAGACGTGTAGTCGACCTCTGTCACAAGTGGTGGATTTGAGGAGATGAAAACCGCCGCAGTGGCGAGCACGAGTCCTTGCTGCGCAAGAACACATTAATGCGATCGATTTGAATGAATGATACCCATCATCGACCTACCACGGTGCTCACTTGATTGAGCTGTGTCAGATATTGACGATGGAGCTCTTCCCAGTTGTTTCCTTCTTTCAAGAGGGCGTGCAACCATTGCAGATCGCTGCGCCAGGTGAATATGAGGCAGCATATTTTGAAGATATGCCGCGAAATAAAGGATTTTGGAACATTCCACTTGAGTGGAAATTTGTCGAAAAAGCTCCCATCAGCGTGTAGCCCTGATGACTGTGAGTATTCACTGACTCCTCGAGTATCCTGACTTGGGCTGGACATGAGCAAGAAGGTGGTAACCGACTTATCTGACTCAGGAAGAATTGCGAGGATATATAGGGCTTATGCTGCCTCGTGTTGATTGCGCCTGGGACATGACGGCACAATACCACTTTATTTCAGTCTTGAAGCACCAAAAATTCAAATGTACGTGTAACTTACCTCCATCACATGAGCGCTAACAGTTTTAGGAGGAGCGGCAGATGCTAACTGTATGACTGCACAGCACTACGATTCTGCCCCAAGCATCTCTGAAGGGACAGGCAGCGTTTCAGAAGGAACAAATTATGCTCATAACTTTTATGCCTTGCGAACTTGGAAATTTCCCGGGCAAGACTCTGTAAGTACCAGCCTAAGTTCAATTCGGGGGAACGCAATTTACACGCACCGTGCAAGCAAGGCTCGATCCTCGGCCCTGAACGCGACATAAAAAGTTAAAGTGGGATCACCTATCGTCGATTGAGGGGTTGCTGAAGTTCCCGCTAGAAGCGCCAGCGCTATTTTCCTGGACAAGAACGGAAGTTACGCACCAGGCTGAACCGAGAACGTAAATCTGATCGAGATTATAATGAATGGACAGTGAGGGGAATGGAAGTAGAAAGGCATGCTGATGGCATGTACATTCGGAGGTAGTGATAAAATCCTCAAGGACAGAAAATAAGCGCGCATATCGTAAAAGAGGCCGAATGAAGCGAAGAACCCTTTCATCCTGTGTCCTCGACGTTTGTCACCGCGAACGCCCCACCATGCAGCTGCCCCAAAATTTTGAAGTGAGGGCAAAAGCACGACGGACAGTAGGTTAGCATCGACGGTCGCATACGAGTTAGGAGTGATCGTGACATGCACCCAGTGATGATAATGTCTGAAAAATTAAACCTATCAGTGCAATCGTTGTTGAAGTGAGCAATGAAAATCGCACCCGCTAAAAAGAAGCATTAAAGAGAACAGCCAGCATCCAGCGTTTTCGTTTGAGTTCTTGCGTCTCATATAAGTTCATTTTTGCCGCGAATATGATTTTCCAGGGGGTGGATACTCACAGAGACAAACAAATGCAGGAATAGCCCGTACAAAGCAAAGACGAGCGACTCAGACAAACGTACGTATGGAATGCCCGCGGCATAATTCAGGATAAGAATCAGAGCCTGTAAGGTGGTGTTGAAGCTGCGTTGCATATATGCATACACCATCATGCCCAACACGTGCACTACATTACCAAGTGTACAGTTAGCGCACCCTGGTGCACAACCCCTTCGTTTGGGATCAGGATCTCACCCATCGCCGAGGAAAAGGATATCTGCATAATGAATCGTTGTAAAAATGAAGCATATTCATGAAATATTCCCAGGTAGCTACGTGTCATTGAGACAACGAAAGGCGCAAGGCTGGCAACGTTGGAAGCAGCGGGAGTCTCAACAGGGTTGGATGCCGAAAAGACAAAGTCGAACCGTAAAGGAAGGCGTGAAAATGCAAATTGTCCGTATGGTGGGTGGTACATCCGATGCGCCAGAGATATGGGTCCAATTACAATGTCACTGACGGGTCAGGACTCAGAACCTACAGCGGATTTCGCAGTCGGCGGTCCACAGACATGCTGCAGAGCTCCTTTCGAAACCGAATAAGCAAGGAGTTCCTGTAGGGATGATTTGTCGTACGAGTACTATCAGGGTATGGATAAAAACGCGTCAGGAGTCCGCATACGTCAAAATGCATATCCAACATCTCTTACATCCTAAAGACTGTGATATCATCAACAGAAGCCACGTCCTTGCCCCGTGCGATATCATTGTGATCTGACGCGATCATCTCACACTCCCCACCACGCTGTTGCGCTACTAGCAGAACTGTCCAAGGCGAACGTTTGTCATGAACTCTCGCGAGTCCAAATCAATGGGCTTGTGATTTTGAAGAACTTGACCGTTGGGCGCGATTAAAGGATGTCTGTGAGAGGAAGGGCAGGCTGCAGTCGAATTTGGCCGTGCGTATTGAACCATCAGGAGCGACGACGGCTTTTCTACTACTGGGTGATCCTGAAGGCGCGTTTGCATCGAATGGCTGCGGAAGTCACGCCCCTCGTCGAGACAAGCGGGAAGGAAAACTATGAACGCAAAATCTGGCGCCAGCGCAGGCAATTATCGATATGGGCCATGGAAAGCTTGCCAAAGAAGTACGAATCGTTGTCAAGCAGGTAAACAACTACACACCAGTGACGTGCATTACTCGCCGCTCGAAACAAGTATGCCCGATATGTGGTAGCGGAGGTTCCACAAAGACGCAGCGCTTAGCGACTATTCGGGTCTCATGGTGAGGAGGTGTCTGGTTACTTCGTCAACCTGGATACTAGCAGACGCATATTATTTCGAGTATGTACAGAATCAAGATCCTGAACTTCTGACGGGAATCGAGGCAGTGATGTGAAACAGCACGCTGTGACACGTGACTACCCTTGTCCGATTTTTGCACTCCCAACCCGAGCGCTTCAGCTGTGGGCCCATCGCATAATTTTCTAAAATAACTCCCTCATTCCATGACTTTACCGTCCAATTGCAAAAGAACATGTGTTTACACGCGGCTGATACCATCACGCAGCATCACAGTCTATTCTGTCACCGCAGACCGGCTGTCTCTTCGGTTTTCGTCGCCCTTTGCAACTTGCACATCATGAGATCAAGAAGGGCTGAACGTTCAAACGATCGCTAGGCGCCGATGAGTTTCCTTCCGGTATCGATGCATACGGGACTTGTGTCTCTCGAGCAGCAACTAATGCATATGACCAACATGCACTTGTCTGCCTGGTTTGCCACAGGATAACTTCCCGGATGAGCTTTTCATGGTCCATATCAATGTCATCTACACCGCAGTTTTATTAGGCATCTTCGAGTCAGCACAGCAGTGGTCGAGTAATTTCCTTCCCACAAACGACTTAGACAGAAAGACCTTGGACTGGCAGGCCTCCATTAACACATACGCAGAAAGAACGACTGTTCAACGTTCGTTCGTCTTTATGGTCCACTAGCTAGGGAGACCACGTAAATTCGAGGCGAGAGCTTAAAAACTTATGCGGTAGGAAACAAATCCAGCCCCTCACTGGCTCATTCACCCTCAACACACGAAGCAAAGCACAGGCAACGCAAACTCAAGGTTATTGTGCACCTGCACCCTCAATTAGTTCAGTAATCGCATAGCCTAACTAGTAGCTGGGAGGTTGACCTAATAAGAAGGACGGCCTCGGTCATCGTGGCTAATGGTAGCTCCCTGGCTATGACATCTTCTATGACGAAGACTTCGATGACGGCACTGGCTAGGACAATAAAAATGTGCGTCTTTTTCCTCGGCCGGTGTCGACCGTGCTATTTTGTATGAGGAGGAACGTCCAATTTTCTTGAACTATAGGTTTGGGTAGGGGAAACTGGGCAGCCGCCTTCCTCATAATTGGGTAGGGTCATTAAAATTTAGTGTACTTGTCAGACGCGAATATGAGAAGACACTCCACGTACTAACTTCATTTAGGCAAGTTAGCGTAGAAGCAAAACAAAAATAATATTTGTAATCGCTAACATTGTCAGTCGACGAAGACAACTCTTTGTATCGATATCAGCAGTGAGCAGAATCGTACATACTACATACCTGTGTCACTGTTATTCTCCTTGTGCATGGCCTTGTCGAGATGATAGTAGGGTTGGAGCCTTGGAGGGCGCTGATACGAGCGGGTTAAGTATCGCAAATATGTCATGAATATTAATATTATTGCACACAGGCACTGCGGCAGCCTGAGAAAATCAGTTGCGAGTTCTTGAGAACCACTTCTAATATTGGTGGAGCTTAAGCTTCAAGTTTGCGCCATGACATGGCAATCTTGGTGGCCCATGTGGTAGCTGCCCAACGTTTGATGCGCGAGTGGCCGTGACCATGTCGCTTATACTTGAGAAACTGCAGTAGAACCGAGTGTCGAAGCTGATCAGTAAAATAACATCACACGCCCTCCCGTCGCCACCCCGCCATGTGACCTTGACCATACTCATTGAGCAATGTCTCTCCAATATTCCAGCGGCCAGGGTGTAGGCCACATTCTCCTTTGCAAGCTCGATGCCAAATAGAAATTGACTTTGCTGTGGAAAATTGAAATGCGGACCTGTCAGCCGAAAAAAAAGCATGGGATGTGCCCATCAACGGCAGCCGAGGAACTAATTAAAGTGAGTACTTGGTGAGTACATTATTTACTTATTTACATAAGTGCAGAGCTATACTTACGCGCGGGTGATATGTAGGTAATAAGTATCTGGGCCTGCCCAGCCGTAAGAGGCGGAGGCTTGGCGGAGGCGAGGAACGGGCATGCCGTCTCGGTTCTCACAATTCTTGCAAGTTTCGGCGTTTAACTGCTAGTCCTATCTTTGTGTCCCACCGTGTTGAGGCTATCGTGAGCAGCACCGGTGGATTGTCAACTATAGGTGCAATGGTGGCAAAACGGACTAGTTCTTCTAGCGGCGAAAAGGAGCACTTGGACAACTCCATAAACAACTCTGTTTGGCATGAAACAACCTTTGATTCACAACGTGAAGATCGCATGGTCAGTCCACGCGATGCTGACGACGGCCAAACGGTCCAGTACGTTGACCGCGATGAAGCACGACATCCGGAAGTCGCCCAATATATGCTGCCCTCGCGAACACCTAGCACGTCCAACTTCGAAACGCCCCTCCTCCCTCCAGATTCACCTCAGTCCAGACATACCCCCACACACTCCTTATCCCACAACGCCAACCTGAACTACATATCCTCTCCCTTGAACCCCAATCCCCCCACTTCGTCCCCAGGTTCTCCTCACGCCAATTCGCGTTATCGGTCGCAGTCTCGCCAAAGCATGCAATTTAATCGCGTGGCTTCAGAGGACTCCCAGGTCCTCGCTGCACCCAACGTAGCCTCACTGTCTTCTGGTCAGCGCGGTGCAATGATACTATATCGTCTCGGCGTAGGGGACAACCGTAGTCCATTGGTCCCACCGAAGCCACTCCCTAAACGCGATTCAGTCTTCACTACAGGCTCAGGAGATTCCGTTTTCTCACTTTCGTACGACAGCAAGTACCCTTCTGGTGCTTGGAATACACGTGGTGCTCTCGTACCCTATGCCTACGACCCATCCCTTGACGAGCCAGATGAGGATGATTCCCTTAATGATCCTAATGACGACGCTTTCAAAAGTAGTGTCTTTCCCCTCAGAGGTGTCCTCAACGTTTCGGTGCTCTTCCTCCTCATTTTGGCCCTCCTCTGTCTCTTCATCATCTACCCGGTTGTCAGTTATTTTCACGATCGCGCCCAGAAAGATGCGATTGCAGGCAACGCGCTCGTCAATGGAACCGGCCAGATCCCGTTTCTGTGCGTCCCCTACTTCTCTATTTCGCTGTTCTATTTTCTTTCGTGTGATATGGACCACTTGACTGACGGTGTGCCTGTCCAGATTCCAAATGGCACAGCTCATCGATCCTGATACGCCCAGTAGTGCTGCGACGCGGACAGGCTTTGATGGCCTCCCTTATGAGCTAGTCTTCTCGGATGAATTCAACACACCCAACCGCACTTTCTGGCCTGGGGATGATCCTTTTTGGGAAGCCGCAAACATCTGGTACTGGAGTACCGACGATCAGGAGTGGTATGACCCCGCCCAGATAACAACAAGCAATGGGTACCTGAGCATCGTCATGGACCAGATCCCCGAGAATGGCTTGCCTTACCGGAGTGGCATGCTCCAGAGCTGGAACAAGTTTTGTTTTACGGGCGGCTATATCGAGGTGTCAATCAGTTTACCAGGGCCGAATCAGGAGACACAGGGTTATGTGAGTGGCTGTGGCGCTGAGCATGCCTCTCAACAGGATTGGTTCGGGATGTGTAGTACTAATTAATGGATTGATATAGTGGCCGGGTGCATGGACGATGGGTAACCTTGCACGTCCGGGATACGGCGCAACTACAGACGGCGTTTGGCCTTACTCGTGAGTTCAATTGTTTGAGCAACGATTCAGGTACTAACTCTACTTCAGCTATGACTCCTGTGATGTTGGCACATTCCCGAACCAGACAGAGCCAGATGGTTCTGGACCAGCCGCTGCTCTCCAGTCAAACGCCTCGAAGGCCAAGTACAATTATGAGCTATCATGGCTGTCGGGACAGCGCCTCTCGTAAGTTATACCCGACTTCTTCAACTTTTATTTTGTATTTCCCCCGCCTTACTAGCGCACTACCCACTGTTCTTGCTCAACATTGGACACACACACCACTAACACTTTACCCAGGTCATGCACCTGCCCAGGAGGAGATCATCCCGGGCCATCCGTGAATGTCGGCCGTGGTGCCCCTGAAATCGATATTCTCGAGGTCGAGCATAATAAGTTGGGCTCGGGACAGGTCGTCTCGCAGTCCGCCCAGTTTGCGCCCTTCTCGCACGATTACATCTATCTCAATGACACCCAGGATGAGTGGTTTGTCAACACGCCTGATATCACAAATGCAAATAGTTATCGAGGGAGTGCAGTGTGAGCACCATTTTCATTGTGATTTGTGGTTGGCTGTTGTTTCTTTGGAGACTAACATATCTTCTGTCACCAGTCAACAAGCAGTATCTGCCTTAACACTTCTTCCTGATGACATTTTCCAAGAATCTGGCGCGCAGTTCACGACTTTTGGTAAGCAATTTTGCGAGCCCCATCTCCTGGTTGTCTGACGTGTTGCAGGCTTCGAGTATTGGTCGGATCCCTTGAATCCTTCAGATGGGTATATCACATGGCAAACCGCCGGCGTCGAGTCCGCGCGTGTTGGTGCCGCAGCACTTGGTCCCGATCCGTTGCCAGATGGCACAGGCATATCGCAGCGACTGATCTCTGTAGAACCAATGGTCTGTCTTCATCTTTTCCCGTGTCATTCTGCCTGACGCATCCATTCTACTAGTCCATCATCCTCAACTTGGGTATATCACGTGTGTTCAGTTTCCTTCCTCATCGAAATACTCACTAACGCTCTTTCCAGCGGATTGGCAGACGATTGATCTAAGCACGATGATCTTCCCTGCTGAGATGCTTGTTGACTACGTTCGTGTGTACCAGCGGAAAGGGCAGACAAATGTTGGGTGCAGTCCCACAGACTACCCTACGGAAGACTATATCAACCGGCATATGGATTCGTACATGAGTTCGTCAAACTTATCGACTTTTCAAAGATGTTACTGATGGATGCCACCACCAGATCCCAACCTTACGTTGTGGAATTATCCAAAACCGCAAAACAGCTTGGTGCGTCGTCCTCGCGTGTTGACCGATGTGGCGGCTCACCTTCCCGATTTATAGTATTCTGGCGGGTGCTAAGCTAACTCAAGCTGTTTTCTGAATCATCCTCCTGGTTCAGCAGGACCTATACTAACTTAACCTTATCTCCTCACGCAACTATTACTTATACTGGCCAGGGACTATTTCACGGCTTATATCCTATTCATCTATCCATTACTTACCCAACCAACCATACACTCACTCACACAACTAGACATTCGCTTGCATAGAACTTTGGAAATGATGGGCGTTGCACATCATACATACAACTACATTCTATGGGACGGTTGTTGGCACTGATGCTACGATTGTGCGATTTGGGCATGGATGGCTAACTACAAAAGATCATATTCACCACGGTCAGCATGTTTAGCAATGACGGGGGAATGTCGTATCACCATCTGGCGAATGAGTGGGGTTTGGAAGTGTTCCTCAGTGCGAATGAACACTACGTGACTTAATTGAAGGTGTGACGTGTGCGATTGATGTATGCCAAAATTAGTCTGTCTTCCGCCAGCAGAGCAGACCAAAGAAAGGTAGTCGTATGACACAACTATGGGCAGTTCGAGTATGGTGCTCACCCTGGTGTTGACAGAATTACGGCGCCATTTAAAAATACACTTGTCAGCACTTGATTTCTTTGCCTTGTCCGCTCATTTCAAAGTGGTTCAGCAATCTCAAAAACAGTCTCGACATACATATAAAAATAGCTGGAATTCCATTGGAACATCGGGTGTAGTAGACATCGATTCGGCTAGAGTAGAACCGTGAGACTCTGACGGAAAGTTTGAGCCCGCAATCTGATAGAACACGAGGTGTTCTTAATTGACCTGATCGACACCAATGCGGACCTCGGTCGAATTGACAAGGTGGAGGAGGGCATCACCTGATTTTCTAATGAAGACAAGATCCTCAGGACTTCACGACAAGAGTTTCGATATGGATTGAACCACAGGCACATGTAAAAGAAGCAAGGTATAAAGTGCCATGGCACCAAGATAGAATGATGCCAAGTTGTTGGGCACGCACGCGAGCACGCACACGGCCAAGTACTGTCACATGGACCAAAGATAAGATCAGTGCCTAGGGTTGGAGCCAAGACCCAGAACTATTGTGGGCGGTTATGGGATCCTGTTTTTTGATTAATATTATGGGCGCGTGCCAGTGAAAGGCTGATTCAACGGAATCAAGAGTTTGTAAAGTGACAATGACATGGGAATAACCGCGGTGTTCGCTGATACGCTCATAAATCTAGTGTACCAATGTAATGATGGAAAGACTCAACTGCTCATCGTTTTGACGATGAAAGGCATGCGGATCATATGGCAGCTGCAAGATGAAGTGTAAAAACACGTGTGCGGAAGTTAACCGGACGAGATCAGTCAAATTGAGCATAAATGCTTACATAATGAGCTCTTTAGGAACTAAGATGTTGCACATCATGATCTTGGTGCCAGCACAGCTGGGCGATGAATCGATAACTTCTGGGCCGTTTGCCTTTATAAAAGCCACGACATGATTACGCGCCTTAGGTCTTGGCTTCGTCGTTTTTACTCTCCGCCCTCTCCCACCAGCAGAACGGCTAATATCCAGGATGGCAGATGATGATTTCGTCGCGGGTCTTCTTGCCCAAGCTACTCAGCATAGCGACCCTGTTTATGACTCGGAGAAAAAGCTCTTTGAGAATACGGTTGCTGATTCTTTGGACAACGATGTCGACAATATCCACGAGGGCATGCAATTCCCCACTGCGGAGGAGATGCTCACTCTCAGACGTGTATCCGATACAATTCCATGGAGTGCATATCGTGAGCTGTCTCTTATGCAAATGTAGCAAATTGAAGTCGACATTCATTTCACAGTGATTGCTGTTGTGGAACTGGCGGAACGATTCTCTGTGAATTTATCTTTTCGTCTCAAATCGTAATCGCTCACTTAACATGCTTTTTAGTACTATGGTATGTTGCACACGTTGATCGTTATTATATCATGCCAATCTTCAAAACGTCACTTTCAAAGGTTCTAGTGTTGTTTTCGTAAGTAGAACTTTTATCACTCGCTAATGAATTAGCTGTACAAATGTCTATCTTTGCAGACCAACTATATCCAGCAACCCCTTCCTCCTTTCTCCCGTACGGGTGCAGGTGGTGCAAATGGCCAATCTGGCGCCCTTGGCGCCGGTCAACAAATGTCTACAGGCCTGACCACGTTCTATCAGTTCTGGTTCGTGCTCTTTTGCCCATATCTTGTTGTCAGTCTCTTGATCGTGATTTCATCTAGGGCTTACATCTGTCCAATTGCTGGCGCCTATATTGCTGATACCTACTGGGGTCGTTACAAGACAATCTGCTGGAGTGTCGCTGTTGCCATGTTGGGCCACATCATTATGATTATCTCTTCAGTTCCTGGCATCATCGGCAGCCGTGCATCACTTGGCGTGTTCATCCTATCTATGATTGTCACTAGCACTGGCACCGGCGGCTTTAAATCGAATGTCTCCCCGTTGGTTGCAGAGCAATATCGGATAACTAAATGTTACATTGCTGTGACTAGTACGGGTGAGCGCGTCATTGTTGACCCGGCCATGACCACTACGAGAATCTATATGGTAGGCCGAGTTAAACGCACACTCCAAACTACTACTGACACCACCCGCAGTATTTCTACCTTTTTATCAACATTGGTGCTCTTATTGGTCAGATCGGAATGGTTTATGCTGAAAAGGTACGTTTCAAAAATAAACTCTGAACCTTCTGATGCGGTGCTCTAGTTTGTTGGCTATTGGCTGGCCTATACATTACCCACTGCAGTTTTCTGCATCTCTCCTCTGGTTCTTTGGTATGGTCGTAATCGTTATCACAGATCTCCGCCGCAAGGTTCGGTTCTTCCAGCCGCGCTGCGCATTTGGCGGTATGCCCAGCGCGGACGATGGTCGTGGAATCCTTATAAGACAATCAAAAATCTCACCTCCAATGACTTCTGGGAAAGTGCCAAGCCTTCTAAGCAGGTTGGCGAGAAGCCCAGATGGATGATCTTTGATGACCAGTGGGTTGACGAGGTCCGTCGTGGTTTCAAAGCTTGCAGCGTCTTCGTCTGGTTCCCGCTTTACTGTGAGCTCTCCCCACTCAACCCCCCATATCGCTTCCTTTGTAGCTAATTTTACGCCACACAGGGCTCTGCTACAATCAACTTAACAATAATTTGGTCTCACAAGCTGCAACAATGACCACCAATGGCCTACCTAATGACGTTCTGTCCAACCTCGATCCCTTGGCTCTCATTATTTTTATCCCGATATGTGATTTGGTGGTAAGTATCGTGAAGGAACATAATTTCCCTGGTCTTATTATGACAACCACAGATCTATCCGGCACTTGCACGTGCCGGCATCCGGTTCACCCCTCTAAAGAAAATCGCTTGGGGCTTCGGCACTGCAGCCGCATCGATGATCTGGGCTGCCGTTGTGCAGTACTATATTTACAAGACAGACCCTTGTGGGCACTACGCTGGAACCTGCGTGGACGCAAACCAGAACCCGCTTGTTTCCCCCCTGAATGTGTGGATTCAGAGTGGCTCGTGAGTAACTTTCTCAAGTGTGCACCTTTGTGAATAGATGTTGATAGTACATATAGATATGTGCTCATCGCATTCTCTGAAATTTTCGCATCGATCACGGGTCTCGAGTATGCATTCACCAAAGCACCGACGAACATGCGTAGTTTGGTCATGTCTGTGTTCCTCTTCGCGAGTGCAGCCTCAGCTGCCATTGGCGAGGCTTTCGTCTGTATGTCGTCGTCATTTGTCGTCGTCTGCGAACGTACCCTCACATAATTGCAATAGCACTGTCGCTAGATCCACTGCTCGTATGGAACTATGCCATCAGCGCTATACTTGCGGGCGTTGGTGGCCTCCTATTTTGGATCGTCGTTCGTAAGCTCGACAAGGAGGAGGACAAGCTCAATAATCTGGCCAATGGGCACTTTGTGGACGAATTAGGACTCAGCCCGCTGTAGGCGGAGTTTGAAACGCGCGGATGGCAGACTCTGAACGCGTCCGGAGTCCGTAACCACTGTAAATCATTGTCCAATACTGTCAATGAATTCATGACGCTCTGGAAGATTGCCAAGGACCAATGAGATGCTAATGCGCCATTCACCCAGGTGTTTTGTTCTGGTTTACTCTCATGGCTTGTGACAATGATATTCTGCCGTCCCTTGATCGAGCGTACGGTTTGGCATTTCATTCAAGTACCAGTTATAGAATCCGCAGCTGCGTTAATGCTTTGATGGATGTCAGTTAGGGGGCACCTGTTTGAAGTGAGGGTCCCAGGCGCAGCATCATACCAGGACAAAAGTTCAACTTAGTACTTGTCATTTCGCCAAAAACAATACTGCATACGAAATTGCCGACCGTACCAGTGGTTCATAAACTACCTCTCGCCGTCCGAGTTGCTCCTAGGTAACCTAAGTGTCGGGACTGAAGACTGAGCCCTCATCATTCCCAAATACCATCAATACGCTGTGAGCCTTTCAGTGGAGAAGCGGGCGTGTTTTAATTCGGCGCTTCTATCAACTTGCAGCTTCTGCGGGGGTAAAGTGCAGAATATGGAGGCAGGTAAGGTCTATATCCATAACATAAACTTCAACCTACTGCAGCCCGGAATCAGATCACGCTGGGTGCAACATCGCTTTCTACAAAAATACGTCAGTGATGTGATATTAGTAAGAAGATGAATCTAGTACTGACAAGCCGTAAGAAAAACTATTGATAAAAACGGAAACTGACCGCCAAGCCATGAGAAGTAGAACGAGATAATGACGAAGACGTCATGATGTTGCTGACAGAATCTGCACCGCATCAGAGTAAGTCGTAGGATTGGTGTGTTGCTATAAGCGGTGCCAGTGAGAATGCCATCAAGCACATGAGCAAATGATACGAGCGCAAAGATGTATGAAGGTGTGGTTGCATAATTTAAACTGGTTGCAGGAGAGGTGGCGTCGTTAAATACACAGCAATCGTGGCCAAAAGTAATCCACACTCCACATGAAGTAGCACGACCAGTAGAACATGGGCTACCTCGAAATTATTGCTATTGGTTTTCCCTACCACTTGATTCATATGCATGTCCCATTCTTGGTCCAACGACAGTCGGCGAACTGAGATCAGACAAAGGCCTCAAAATAACAACTGAGGAAGAGGACCAAGGAGAGGATGACCTTCCCGTGAGAAGGGAGCGGTTTGGTGAAGGTCGCATGTGCATGGATAGCGACCAAGACTGGCCATACGTGCATATAATCGGAAGATAAAATACTTACATGTTCCTGCGACCCACCAGGGACCAGAACGCTGGGGTCAAGACCAGCCACCAGTGTGCAGGGGGTCAAACGGAAGGACTTGCGCAATGTGTTGCATCGTTACAAGTTCGGCTCACCATTGCGACTTGACTACTAGCTCCAACTTCTGGAATTGCACTTTGCAGTAAGGTAAGTGATATGTACGGCTATAGTGCCGTGACCGTGATAGTCAACTTTGACTTACCTTCAATAGGCTGCTCAATTCTTGTTGAGTCGAATATTGTGAGCCTCATAACTTGGCAAGTTCAGTTCGGACCATCATGGGTTTCTTGTCCACTGTAGCTACTAGCGGTTGGCCAACTCACACGCCACGATCATACTTGTCGGCGCTCCTCGAGGGTGAGCGCTTCTCTTCGTTGTTGGCCCACTGAGTCAAATGCGTAGCGCCATTCCGACTTGAAGCTTTGACAACGTGTATTCGGCGTGCAGCGCACATGAGGAACAAGTGCCAGGCTGCAGCCACTGGCGGGTCGTGTCCAGTAGCGGTGGCGGTGGCGTGGCAATGGAATAGTTTAGGTAAGAAACCAGAGACAAAATGGAAGAGAACTTTGGATCAGGCACAGACCACAGTGTTTACACTAGGCATGCATGGCAGCCTGGCTAGATTTGAATTCAACCGTCACGCTGGCGACTGGCCGCATCCCGAACAGTTCGGTGCCATCCGACGAGCTCTATTAGAGCCTATAAGCCACGTAACTGATGTAAGCGACGATATGGCGATTTCCTGATCGCATTCGTGCTTTCAGGCCCCGAATCTCATCATACTCTCGGAAAATACTTATCTATAACCAACCGAAGGCATGCAGAAGTACATCTTCTACAGCCGGTTTTCATATTGTGCCAGTTCTCACTAGTCGCTCAGCGCCTCTAGCTGTCGGCTCGACAAGTATGGCCATCTGAGAACCAGAACTTGTCAAATCGGACTCATCTGGTGCAACCTCTATCGATCTGCTTGCGTTAGAATGCGCTGCGCTAGCGATTCGGGGAGTTGAGTCACCTGGAGATCTCGGTGAGCAATCGGCTAGAGTTGAATTTATGACACGCCATAAGTATATATTGAATGCGACTAATACCCTCTTCTAGACACGTATCCGAGAAGAACGGAAAGTCGCGTATCTGTAGTTTTGAGTACGCATCGCATCATGGAACTGATGTCTTGCCAACAGCAACTGTCGTCCCTTTTTCACGAGTCGTGCTTCGTGTCGATTTGGGGGAGAATCGATCCGTTTCCGTAGAGAGAAGCTGGTAGGTTTCGCGACAGAAGTTTATTCCTTCTGAGCTGAAAGTAGCACAAGGATTCTTGGGGCCAGCATAAAACCTGGAGCGCATGATGCCAGTCCACCATCGAAATTTTGGATCCTGTCATTCGCACCGTGACAACCATGGGTGTTGCGGATTTTTCATGCCTCACACTATGGTCTCTACTTCTTGGCATTATGACCCATGGAATAGTTGCGTTCAATATGTTATCTAACGACAATGTGAGGCGCGTGTATTTTTCTTGATCCAAACCACTCATCCTTCCTCCATTAGCTGGCCGTGTAAGTGTCACATGTATGTTATTTACGAAGTCAGATACAAATCTTCAAATGTAACAGCTACTGGGGCCAGAATTCATACGGAGCCATCAATCCCGATAAAACAGCTCACTGGCAGAAGACACTTTCATACTACTGCATGGTCAATTGCCTTTTTTCTAAAATTTCGAGTCGCCGCTTGACTCCAGGTGTCTCAGGACAATGTCATTGACACCTTTCCAATTGCCTTCCTTGTCGATAGCTATGCGGGGGGTAATCTCCCGTCGATTGACTTAGCGAATGTGGGTAATCTGTGACCCTCATTCCGGATCATGCTGACACTAAACTGATGTGCAGATCTGCAACTCAGGCAATGCTAACTATTTTCCAGGCACTGACTTGCTAGATTGCTCTTTTCTTGCCTCGGACATCCAAATGTGCCAGTCCGCGGGAAAGGCAGTCACCATCTCGCTTGGTGGTGGAACAGGAAATATCCAGTTTCAAAACGACTCTCAGGCCGCTGCTTACGCGCAAACAATATGGAATCTTTTCCTAGGTGGAAAGAGCAAGACACGTCCCTTTGGATCTGCGATTCTTGATGGGTCCATTGGTTTTTTCACATCTTTAGACTTGTTCTGAACGCATGGCAGAATTGACATGGACATCGAGGGTGGCTCGCAAACAGGCTATGTCTCCTTTTTGACTGCGCTTCGGAAACATATGAATCGAGGCAAGAAGAAGTGAAGTTTATTTTTTTCTGCTGTGAGCATTGTTTCATATTGTTTGCGCAGATATTATATCACTGCTGGTAAACTGAGACGCTTTTCATTGACATTCATTTGATTTTCATATTCGAAATTTACTCCAGCACCTCAGTGTCCTTACCCAGACGCATACATCGGAAATACGCTCAACGTAGTGGAATTCGATGCAGTAGTATGTCCAATTCTGTCCGTCTTTTTCCTGATTGCCCGCTTTTTTGGTTGATAACCACTCACAGACAACAACTATTGCAATCTACGGCATTACAACAATCGTAAGGTAAGTTACGATGTTTCTGTCCAGTACCGTTCCTCAATAAGATCGTTGAGCATAGGACTGGGACTTTGCTACTTGGTGTGTACCAACGGGGGCCAGTTCATGTCTTGCTTCCTAATCCTTATTAGGGACGATTGGGCAAACAGCGTCTCACCCAATCGTGACGTCAAGGTTTACATTGGCGCTCCCGCGTCATCTGGTGCAGGATCTGGCTATGTTAGCCCCAAGAGAATTACGTCAATAATTCAGCAGACTCAGTCCAATTACTCTTCCTTTGGAGGGGTCATGTTATGGGATGTATCAGACGCGTACGGTGCGTCGAGCCTGCCCTGTCTTCATAACCTTCTATAATTCTACTGCCTCAGCCAATCATCGCTACGACAGAGCAGTCAAACAAGCTTTGAGATCTGACGTGGATCTGCTCAACAAACGAAGCCGCGCTCAATACCTATCAGAAACGCACGATATCACCCATGACGAGGACTGATAGTTATTCGTACTTGACTACATACCTCCCCCTCCCCCCATCGCCAGGGGTACCACGTCCTATATGAAATTGTTTGTTTCCGTATGTGAATATAAGTTGTAAATCTCTCCCTGACTGTGCTCTCAAAAGGTCGACTTCTGAGTCGTTTCAACGTCAGTGGATATCCTCAGGTATCCGTAGTCCTCGTCGATAAGCGATGTCAAATTTGAGGATCACAATTCACATCAGATAAACTGGCTTATTCATAATAACTACAGGCGTCCTAACCACGAATAAAGTAAATCTGCGTGTGTGATTGATGCTGCAGCACTGAATCCTCATTGCCTCCGTCGGAATCGATGTCGATGCTTTCACCATTGGCTTCAAGTGGAAGTTTGCAATGGTAGTATCACGACCTTCAAGATCTGCGATTGTTATCACCTTCACCATATTTCTAAGGTCCAAAATCTGGCTGAGGAGGCTTCCAAAAGCATGATCGCCGGCCTTGTTATCATGAACCAGGATGAAAGCCAGTCAGGTTTGAGCCTTGTCGTATGTGAGCGAGAATTTCGACCTAGTCACCATCGAGTGAGTTCGACAACTAAGAAGGAACTACTAGCCGCATTCTACGACGGTAGCGGGAAGTGCGGGTTGGGGAGTAACACAGTAAAAGGCCATTAAATCCCATCTGACGCAAAAGGCGGTTGATAAGCAGCCTGCGGGAGCGAGACTTTGACTAATTCATTGTGCATATGCGACCCGATCGATGATCGTCCCAACGTACGTTGATATCGAACTGACAGTCAACAGTGCAATTCCATGCCGAGCATGTGCTCTGATCTTTCATACGATGACCACTTCGCCATCCAAAACGTGACTCAGTGGTTATGTTTGGAGACTGTAGTGGTCATCATATGATGTATTTACCTGAAGGTACGCTCCCGTGTCTATCCAAACTTCGCCCAATGGATTTGAGAAACCATTCCGACAGGACATACTAGAACCTGAAATGATGAACGTTGAGGCCTGGGGGATATATGTATGTAGTTCGCTTTTCTAACCGTTCTAAGAATGATGTGTGACTCGGGCTCTCAGAATGTCAGAGACTTGATCCGGATCAACGTCTCAGACATGACGGGACTCCCAGCGGAGTTTAAACCTATTGACCATGCCATCAATAAGTGCTTATGCATATGACGCACCAACGCACCCGCTGCACCTGCGGCGGCGGCGCGGCGCCCAACATCCAACATCCCGCCATTATTGGAATGCTGTGTTCATGCTCCACCTCAACTCTGTCCATTATCAGCCCATCCACCTTGCCCGCGCAGCACCCTTCCAGATGTTCCCTTTCTTGTCAGCTTCTCTCTGCAGCCATATGCATCAGCAATTGGCATCGTTCTTGATTATGCAGGATGTGGTACTGCATTCCTCTGTCGCAGTGACCGGAACGGAAACTCGGGAAAGCCAATGACAAAGGTATGTCCTCACTGTGTGGTTGATTGATGTTAGATTGACACAGTCTATAATAACATATTTATGCATCAAATATACTATAACTACTGTATAAGTGTGATTTTGAGACATCGTGTGCTTTTAAAAGCTTTACAACGTCCATGGGAGTAAGTCCTTGGTGCTGTTGCAGACAGTGAGCGGGAGCGGCTTTCATACTCCGCTTGGAGGTGCCGATTGGCTTGCTGTGTTCCAGACTGAACTCTGGCCCAAACCAGCCATTTCAGAGATGTCCTCCAGATTCTCAGGCCCGCCTGATAGGTGGGACTGGGATAAGTAACAGGTTTGGATCTTCAGCACTTCTGCCATGACCAGGCTCCTGTCGCCGAGAATTTTCGGAACAGACCTAAGTAGATCTAGGTGTCAAGAGCTTCACCGAGCTCACGCGTTGTGATTCACGCTCGACCGGCACGATCACCCTGACCAAATTTAGAGGTAGTACCTATTGGTTTGTTGATTGTACCCGACCACCCGATATACATCGACTCCATCAAGCACTCGGTGCTCAGCCCAAGTGTGCAGTCCGAGAAGATTGTTTTGATACTGGCGGTCGTAGTTGGCGTTTCCGCAACACCTCTACATACTTCCATTATAGGTCCTATGAAAGCATTCCTCGGATCTTCCGATACGCGTCGGAAGTATTTCGTGGGCATACCATGTGCTTCAGATGTTCGACTTGCAGTGGGTTCGGGTTTGCTAGCAGGGAAAGTACTAGGCTTGATATACTTAGCTCTGACGACCAGTTGGCGGTCCCGATCTATACTAAGTCACGACGCGACAAAGAGGATCTTGTGGATTTCCTGAGGTACGTCGCCCTTTCCTCGTGTATTCTTGGGGGAATTCACTAGAGAAGAAATCCCTTATCTGAGCACCGTGGAAGTCACTCCTCCAGTGCCATAGCCAAAGGCGCGTCAAATACCAGATGGTATGTTCTTGGATGTTACAGAGGTAACGAAAATTTAGAGGTGGCCCCTATTGGACACTCACTTGGCTGCAACATGACTCCAGTCGTCCACGAATTTATTTGGTCGTATCACATGGATGGTTAACTAGAACTCCATTTTCATCCAATTGACATGCGACTCAACCCCTGTATGAGCAAGGCTCAGCTGGCCCGAATGGTTCAGCTTTGTTGTTTATCGTCAATATGGGAGCCACAATCGTTGCAGTCAAACTGCCATGAAGTATGTCCCTTTCCGTATCAGGTTCGTTGAGACTTCTATCTGCCATCTCATCCGCATTCCGTGCTGCATAAAGAGAAAGTGGTATTGTACAATAATATGTTGTCGGCCATTGATCCCTATTCCGTCACTGTTCCACTGCAACAGAAATCATCGCGATGTTTTCCAAATCCCACCTGACATGTGCGCTGTTGTTCTGTTTCGTCACTCGCACTATTGCACAATTCGACATGTCATCGAACCAGAATGTCAGTTAGCCTTTTTCTTTCTTGACGCGTGATTGACAACTTTGACTAGCTGGCTGTGTGAGTGGATCACGAGTATGGGACGCATGTCTCCGTTACCAACGATCTGGTTGCAGGTACTGGGGTCAAAACTCGTATGGAGCTGTGAATCCATCCGATACTGCAAATTGGCAGCAGCCCATCTCTTACTATTGCAATGTTGGCCTATTTCCATATTATACTGGAAAATTTACCTCACGTCTTAATCGCAGGACACCGTGATCAACACTCTCCCGATAGCCTTTCTAGACGAGTTCTACTCAACAGGAAATCTCCCGTCCATCAACCTTGCAAATGCAAGTTCTCACTTCTGATTTCCGGGACCTGTCTAACCCGTCTGTAGACCTGCACGAGCCCTGTTTTTTCAGGGACGGACCTCCTCAATTGCTCATTCCTCGCATCGGATATCGAATATTGTCAAGCTGCAGGAAAAATCGTCACAATGTCGTTGGGAGGAGCAACAGGTTCTCCCGGCTTCACAAATGACACCGAAGCAGCGGCATATGCCCAGATAATTTGGGATCTTTTCCTGGGAGGTTCGAGTACTACGCGTCCTTTCGGGTCCGCTGTTCTGGACGGGTATTGATGCATCAACCCCTTGAGAAATGTGCGATCTGACACTGAATCTAGCATCGATATGGACATCGAAGGTGGCTCTCAGACTGGACTTGTATCTTTCTTGTCTGCCCTTCGCACCTTGATGGATGGTGGCAGTAAGCCGTACGTCGTTCCACAAGCTTTTTATTCGCTTTCTAACAGCCTTTACAGGTACTACATCACTGCGGGTTCGGTTTCTGATGCTTTACACGATGACCGTTACTGATACTGTGAGACTTTTCAGCGCCTCAATGTCCTTACCCCGATGCCTACATTGGTACTACTCTGAACGAATTTGGATTTGACGCTGTATATGTCCAGTTTTGTGAGTGATATTTTTAGTTTGAGTCTGCGTCTCACGCCCTTTTAGATAACAACTATTGTGGATTGACGAATTACGACAATACGAATGTAAGCATCCCATAGGCCGATTGTTATCATTGGCTAAAAATGCGAACTGTAGGCTTGGGACTTTGACACATGGTATATAATCTCGTTTGACTGGCAGAATTTTTCTTGGCCTAACCAAAGCACAGGGACAACTGGGCACAGACAGTATCGCCCAATCCAGATGTCAAAGTCTACATAGGTGCCCCAGCATCATCGAGTGCAGCTGGATCCGGATATGTCAGTCCATCGACGTTTACCCCAATTATCCAGGAAACAATGGCCGAATATTCATCTTTTGGAGGCGTCATGCTGTGGGACGCGTCTCAGGCGTATGGTAAAGTGGTTATATACTACTTGTATACACTTGTGACTGAATTTGCTCTTCAGCAAATGACAGATACGACATCTCTGTCAAGGATGCACTGTTAGGTGGTACGTCTGCCCCTCCGCCGACGACTACAATTACGACTACGACCACGACTGTGCCTACTACTAAGACCACAATTGTGTCGACTACTTCCACAACGAGCACCAGCACAACATCAAGTGCTTCTCCCACAACAACATCTGGAACTGGTTCCTGCGCTGGTGTGGCAGCATGGCAAACTGGTGTTGCGGTGAGTTCAATTACATATTGGGCAATTCTGGGAGTCTAATGGCTCTACTTAGTATGTTGGAGGTGACGAAGTCACATACGGGTGCGTGTACAAGTTGACTTGCGCTCATGGATTGGCACTTAACGTATCACGTTATAACAGCGGGGATCTCTGGACCGCGAATTGGTGGTCGGAGAATGATGTTCCGGGCGGTAAGTGAAAGCCTCTGGTGTGACGCTGCTATTTTTGCTGATACCATTTGTAGGTGCTTCCGGTGACTGGGCGAACGATGGCGCATGTGTATAACCATTCTGCCTCTGCGCGCTTTTGTTAGGTGTAGAGGTCGTTGCCGTTACTGAACTGCTCTAACCCAGCCTAATATCTTCTACCTATGTACAACAAATATTTATACTACGCAGAGCTGTCTTACATGTACCATTAGTTTTCAACATTGATGTAATTTTCTTGCCTTTCTTGCCTTTCTCGAGTAGTTTACAATAAATTTTTACAAGCACCCTTTATCTGACCTAATTATATGCCTCGTGTGCATTGCTTCGTCCCCCCAAGCCTCGGTTAGCGCTGCGAAGGGCTAGATGTGATTGGTCTATCATACGCCCAATATGAAATTTCGAGACGTGCAGCTAAAGGAGGTTATAGAATGAATCCATCAGATTCACGTGTCTTTATGCATGTGTTTAGTAAATAAGCGCTAGACTGCTGCGTGCTGAACACGCCACTGCCCTCATTTCGCAGACTTCTCTTCGGTACCCAAAAATTCGATACCAGTCTGTCAGAGTCTATGGGTTACAGAAGGCCGATCAGATAGGACAGATGCGTGCGCCTGGCCTAAGCCTGGCCAGATAAAGTAGCTACCAGTGGAGTGATAAACGCGAGGACTAAATCTGGACCAAGTCCACAGGGGGCAGTGAGCGACTAGTCTCGGTTGTTGCTCCCGAATTTTAAGCTTTGAAGTTAAAACCCCAGACTTCCGGTCTCTTCAAGGGCAGTAATACGTATCTGCTGCACTTCTGCTGTTGCTGATCGTGTATCGATCCTCCTAGCAGCGCACGATCACGGTTGAGGCTTGGCAAAGTGCCAATACTCCCATTTGATGTGGTCTTTATGAAAGTCAAACTTGGTATAAACTGATGTTCGACATACCTGGTACTGATGACCTGTAAATTGCGTGTCTAGACAAGATTTCCACGTCATCACTGACGGTTCTTGGTGGTACTTTGCGCCGCTTATATAAGCATAGTTTAGATTGAAGGGTGACTGAAAAAGGAAAGCTTTCTTGGTTTCCCAGTCTCATTACTTACCCCTGGACTGATACTGCGTGCTGAACACGCCTTTGCCCTATCTTGTTTCTGACCACGACTCTAATACTTTGACTGGCTCATACTTCTAGACTTGTAACCCTAATGTCGTTTCTTTTCTAATTTCTTTCTACTACCCTGGACCATTTCATACTAGTCTGTTCGAGTCAGATACCATTTCCCTTACAATGTCCAATGACATACAGAAGGCCGACCAGATAGCACACAGATTCTACACAAAGCTTTGTCTTGTCGTCTCAAATGCTAGGGCCACTTCTGAACTAAAGTCTCAATCAAAGGTCGACAAATGGGTGCGTGACTCCTTCGAGTATCCAGACTGAGCTAACCTCTTTCTAGTTTAACCTTGAAACCCCAGACTCTGACCTCTTAAGAGATCATCTTCGTATATACAAAGCAGTATCTACTGCACCTGCGCCACCCCCATTCGAACTTCAGGTGCTACTCTCCGTCCCAGATCTCATCACTAATCAAGTCTTGGTCCACCTTGCACATGATTCCTCTCGCTTTCGCATCGACCCAACGCCTAGGCACATCGTACTCGAGAAGTGGTTGCTCAATTTTGTTCCAGAAGCTCGTGGAGACAGTGACGCCGACAGTGTGGCACCATCCACCATTTACAAGCATGGAATACCTCTCTTCCGTAGTATCTACAGTCTACTTCGTATTCTTCCCTCCTGGAAGCTTTACAAGAAGCTTAGGAGGCGCACAAGCAATGCCTACCGGAACGGCAACCTAAGTATCCATCTGCGCGTCAAGGGCCTTGAGGACGGCGTTAGCGCGACTGACATCCTCGATTTCGGTAAGTCACGTTACCTTTAACCTCGTGGCTTCATCTCATTTCATCATTACTTCATCTCCGTCCAATGAAGACACGCCCCCTGCACCCAATGCACCACCACTACAGCACCAAACCCATATCTTCCCTGCTATTCCACATCCTTCGGGTACACTCTCCCTTGACATCACCTACCTCTCTTCTCCAAACTTCCAGCTCGACGAACTTGAATCTCTCCTCTCCTCTCGGTTTCTCTCTCTAGATGAAGGACCAGAGTTCACCCCTACCCTTGCAAAGAACCAGCAGCGTGATTCCTTAACGGGCCTTCCGGGTAGTCTACCATTGCGTGCATCTCTTCCAAAGTCACCACCGTCCTCGATTGCAGATCGTTTTGTTCTCCCCGCCCCAAATTCTCACTCCCGTACAAACTCCATGCCGGTCAGCCAGAGTCCACGCTTGGGCGCTTTCCCCATGAGTCGTACTTCCACCGGCGCCGGGATCAACGCGGGATCGACATCTGCCCTCTCGATCGCGTCCTCACGTCAAGATTCGAGTACAGCTTGGTCCAAGGAAGACACAGGACCTTTTTCGGGCGTTTCCGCTGCTGCGCGCATCAGATTGGAGAGTATGGCGGGGAGGAGTAGTAGTGCGGTCAGCATTATATCATTCGATTTATTCATCGACAACTGACGTCTCTTCAGGACCTTCCCTCTACCCCAGCGCCACTTCCGATCCGAAGACCGGGGATCAACCCGGTCCATCCAGTTCAAGACGTCCACACTGTCATCAGGCTCTCCGTCCCTTCACTCACCTTCCCCTTCTCTGCGTCAACCATCACCACTTTCTGCAGGCATTCCATCACTGCCTTCTCGCCCGGTCCCAACGTCACCAAACTCCTCTCGTGTTGTTCCCCACTCCTCGATTGGATTTGGTAGGCAATCTCCCAGTAGCATCGGAGGTCGATCAGAAGGCGAGGACACATCTCCGAAGATTCCAACAAGGAAGCGTTACTCCAGCAGCTTTGGACATCGCTACACTGCAGCCGGAGGTGGGGGGAGCGTTGGAAGTGCAGGAAGCGGGGAACGAGCAGAGGTAAGCGACCTCGATGCCTTATTATACATTATCCTTCACGTTGCATATCCATCTGACTGATATTGCATTGCATCGCACGTTGCTTCATTTTTCATCATTTGCTATTTATAGATGGAATGTAGTACTAATAACATTCCTGTGCAGAGTACCTCTTTCCTTGGTGTACCCACTGATGACGATGAGATATCCATCTTTGTCAAGGACATTGATGCGCGGAAGCCACTTAACGCCCAACGTCAACCTTCGCCTGCATCTACACAGGGCCCACCCACTACCCCCTCACATACCAAGTCCGACTCCATGGGCTCCGCGGGTCCAATGTTGACACGAGAAGAAGAAGTCGACGAACGTTTACGCCACATGAATGAGACGTTCCTTGCGAGCTTGGAGGGACTTGGTAGTGGCCGGAGAAGAGGCAGTATGGGTGGACATTCAGCGGGCGGAAGCCCTATCTCGAGTACAAGTGGACGTGATGAGGGAGAGAACAGAGGTATGCGACGCACGGAGATCCGGCGGGGAACGTCAAGACCGAGACTTGGCTCCTTACGCAGCATGAGCGCCAATGACGTAGCTTCGAGTGGCGGGTCTGCAGAAGTGATGGGGAAGTTGGAACTCGACGAGGAGCCTCGGGCACAAAGACAAGGTCCCCATTAATGTATGCATGTGCTTTCTTGATCATCCGACTGACTTGGTGGGGTGGTAGTAATGGTGGTTAGCCTTGTGTCTTTTGCAAGCCGCAAGGTCAGAATCTGAGTTACTCGGCGATTACTGATTTTCATGGCATCATCCTCGCTGTTATATTATTTTTACGCATTTTATAGCCATTTGCTTCATTAACTATCGTCATGCATACCCGAACTCTCGTCTTTATCATATGCATAAGTTCTATACGCAAGGTTGATTGGATCCACAAATGACATGTGTTAATGAGTGTATGTGGGTCTAGTAGGAATTGCGAATTGACTGTCTCAGTTCAAATTTCAGCCCTACTACGGTCCAGATGGCAAACGCACGTACAAATAATCTTGTTGTCCAAGGCTATCAAACTTTGGGCTGCTTCATCAACGAGACGTTCATCCTTGCACTCGACAATGGCTTGGAATTGGTCGCCTTTTGTTCCTCTTGTCTATTGGTACGCGTTACCAAGTGAGACTAGAATAGTTCGTACCTTTCCAGGTCTTCTGGTCACAATGTGATTGATGGGAGCATGTAAATAGAATTCAAGCCGGTGGCGTACGAACAATGAGAAGTTGCACGGATCATTTGAATTTCACTGTTGCAATCGCCTACATTAGCCCGCTCAATTTTACCAAGTATGTGGTCGGGCATCAAATCTCCCAGAATAACCCACTTCCATTTGATATATCATGGCCTCAGCGGCATGATCGTGATACTGGGCACTTGACAGATAAATTGCTCTGTTTGGTCAAAGACAGGACGGAAGCGATGTTCTCCGAACACACAGGAATGTACATGACCCTCCGAGCTAAGCGTGGCCGAGAGGTTGTGGATGCTTAGTGCGATCAGTGAAGTATGGGATTTCGCAGGGGTTGCTTGTTTGAGCACGAATTGGCGAGGGATAAAAATGAAATATAAAGTTGGCGGAACGTTGGTGAGATGAGGAACATGATAAAGCATGTATGCCACGTCATTGGCAGCGGAGACAAGAGAGAAAATGAGCAGGATGTCACGTATTCCTGCAGAACGGACTCGGCAGCAGATAAAGCCAATCTTGGCTCTGCCCCGATCAGCGAATAAGCCTCACTGACAATCCAGGCATCTCCTAGGTTGCACGTTTCAACAAGATCGTCGAGGTACAGACCTAGACGTATTGATGATTGATCTTCAGTACAAAACCTCCACGGAATTGCAGTTAACCGGAGGTACTTCCTAGATGTAACAGTGGCTTACAGTGTCTTAGCTTTGTCGATGAGCTCTCTATTTTATCTCGTCTGTTGCATAACAGCTGCATTGATACGACCCGGCTATATGATTGTCAAAACATGAGTATTCACCGGATGCTTTGTATAGTGCTTTACATAATAGCGAGGGTCCTTAGGACGTCATCGTAGACAAAAAAAATTGTGTCGCAGCACAGCAGTGTACCACATGTCGAAAAGTCTACATGTTAGTGAGCTCGAGTCGCATCGATGATCGCACACCCTTGCTATAGCCAAAATTTACAATTCGAACGAATGTGCGCTCATGGAGTCAGGCCATCGATTACATCCTCGCCATTCGCAGTGGCCCACCAGTACATATTGATAAAGGGAATGTGTCGAGCAGGGCTTGAACTTCCTGCTGAACTTCTGAGCTACAAATTTAAGATTCCGACTCCGCAAGCCCTCGTGGCCTCACCACCATTTGGCAACAGCCTGCAACTGTGCAACAGCCCGATGCCCGAATTTCTCAGGTTATTTGCCTATTGTAGCACAAGTCGCCAGCACGCAACCCCGGCTGTGCTGAAGTGAGGATGACGAGGATGCCTCTGCAGAACGCTTCAGGATTGGAGGCTCGTGCGGACTGATTAGCAGAACTTTGATAGAAGCCCTTACAAGTTCGTTCTTCTTGTCAACAAATGTTCGTTCCTGATGACTTGACTCAGTCTCAATGTACTCAAGGCCGGATGTTCTATTCGTTTGAATGACTGTCGACGTCCACCAAGCCTAGACCAAACCATCAGCCGAGAAATATATCGCGCTATGCCAGCACGGCCTTGTTATTCAGAAAAGCTCGGGGCTTGCCGCCCTTGTGAAGGTCTCTCAATCTTGCAAACCCACCGTGCTCTCGATGCTCTTGCTGAAAACGAATAATTCAAGTGCCAATCCACAATAGCGCTTACTTGAAGCTAGTCGGTGCGCCAAATTCTATTGTTTGATTCCACGGAACGTTTCCCCGGCTATAGACTACTCATCGACATACAAGAGAGCTTGTCCAACATCAAAAAACTTAGCTTCCGCGTGAACTCTGTTATCCCAGATACATATTTGTCTCGCCTTGGCTAGTGTTGAACGTTCATGTCGGACAAATTGCGGATTACAACAAAGCGAGCTCCCACGTTGTAGCACCTGTCAGGGTGTCGTGAGCAGATTTTGTACAGCGAGAGATTCTAGGCCCGTTTCTTATGCAACGTGGTCGTCGTTTAGATCGTCGGACGTGTGCGTCGGCAATTTAAAAGAGACGACTTTCCGTTGCCCCTTAACTGCGCAAGCGCAACGGGTCTTGATCATGGTGCCATTTCATCGACCTCAGGAGCTGTACGTCATCACAACATCTTTGAAGTCCGAAGTCTTGATGAGGTATGTCTGGCAGGGAAATTCAGTGCCGGTTATCATAACGCATTCGTCTTGATTCTTATGCTTGATTTATGATTGGTAACCGGTCACTCAAAGTAAGTCGCCTAATGATTGCACTGATGGCCAGTCAAGGGTCGAGGACTAGGACCCTTGTCGGCGCCGGCTTTCATCCTAACGCCTTGATCTTCTCTATTGTGCACAATGATTCGTTCCGACTTTTTCTCTCGGTGTTGTTGAAGATAAGAGCTAATTTATAAACCTACAGCGTGTTTCTCAGAGATGGTCGCAAAATTTCTCTTGCGATGGGGTTGTCAGCCGGAGGTAGAGCTCTGCCGTGTTATTATACCAGTCTTCAAGCCTCCCTATCTCATTCTTTCGAGGCGATACACATTGCAGTGCCGGTGGTCACTGCTAATGACCAGGTGTCTCCGGGGAGTCATCTCTAAATTCGGAAATCTCTTCACACATTGTGCAAAACTACAGCATCGAAACAAAAGTTACGAACACAGCAAGTGCTTAGTGAAGTGGATAATCGGCTCCTTCGCGTGTTCTTTCTGATTTCTAGTACACAGGCCAGATATATTTCAGGGGACTTCATGACCTGTGACATACCCAAATCGGTGTGCAAGAACACCTCAGTCGTTCTAAGTGTCCGTACTCATAAAAGATTTCGTGAGTGACTACATCATTTTTGATGTTCATGACTTGAGAACAAGGTCGGCGATTCAATGGTTGCCCCATGTTATACACGCAATAGGTGAGAAACACGCATGAACTCAAATGAGACAAGGTGGCTACACGTAAAGCATATCAAACACCGACAGAAGGGGTGAAGTCATGCACGACGAAGATAGCGTACCTGTGTTTCTCCCCTTGATAAATTACCGCAAGCACGATTATAGGCTATCAAAGCCACCCATACAAACACACGATGTCCCAGCCAATGATTATACTTTACGATGTACCATCCAATATACCACAACCTTGGGCCCCCAATATCTGGCGGGTACGGTAAGGCATTTCACTCCAACAGATATGTGCGCTAATATATTTCCCAGGTTGATACTCAATTTTAAACGGCTCCCCTACCGTACTACTTGGGTGGAATTTCCAGATGTCGAGGAAACCCTTCACGGGATTGGGGCCCCACCAACTTCCGTCAGAAATGATGGCCGGCCTGTCTTCTCTCTCCCGGTCATCGTGGATCCCATCCGGTCGCCGCAGGCTCCTATAGTCCTTTCAAACGCAAATCACATTGCTGAATATCTGGAGGTCACTTATCCAGGCCAGCATACCTTTCTATCTGCGATCCTTACATCTGAACAATTTGCAGCGCGTCAAGTGTTTCCAGAGGGATCTCGTGCACTGCAGGCGTTGTTTGTGCACTATATCCAAGAGATATTCGTGAAGCCACTGCTCCCTATCATGATACCTCTTAGTCACCAACGTTTGCCGGAGCGCAGCCAGAGTCATTTTCTCAGCGGGACGACGCCAAGTTATCTTTCCGTCCCTCCAGAGAGAGAACAGGCTTGGAAGGCAGTTCAAGAGCAGTTCGATTTTCTGGCAAATATTCTTGACAAGAACTCGGGCACTGACGGTGACGGGGTGGTTGCTATGGGCCACGAACTCACGTATGCCGACTTCGCCATCGTTTCCGTACTTATTTGGATAGAGAAGGTAGCACCGCATGATGGCTGGGTGAGGATTCGGCAGTGGAACGGAGGGCGGTGGGGTAAATTATGGGAAAGGTGCAAGGACTGTATGGATGTATTTTAATTGCTATGACGGGCGCCGTGCTTAGTGAAATCGCCGTTCCTTCTTTTTTCGCCTTTGTTCGAGTTTATACTGCACGACAATGTTGATGCATTCTAGGACCGTGACGAGAGTGGGCGTATGGCAGTGACTCGGATTCTGAGACTCAGATGCAGGGGCATGCCACCGACGCCATGCAGATATACCCAGCAGATGTAGTCGCTACAAACAGTACTGCTGGCATAGTCTACTTATTCAAGTTCGCCTTGCAACCGTCTCCCTCAACCTGAGATGCGACATTCCTTGCACAGGCTAACTTTAATCAATCTTTAGTCTTAGAAGCACCTAATGCCTTGTCGCCTATTTTCAATCAATTCATCGCTGCCAAGTGTTCTATGATATATATCATTGCCTCAGCCCAGTCCGAGTCAGTGTCACAGTTGCTGAAACGCTGAAGTTCCGAGAGAAGGTTTGCTTTATTATGCAACGCTCTGCCGCCGGGCTTGACCAAAGTGCACTTATGTAACTTAAAAAATAAATAAACTACGTCAGGCTTGGCGCCAGTCAGTACTCTGAACAGTGTTCGCTAGAAGCTTCACAGCGGTTTGCAGGAGTCCAGGAGAACAAATAATCGATAGTTTCATGAGACGAAGTTCAAGTCCAAGAAGTTCTAAGTGCGTTGGCGAAGCTTGATCGGTCTTAATATTCCTTATCGGCCCTGTAGTAATTGTCTCAAGGTCATTCAATTGGGCTAAAGCACTAAAAACCTGAGTAGCTAAGTTAAGCCTCATTCTCAGACTTGTGAGATGGCAAGTCCGTCTTCATCATGTTCGCCCTCTTCATCTGCGGTAACCATCCCAATACCTGGCAAGTCGATTTTGAAGCGTCCTCCACCCACGCAAACTGGTATCCTCTCTCGAATCAAGGGTCTTCTTCCAACACAATCTCTTACTTCCGCCAGTGACGACATCAAACCTCTAAAGCGCGCCCATTTTATACTTCCCAAACTTGTCACAGTTTACCCTATATCCTCCATCAACCCTCCGTCAACACCCGCGCTCAAAGATGAGAAACGGGCAATTGAAGAGAGAGAGAGAGAGAGACGCAGGAGAGTTGTCAGAGGTAACTCTATTGGCCCGAACGAAACCGAAGAGTGGTGGAATCTGGACAAGGTGGAATCGTTCTACAGGGAGTGTTGCGCATCAAGAGAGGAAGAGCCAGATCCCGCGATTTCTGCTGCCTTTAAGGTGACAAAATTTACATGTGGGCTCTGAGAGCACATAAAGCTAATCTCAGATGGTTGTACTCAACAGCGCGCATCAGCCACAAACCCTCGGTCCGTTGATCTGTCCGGTGTACAATTGACACCCACATCTGCCGCAATCCTCTCTGACGTGTTTACGATTGAGTGGGGTCTTCGAAAACTCACCCTTCGAGAGTGTGATTTGGACGACTATGTAAGTTGGTTTTCCCCTGATTGCCTCTGCTATGCTCACAATAACCCAGAAATTGAAACTTATGCTTCACGCGCTGCTTATACCTGGCACTCTCGTTTTCCTGTCCGTTGCGTCAAACCGTCGCCTAAAAGCACCTGCATTTAAAGTGCTTGGGTTTTATGCCTCAAAAGTGCGTTATTTCTGCAGATAATAATGCAGCTGCTCATGTATTCCATTGCCAGGCAAAAAGTCTACAGTTCCTCGACCTCTCACAAACAAATCTGGACAAGAAGGCAGTAGACTATATCGTAGTCTCATTGACAACAGCACCTGAGCCTGGTTTAATCACCCTCCGTCTAGACGACTGTTCTCTCAGGGTACCAGCGCTGGATGTACTTGGTAAGCCATCAACGTTCACACTTCGTCTAATTTTCTCTAAGTGTGGCAGCCCGAGTTATTCGTAATTCATCTCTTCGCAACATCTCTTTGCGCCATAATCGCATCAATGCAACGGGAGCTGTCGCCCTTGCTCTCATGATCCGAGACTACCCAGACGTGGTCCCTACTACTCCCAATTCATCTACCTTTCCTTCACAAGGAACCATCATCTCTTCGCCGCCTTCCTCGCCGATTCCCCCCTTTGCCCATCTACCTCCTCCGTCACCTGTTACCCGTACAGGACCTGTACCGCCTCCTCCACGTCATCCATCGTCCTTGCCTCCTCAAACGACTTACACGCCGTATGTACCTCGTACTCGCCGAGGTGCTGCAGCAGCACAACCTCCCCCGCTCTCGGCTTCCGGTCAGCCCGTCCCTATCATCACGTCAAATCCACAGGGTGGTGTCACTACTCGCCATCTTGCACCAAGTACCGGGTCTCAACGGTCGGAGGGCGGACTCCATCCCAATGGTACGACTCACAGGCATAATGTCGGTCCAAGTGCTGCACTCCTGGACAAGGTGCGCGCTCTTGATGCATTGCCAAGACTTGGAGCTCTCCGCACGTTGGATTTAAGAGGCAACGACATTCGCGTAAGTATTTCTTTTGAGTATGGTATTATCTGTTGATGATGTCGGCGTAGAACGGGGTTACCTATCTTGCACAAGTACTCAAACGAAACAGGACACTTAAGGTCCTGAACTTGAGTGAAAACAAGCTGGATGTTCAGTGCTTGGTGGCAATTGCCGAGGCGCTGGTAAGCATTAGAGTCTCATTGGTCGTCAGTATTAACAGGAGCTTCTAGAAATACAATCATTGCTTAGAAACTTTGGACATCAGTTGGAATCCCTGCTCTGGTCCTGGTCTCGAAGGCGTGCGTTATTAACTCATTGCACGTGATGCCTAGACTGAATATTGTTTAGATTCAATCATTGCGAACGGCCTTCACATTAAATAACGCTCTCAAGCGTCTATTCCTCTCCTCCACTAATATGACATCGCCGGGCGCAATCGCACTCGCAGAATTTCTCCCTGAATCAAACTCCTTGCTCCACCTAGATCTCACAGACAATAGCTTGGACATCGCTGCCATTATGGCGCTCAACTCGGGACTTAAGGCTAATCACACGATGCGGTGTCTCGACGTCAATATACCTCCGGATGATGAGGAATTTGCCAGGTGAGTGTCTAGTGATCTATACGGTACGTTTTATGAATACGACCTCTTACAGAATGTGTCGTGAAATTCTCAACACTTGTATCCGGAATACGGAGGAAGCGGAAAAAGCGGCACATGTTTCTGATGGACTTCGTAGTCCGGCGAGCAACCGAGGGCTTGGTAAGGGTGTGTGGAACATGATCCAGGAAAGTGAATTAGCCAAATCAATACGTCAAGGTGGCGGGCTCAAGGTAGATGGATGTTCCCCATGTATGATCAACCTACTCACGATTCTGAAGAACAATTCTGAGATTGTATCAAGAGTGTATACGTTGCTATCTCAAATCGAGAACTCGGTGAATCGCCCACGGTCTATTTCAGTCACATCTTCAGGCGCATCCTCTCCAACTCTCGTGTCACCCGCGGACCAAGACCTCGTTCAGCAAGCCAAGGCCACTGTCGGTGAAATCACAGAAAAAGTGCAGACTACGACAGACGTCGCCCTTCTAGAAGAACTCCTGGGCCTCTGCGACAAATTGAACAGTGCTATCACACAGTTATCATCCGCTCCTTCGAGCAGACCACTTCTTCATGGCCTCGGGTTAAATATTCCCAGCGCGGTGATCAGTTCTGTCGACGGAGATGCTCTACATGAGCGCTCTGCAGAACTGTCAGAGGATGATACACCACTAACTCCGAAGGTAGATAAAGGAAAAGGTCGAGCAGAACCAGAGCCGGAGGAGCCGGAGAAAGTGTTGAGTCCCACTTTCATGATAACCGAGTCAGAGGACGAGGATGAAGACGACAACAGATTCTTAGGCGAGGAGGACCAAACTAGCGTCCCTTCCCCTGTGGTTAGGTGGGTCATCATGCAAGAAAAATATCTGCATACTCTGATGATGTCTCAAGGTCGAAAAGTTGGGTTCAAGAAGAAGGGGAAATCTTCCGAAAAGGTGCTGTCCTTCTCGGACCTGAAGAGATGGAGGGAGAGTACGCTGGCGAAGAACTCCGTCGTGAGGTGAGTATATCGGTCATTCAGTTCCATGCATATTTCGAACACTGCTACAGTTGTTGGAGGCCATGGTCGAACGGCCTCCTCCTCGCGGAATAATCGATGAATTTGGCATGGACATGGACATGATTGCACCTGAAATAGCTTCTCCTCCGCCTGGGGAGCCTCTACGACCTCCACCGCGTCCATACGTTTCCCGTACTCGTTCCACGTCTTCCAATGGATCAACGGGAGACTTACATTCTCCAAACTCGCCTACGACATGACTGCTGCGAGAAGCCCCACTCCACCCGCATCTCCAGCCTCACGCTCATTTCCAGGAAGCTTTTCTGCAAGCTCCCCTCCTGAGCCTCGATAAGGCATCATGCCCTTCATACACCATTTATTTCACTACTTTGACTATTCCATTCGGATTTGCCATATACCTGCTATCAATAGTGATTGTGGGATGTGAAATGTCTATCATTCAAGGATATTGTTTTGCGTTTGCCTGCCTGAATTCATTCCGTGTATTAATAATTACCTTTAATTGTGGATTTAATGCGACCAGAACATACGAGTAGCAGTTGAAGCCCCTGACAGGCGCCGTAGTAGCAACGTTATGTCATGGTGGTGGTCCGCTTAGCCTCTTCAACGTCAACTCTAATAACCTACCTACCCAAGCACTATGGCCTCCAACGAACTTGGGGCTGAGCCTCAAGTTCCTAGGCGATCCTCGAGAATTTCAGGGCAAGCAAAAGTAGAGACTCCTGCTCTTGCTAAGAAACCGAGAAAACCTTCAAAAGTGGGGACAAAAAGGGCAGCCGAGGAGTTTGACCAAGATGAAAAGAACAAGAGAGTACGCCACTTGAAGCTAAATTCTCTGATATTGACTGTAATGCATTCAAGGCTAAAGCCGCTGAAGACAAGACGGTCAAGGAGGATGATGGTGTGGCAGACGGAGCGCCTATCGACATTGGCGATATTCTACCCTCGATGACCCTCAAAAACGAGAAAGGCGAAGACATTGATACTGGTTCAATCGCAGCAGAGAAGGGTATTGTTCTCTTTCTTGTTCCGAAGGCTGACACGCGCAAGTTTTTGAGTTTATCTTGGTGTTCATCTTAGCAACGGGTTTTCTTTTAGCTGGATGCACTACGCAAGCATGTGGCTTCCGCGATATATGGCAAGAATTTACCTCGCTTAATTATGATGTTTATGGAGTCAGTGCCGACTCCTCAACTGCTCAGAGTAAATGGCAAACCAAGGTGCGTTGTCACCCATCACGATCCTCGATGTGCAAATGACAAGTTCATGACCGAAAATGACCGTCACTCCAGAAGGAACTCCCATTCCCCCTCATTTCTGATCCTAAGCGGTCATTGATAGGCGTTCTTGGGGCTGGCGATGGAAATAAGACGAAACGTAGTCATTTTGTCTTTGAGAAGGGTGGCAAGCTTTTGGACAAGAAAATGCCTGTGAAGCCGGTAGACAGGTGCGTTCCATGTCATCCTACTGTGTTTTTTCATTCGTTGATGTGACACACAGTCCCCGTCTTGCATTGGAATATATCAAAAGCCTCAGGCTGAGCGAGTAGGCCACGAACACGCCCGCTCGGTCAAGTTTATACTATGAATCCATTTGATCTCGTGTTGTTTCTAGAAATTTGTACACCACTTACACACCGCAATTTCTAGTTTATCACTCACAACGACGCTGACGCTGGCACTGGCACTAGCTTAACTATTCTATTCCTAGGCCACTAAAAAGTTGTCCCAGAGTGAACCGTTGCATCAAGGATATCCAGCACGGAGCAAGTTCAGTCTTGTTGGATCGGCGTAAATAGTGAAAAGGATCGAGTCGTGTAACGATGCTGTGGCGGCGTCAGGCTGTCATTCGTCTGCGAGGAGTTGGGCAGCTCAACAGTCGAGCTGTGGAATAATTGGGATTGCAAGGTATAAGACCGGATGAACGTTTCAATGAGTCTCCGTACCAAGTATGCGAAGGTGACTTATATGGTCAAACTAGAAATAGGTTTCAAACTTGTGAAAATATTTCTTTTGTTGGGCTGGTACATATCATAGAGGGTACCTCTAGGATCGATATGAGCCAAGAATTAAAGAAATTGGCGGTTGGGTTGTGGAGATATGGTCGAAATACTGATATTTTGGCCTACCCACCATATCTCAATATTTCTGACCTCCAGAGGGTATGGGACCATCACCAATCGATTCCTGCACTTGGAAAACCTTAGGACAGTTGTTTATAGTACCGGTCTTAGGCCAAAATGAGGCACAGTGACATATAGGAGGTAGGAGGGGGGAGGGGGACTTTGCACATCTCAAGAACGTGATTTTTTCTAAGAAATCTGGCTCGACCATCGTGTTCAGAGGGTTCAAGAGCCCTCGGGAAAAATGCTTTTGGAGTCCTGGCAAGTCATGGGAAGTCTGTAAAAATCGATCTTTGTAGGGGGTGTCAGCAAAACTGACATATTTCATTTCAGACAGGCTCAAGCCACTCTGGGACCATTCCCAATCGATTTGTATGATCGAAAAACACCAGGCACAGTCTTTTATATATTGGTATTTACATAATATCAAGATATGGGAGGTAGGGGGGGAGGGGGACCTTGCATATCTCAAGAATGCGATTTTTTCTGGAAAGTCCAGCTCGACCATCGTGTTCAGAGGGTTCAATAACCCCCAGGAAGAATACTCCTGGAGTCCTGGCAAGTCATGGGAAGCCTAGAAAAATCGATCTTTGAGGGGGGGTATCAGGCAAACTCACACATCACAATTCATATTGGTTCAAAACACTCAGAAATCAACTCCAATCCATTTGCATGATAATTAAACAGTAGGAACACTATTTTGCACATCAGCATCAACATAAAATCATGCCTTTTGGTGGAGTAGGCAGGGGGAGAGGGTACCACAACTCTGAAACATGATTTTCTTTGAGGAAATGAGCATTGCAATTGCATTCAGATGGTTCAATAACCTTTGTATCAAGTCCTATTTGAAGCCAGGCAAGTCACATGGAGGCTGAAAAAATCAATCATCGGATGAGGCAGCATGACAGGGGCGACTCTGCTTACATAAGCAAAAGCGGTCAGTGGGCAACTTTACAACAACATGACTTTGATCCATCAAATTCAAATTGCTGTTCCTCCTGGTTCAATTGCTTCAGAAGTCAGCCTGGGATCAAGCCATGCGACTCATACAACAGCTGCGAAGGCCTTGGCACAACAGGAATTCATCACTCATGACCCATAGCTCATGACTTTGGAACATGATTTTTTGGCATCAAACAAGCGCTGCTGTCAGTTTCAGAAAGTTCTATGACACATGGCTGGAGTTCTATCTGATGCCAGGCAAGTTGTGTGAAGTCTGGTGCAGCAGGCAAGAGGAGGTAGCATGACTCTGGAACATGATTTTTTTGGACCAGATGAATTAACACTATCGTGTTCAGATGGTTCAATAACCCCAGAAACAAGTTCCTTTTGAAGTCAAGCAAGTCATATGAAAGCTCAAAAAATCAATCATTGGCATGATAGGGGCGACATTGGTTACATAAGCAAAAGCGGTCGACTTGAAGATAGGTGGGCAACATCAATCAAGATACATAAAGAAGATATATGAAATGCTATACCTCTATGCCTGATGGGTAGTGGAGAGAGGCATAAACCCACCCTCGCTGCAGGGACAGGAAGAGGGGCATAAATCAATTATGCAAGCAGCAAGAATGCAGACATAACCTATGGAATGCGAAAGCAAGTGAAACCCTGCATTCTAGCTTGACGAATCTACCTCTGATCCAGATCATGGCTAATGGCTCGGACTCCATTGATGATGGATGGATGACCGTGGCTAATAATTCGGATTCCATTGATGATGGATGGATCACATGCATGTCACAATCACTGCATGGGATTCCATGTCAGCCAATGGGAAAACCGTGATTTCTTACATTCACTCACCAGGCTTTGGGACAGCATGCTTAAAAATTGAGTGAGACATAGATGGAAAGAGGAGGAAGTGCTTCCGACTCAAAGACAAGAAACTATGCTCCAGGAATTATATAGTGAGCTGAAGAAGCTACAACTAGCAACTGCTACCAAATCACCCTTTCTTGCTGCAGAGGCAGAAAGAGGGGGGGGGAATCCATCATATAAGTAGCAAGAATGCGGATGTAAGCTAAGGAATATGGAAGTGAAGCCTCAAGCCTTGCTCCGACTTGATAAGTGAGGCTTCTGATGAGCCAGTTGCTTTAATGGGTTAGAGGTTAGGGTTAGAGTTAGGGTTAGAGTAGGGTTAGAGTGTTAGGTTAGAGTAGGGTTAGAGTAGGGTTAGAGTTAGGGTTAGAGTTAGGGTTAGAGTTAGGGTTAGAGTTAGGGTTAGAGTAGTTAGGGTTAGAGTTAGGGTTAGTAGGTTAGAGGGTTGGTTAGGTTAGTTAGA